GGATATCATCAACATAAGCTTCCATTGTGACCCCCAGCACTTCTTTGAACAGCATCCCGATCATCCTTTGAAAAGTTGCCATTGCGTTCTTTAATCCGAATGGCATGACGATATAGCAAAACACACCATCCGAAGTAACGAACGCTGTTTTCTCTGCATCAGCCGGGTGCATGAATATCTTATTGTAACCCCGGAAAGCATCCATGAAGCTCAGCAATTCACATCCGGCAGTTTCATCTACTAGCAGATCGATCCTCGGTACTGGATAGGGGTCCATGGGGCAAGCTTTATTCAGATCCGAGTAATCCACGCACATTCTCCAAGTAGATTGTTTTGGGGCTAGAACCACATTCGATAGCCATTCTACGTGGATTACTGGACGGATGTGCTTTATTTTCAGTAAGGTGGCCACCTCCTGCTTTGTGAATTCTCGCCGTTCGGTTGCTTGATATCGTTTCTTCTGCTGGACTGGTTTTGCATCAGGCCGAACGGCAAGTTTGTGACATATTATCTCTGGGTCAATACCGGGCATATCTTCTGGCCCCTGGGCGAATAATACCTGAAACTTTTTTAAGACGGCAATCACGCCATCCCGGATGTCAGCCTCCAGATCTACCCCGATAGCTACCTTACGGTTCGGGGGGAAATCCAGGTCGATTTGTTCAAGAAGAGTGACGGGTTCTGGGTGCGCCTCGAACTCCGTTCGGTGAGTTTCCACCTCAATTGTATTAACCCGCATCCCACGAGTGTTCATCTATTTTAGGGCCTCTCGATAACATGTCCGGGCTGTCGTCGGATCAGTTCTGGCCACCCCAACCCCGGTGTCAGTAGGGAATTTGATGCATGAGTGGCGGACAGAGGCTATTGCCTCCAGATCTTCCAATCCCGGTCGGCCCAATATGGCATTGTGGGCACATTTTATATCCACCACCACGAACGTCATTCGGAGTGATGCTTTGTGCATTTCATCCCCAATTTCAACCATCAATTGGATGGTCCCCTCAGCCTCAATGCAATTACCGGTGAAACTTGCCAGTGGGGTCCGTAGGTGGGTCAGTTGACTTCTTTGTAGACCCATTTTTTCGGATGATTGTAGATACAATACATTCACACTGCTCCCGGTATCGATCAGTACTCGGCGGATCAAAGCATTGTCAATGCACATGCTCACCACCAGTTCATCCATGTGCGGGCTTGGAGAGTTGGGTAAATCAGCTGGCCCGAACGTGATCGGGTCCGTCCTTCCTTTCTTCTAGGGGGGAACAGAGATGGATCCCACATAGAGACTTCGCTCGAACCTTTTCCGTTCGGCGTTCGAATCCCCTGTCTCCCCGCCCCCTAAGATAACCTTGACCTCCATTCAAGGTTTCTTTCTAGGGCCTCCCGAGCCCTCTGGTTCATCCCTGGGGGGAACATATACATCATTTTGAGGCTGGGCATCACGTTGGGCATCCCAGCGCCAGCTATTAGGTTTCCTGATTGGTTTCAACGTGCCCACAGCATTTGGATCCTTATTCACATCTTTGCCCAGATGACCTCGTCGGATCAAATCCTCGATGGCTGTTTGTAGGGCCCTGCAGGCGTTGGTGGCATGACCCTTCCCGTTGTGATATTTACAGAAAGCAGAGTCATCCGCTCCCATAACTGTGCAGAATCAGTCGGGAGGGGAATATTGTCCCTCTCGTGCTGATAAATGGTCGCCACTGATAGGACCAGGGGAGTAAATCTCCCTTGCTTGGGAGGTATAGCGGCCGCTGGGCTAGGACCCAGCCGATCGGCCATTCTGATCGGGGCAGCAGGCGCAATGACCTTATCCCTGATCATTATCTCCTCTTCTAGGGCGGCATGCTTGTGAGCCCTGTCTAATACCTCGACGTATGCTGTACCCGGATTTTTCTTCAGATCCTTGTATAATTCCCCCTTTCGGAGAGCGTTCGTGAATAGGGTAATGACGGTATCATCCGTCATGTTTCCCACTGTCAGAGTTTCATCCCTCCATCTTTTCAAGAATTGATTGAGGGTCTCTTTGACGTTCTGCTTCACGCTGGTCAGATAGCTAAAGTGTCGTTTGGGATTGGCACTGGAAGCAAACTGGGCCAAAAATAACGCCGATAATTCGGCGAAACTGTTGATTGACCCAGGTTGGAGTGTCCCGAACCACTCCTGGGCGGGCCCTCTGAGCGTACTAAAAAACAACCGGCAAATAGCAGCCTCGGGTGCTCCTAGCAGCATAAGTCCCCCTTGGTAACTCCTCAAATGCACATGGGGATCTCCCACCCCATCATAGATTTGACCGGTCGGTGGCTTGGCACCCCCTTGGATGTCTGCGTACATGAGTTCCCTGGTGAAAGGGGAAGTAATTCCCAGCTGAACTGGGGCAGGTTGTACAGGCGCCCTGTTCATCTGATCCCGCATCTCGTTCATCTGCCTCCTCATCTCGGCCATTTCTTCCTCCTGGGCCGTTAAAGGGGGCGGTGACGGAGCCCTCATGTTCGTATAGTCCCGGTCCCAATGCCGTTGAGCGGCCCTGGTATTACCCCGCTCGGCATATTGGAAATGATGACCAATGGGAGTTGGTCCCCTAGCTTGTAATCCGATCGGGGTTCGGTCGCTGGGACTATGATGCGCTGTTGGTGGGGCGCTACGGCGATTATCCCGATGGGCATGCGAACGGGATGACGCTGTGGTTGTTTCCGTGCGTGGAGTCTCCCCTGTAAAGTTGGACCCTCCTTCCTCCTCGTTCACCATATGCTGCATGACCTGGGCCATATCTCGCATGGCCTGAGGATTTCTTCTCAGAGATTCGGGAATCACAAAATCCCCATCAAAACGAGGATACGATCCTCGGCTGGACTGTCCCTGAGGGTTTTGACTCCCCGGGGTGTGACTCCTTCCGTGACGGCGTGAACCGTCGTTTGTATGATAGGAACTGATTCTGACCATTTTTTAAAATAGTGGTTTTTTGGATGATTTGAATGTGAAACTTTTTGTAAGTTTCCCACAGACAGCGCCAATGTTGAGGGTAAATCCCGTAGACCCGAAAGCCCAACACGAACTTTGGATATATTAGGAATGGTACAGAATCAAAGTGTATAAACAAAATATAAGATCTGAACTCACTAATACTCGAAAGCTCACTTGTATTAACTAACCAGTCTGATTACAAGGAATTTCCCGATCGGTAGGTCGGAAACAATGCTTTAATACAAGAAATAAGAGCAATGATGCTATTCTAGAGCCTGAGTATTGAAATGCTAACCCTTAAAATGATTTTAAACCTTCTATTTATACTAATGGAGAGCATGGGCTGCCCTGTGCTGATTGGCTGTTGTTCCACCGACTTGGTCACCCATGTTTCCACTTGCTGATGTCACAATCCGACATTAATTGCACCTGACCACTTACCGGTTGTCCGTTGCTCGAACGGGATGTTGGACTATGCTGAAGACGCTGTCAAATTGGCCCAAGTATGATATATAGCCCGAACTCCGTTCGGTATGTCTTCTTACTGGGCCAACCTTTATTTGGGCTGAATCTCGTTCGGCATGAATTCTTCACTGGATCTACTCATCATAGAGTGATGGGCCCGTTGCTTGGGCCGGGTATCTTGGGCCTTCTTGATCCGGGTATTGGGCCTCTGGATCAATATCCCAACAAGAGCAATACTTGTACTCTTCTGTTGAAGTAGATGAACAACTGACACTTTTTTCTATGCGTAGTTCTGTCTAGAGAACTGAACAATTATGTCCTGTGGAGAATAGAGCTCCTCGGTTCTAGCCGTTGACTATTATATTACATACAACAAAAAAACCTAATACAATTAGTCTACATGGGTACTCTAAATTCCTACGTTTTTGCAGTATCATCAAAATCTAATAACAATTCATTTCTAACAATTTCCCCATTTTCGATGATGCCAAAACACTTATTATAGTTTCCAGATATGTGTCTTTCACCTTTGAATAAATTAGAAAATTTCCATGGTTTTTAATCTTGGTGGGAAAACATAAGAAGTATTTAAAAGAAACGAATTAATCAAGAAATGATCTATTCTGAACAAGACAAGGAGATACATGGATTGTAGATTATTTTGACAAAGAAAACAAAATTGTATCCTCCATAAAAAAATCCTTCCTTATTCTTCTCTTTATTTCTCTTCCCTCTTTTTGGCATCAGCAGCTCACAGGATAAGGAGACGCAGTTGACGAATCGCATCAGGGATGAATTGGATCCAACGAGCGTTGTTGTTGATGAATTTTTTCATCAACCTCCTTGGAGAGGAGTTGGATTTGTTCCTGAAGAATTGTGAGAGCCTCCTTAACCTCTGTTAGGGAGTCAGACATATATTGAATTTGAGAAACGACGTCATTGGTGTTGGCCATAGTGTAATGGAAACTGATGTATGTGTTTCAAGTGTACAACTAAGGATTTCTTCAGAGATGTTCTCTCTAAACATTTGCGACCTCCAGAGAAGAAAGAATGAATGAGTTTTGATCGTGAAGTCTGTCAATTTATAGGGTTTGAAGGAGTGATTAACGCCTTATTTTGAAATTTTAGTAACAGAAGATCACCATTAAATACGACATTTAAGTTTGCACAATTGTAATCTCTTGGAGGTTACAAAATCAAGGGCCATTATTAGCGCCTTCTTTGCGGTTAGTCCGTTAAGCACAAAATATGCGTTCACATTTTTCAAATTCGAATCTCAACATATTCTGATGCTAATGTGTATCTCTCGTAATTGTAGAGATTGTCAAGGATAGATGAGTAAAAGTACCTACTTGTGTAACATAGAGTACATCGTCCCGAATAGCCTTAAATCCACAATATTTGATAACATGAAAGTAAGCTCAAAGTGTCTCTCAAGCAGCTCTGATGAATCACATCAGAGTTAATTTTTCTAACAACGTCATATATTATACCCCAGCTATGATAACAAAATTAAAATATATGTCTCACTTTATTAAAAAAATAAAACACATGCCCATATCTAAAACTCACACCGCACTTTTCTCGAATAAAAATCTAAAACCTTCGGAGTCTTTAAAGCAAATACATATGTTGGTGTCCGGGTCTATGCGGGCATGGCCGCCGCTATTGCTAGACCGTTAATCCGGCGGCTTCTATGGCACTTCTTAACAACAGTAGCGCCGCATCCCACCGCCCCACCGCAATTCAAGCTCCACGCGAACAAAGATTTCGCCACATCCGCCACCCGCGCCCGTAGAAACAAAACTAGATCCAATGAGATTACGAGTAGCGTCGCAGAGAAGAAGAATAGCAGAACGTCGATGCTCAATAGAAGGACGCGGTCGGATAAGGATATTGACGAGGAGAGCTTTCTGAAGCTGTATGGAAATGACAACAATTCTGCTCATGTTCCAGTCTTGCTTGGTGAAGTGTTGGATGCTTTTTCCTCTGTCCACCTCCGCTCCTTCGTCGATTGCACCCTGGGCGCGGCTGGCCATTCTTGCGCGGTTCGTTCCGCCAATTTTTTTCTTTAAATAAAAAACTGAATGTTGGATTATGTGCTGTTGATTACCTAATTTAGATGTAGGGGAGTGATTTCAATGCAGTGAAGGAAAAGGGGATGATAAGTGAATTATCAACCCTTAGGTTATGAAGAATTTTAATGCATATGTGATAATTTTTGACATAAATAATACTCCGTACTAAAGGGAAAGTGATGGACAAAATTAGGAGTAGTTGTGATGGACAACGTCACACTACCTGTGACTGCCTCCATCATCACAACCGGCCACCACCACGGACAGAACATTGCCGCCATCAACCACTGCCCCAACAGTTGTCGGCCCCAACTGCCGCAACAGATCCCGCCTCAGACACCAGCACCTGTGGAATGTAACCCTAGTTTCCGGCGTGACCGCTACTGCGACTGCCGCCGCCACCGTGCTCATCCCGATTCAAGACCCTATCGATGGCCTCCTCTTCCCCTCTTATCACCACCACTGTGGTCGCTCATAACAACCGACAATATCCAAATATATCCCAACCGCTAGATGAAGAAGGAGATCGGCATGATAGGCGGCAACGATAGAGGATGAAAAAGAAGGAAGCGGTGATGTAGATGTGATGACAGAAGCAGCGATGATGGATGCAGCGACTGAGCGGCAGCGATGGATGCGGGGACTGAGCCGGCGATGATGGATGCGGCAACTGAGCCGGCGGTGATGGTGATGCGGCGACAGAGATGACGGCGATGTATGCGTCAACAGAGACGGCACCCTGGATGCGGCGATGGAGACGTCAACCTGGACGTTGTGGTGGCTGCTGCACTAGGTCTCAAGGAAACAAGCAGACGAGGGAGACGAGCACATTTAGGAATTAGGGTTTGAGTTGTATTATATAAGAGGGGTGTTTCTGTTCATTCATTTATAATTAGTCCGATTTTTGTCCAGATTCGAAATGAGATTTACTTTTGTCTTTTAAAAGTATGGTAGTATTATATCTGCCATTTTTTCTAGTTTAAATGTATGACATTTTTATAAGCATTTGTAATATGGAATATACTTAATAGCTCCCTCTATCCCACAAAATAGACTTGCATTCCCTTTTGTTCCATCCCTCAATGATTGTCAGCTGTCTTCCTTAGGTGTGTAATAAGTTTTCCATTTCCATGTTTTCCACTATCTAAATTTTACTATCTGGAATTCCAAGACAAAAGTATTCCATTAAATAAATGTATGAAATGGTAAAAAGGACATTTGCATATGAAATAAATTATTCCAAATAATTTACGTTAAGGTTGTTAGAGGAATGTCTATTTTCATCTCGGCAAGCTCTTGAGCAGTGTCCTTTGTGATTGTTTTCATTGTCATTATTGCATTCTTGCTGATTTTCAACTCTGAATACCAGATTATCGTTGCACATCCAGAGATGCAAGCTCATATTGGTTTTGATGTTGATCCAGTTGCACATCGAATGGCTCAAGATCGAATCAATGCTGTCTTAAAGAACGAATCTAGTTTTACAGATTCGCAATTGAAGGTGCATACTTATTTGAAAAATTTCAAGGATGTGAAATCTGTGCTTTGTGAGGTTGACAAGAGACTATTGACTTCTGGAGTTGATGGGATCCTTATGGACTTGGGGATGTCCTCTATGCAGGTATATGTCTACTAATTAATAGCCCATTTGGTTACACTGAAATTGGCTGGATCGGTTGAATTCGTTGAAATTGGTAAAATTCTAGCTGAAGCGGCTTCTTCCGCTGAATTATGTACAAGTTATATGTAGAATATATTTTATTAATAATATAAAGAAAATGTTATATGAAAAAATAGCTTAAAGGGTCCTCTACAATAACTTCAACTAATTCAGTGTGTGAAGTCAAAAGCTAAGTGTTTGGTAAATAAAGTTGATTGATAAAGTAAAAATAGGGTTACCAAATGGGCACTAAGTCCTGTAAAAGCTACCTTTAATATCTGTACTACAAGCTTTAATATTAGCTTTCTCTCATGTGTATAGTTCGTAATTTGACTGGAGTCAAGTAGGTGTTCTGTATTGTTTAATGTGATGGAGTTTTCTAGAGAACATACATCTTAAAGATCTACTCCTCTCGATTGATGTGTATATGCAGGTAAATGATGCTCAAAGAGGTTTTAGCGTGCTAAAGCGCGGACCTCTTGATATGCGGATGGATCCTAAGGTAGTTTTATCAACTTTTATCACTTCATACTAATCTTTTCACTACATTTAGCACAATGGTACTAGGTGTGCAACTATTAACTTTAATCACATTGTGGAGTACAGTGATGAGGATAAGACTCATGAACCATTCACTTATTTTCAGTTCAAACATTAATCTCCTATTTTCAGGCTCGTTTTCCACTCTGTTAATTCATAGAATGTAATATGTTAAGAGTGTAGGGCGTGAATGTAATATGACCCCTCCTCCACAGCCTAGGGATTATTTATAGAGGCATAGAACTTCAAGTATGTGAAGATTATTTATATGAGGCAGTTGTCTGTCCATGCAATTTTTGATGCAATTTTCACAACGGGTCATACGGAAACAGTCTCTTTGTTCTTTAGTGCAGGGATAAGACTGCGTACATCCGAACCCCCTTTACTCCACCACAGGTGGGAGCCTTTGCGGCACTGGGGTAATGATGATGATGAGAGCTTCAAGTATATAGCTACATAAGCTAAGCTTTCGCTTTGAAAGCTTGTTTATACTGATCACTCCAAATGCCTGACCAGGAGGTGGTCTGCATTGTGTGATAAAGTTATCCGCTGAACGATAGGGGTCGTCCAACCAACTCCAAAAGCTCTCGCTGTCCCTGGGTGATCCAAGCCCCGAGGCCCAACAGGACGTGCAGACCAAATCTCTAATGCTAGGCCCAACCTTCCAATCCCAACACAACAAACCCAATGGCTCAATGCCTCAATCTTGGCCTGAGACCCAAAGCCCAATCTACCTAGCTCCTGTACTCCAAGACTTTCTTTAGTACTGTGTGAGTGTGTGAGGAAACATGTGAACTTTATTAGTTAGTATGGTAGATTGCCTTATTAAGTTGTAATGATGAATAATGTTTGTTCTGTAGATCTATTCCATTCCATATATTGTAGCAGCTTCCACCTGATTTGAACAGGTCTCTGGCAGGCGACTCTGAAAGCTGAAGACATTTTAAATTCTTGGCCAGCTGATGAAGTGGGGAGAATCTTACGTGATTATGGAGAAGAAAGCAATTGGCACTTTCTTCAAAACAAAATTGCTAGCGCTCGCTTGACTGGTGGGCTTCACTCTACTGGTCAACTAGTTGATCTTATTCAGAAATCAACTTTCAGGACGAAAGGTTCTTTCTCCTTTACTTCCCATTCTTTGTTTTCAAATTCCTTTCAAACAAACATACCATTAATCTATCTAATCTATCTAATATAGTAATAACAATAATCTCTCTATCCTTTAATTCGTGTTTTCTTCTTAAGTCTTGTTTAAATCCAGTCCGATTTTTCTTAATAATTATGGCAACTACGGTCTCATGATATTTTTTGCCATGCAAGTGGAAATAATTAACGGGATGGAAAAAATGAATCTGGGGGCACCAAAAGTTAAAATGAGATATTGGTTATGACCTTAAGGGCCAATAGTGGAATATAAACTTTTCCATCCCTGTGGAAATAACCTATGGTGATGCTGGTGCGGATTTAGAATTTCACATTTCATTTTTATTCATTCGTAAGAGGGTTGCAAGGAGAAGGGGCATCTAGTATAGAACTTCGCCACTGCTGTTTGTGTGCATGCATTTAGACAATTAATTGATGGCATAAGTTTAATACCGTAGTACCGTAGACCACAACTAGCTGGGGTTGAAATGTTGATATTTATGAACCATGGAAACAATAGATTTGCAAAGTTGGAGGTTAGAATCTAAATAGATTTATGAACCATGAACCGTTAGATGGTGAAAGGCGAAATCGGGCTTCACGACCTTTTTCATCTAACCAGAATGTGTGCCACATCTTTAAATCATTAATATTTGCACCCTGAAGTTCAATAAATCTGTTGAGAATGTGGCGCAAACTCCAATATGGAAGAAAATAGGGGTGTAAATTTAAAATGTATAGGATGAAAATGCAAATGGTTTTGAAAATGAGGTGGAAACTCAAACTTCTATGAAAAAACGGGGTGCATACTGAAACTCCTCCATGATGAAACTTTGATGTACTTTTGCAAATACAGGAAGACAAGGCTGGATAAAGACGGCAACAAGAGTCTTCCAAGCTCTTAGAATAGCTGTTAACGATGAACTTAGGACGCTGGAGGGTTCCATCTATTCCTGTTTTGATTCCCTTGCTCCTGGTGGGCGGCTAGCTGTCATCTCTTTCCACAGCTTGGAGGACAGAATAGTGAAGCACGCATTTCTCCGTGTCATCAATGGGGGCGATGTTGCATCTTCTAGAGCTGAAGAAGAAAAATGCTCTCAAAATGAAGACGGTGAAAGAGAATTGTGGGTTAAACAGATTATACAAGGGCGGGATGGGACTATCCTCACTAAAAGGCCCATAACTCCATCTCAGGGGGAAGAGATGCTGAACACTAGAAGCCGGAGCGCCAAACTAAGGGTAATTCAGAAAGCTCGGTGATGGATGGAAAATTGTTAATTTTGGGCTGTTCTGCCAACCAATATTGTAAGAGTAGTAACTTAATTATTCCTTTTAGTATTATAGATCTTTATCTTGAACGTCTTATTTGCAATATGGAGCTCGGTTGGTAAAGATAAATTTAAATGAATTATCCGTATTAGTTAAACTTCTTAACATTGGAGTCGATTGAACTTAATTTAATTTCCAAGTATAATTTTTAAGTATTAATAACAATAAATAAAAGAAATACTTACAAGTTATTCCGGTCATATTTATAGGGCTCAATGTGGTAATCTGTATTTCTAAAATCTAAATATAGGTCATTTGTGACTTTGTGTATTTTGAATTCATTTCTAAAATTTATCCTATCAAATGAAGTCTTGATAAAAAAAAGTTCCGTTTGCAATTTAGGTTGATGTGTCATGTGGACGACATAATAAGGCATGTACAGAATATTTCAATCATTTAAAATCTTTTTAATTATAGAATATGAATTACGTAGTATTTAATAATGACGAAATGGGAATGAAAATGGCCATGTTTAGCAATATACTAAGGGTATGTTTGCAAACAAGATTTTCAGCTTTTGGCTTAAAAGTTGAAGTGAGTGTTTTCAAATGACAATTTCTATTTAAATTAAACATAAAAGTTTAAAGTTGGAAATTGTTTTTTGTTATGTAATTATGGATGTCCATTAATTCGCAGCCCAAGCCCACATGTACCAGCACAACTAATAAGTGTAACCTAGCTCTCCTATTGTATATATGAGGTATATGTGAATGAAAGAGACGTCTTTTTGACGTGGTTCATAATACGTTATCAACACGATTTCCCTCTTCTCCTCTCAAGAAAAAACACTTTCATTCTCTAGCATATTGTTAGATTGTTGTGTCTTCTTCTCTGGTTGTTCTATTGCTACCAGACTGTTCCATCTTCTTCTCGGACCATGCTAGCTGGTCGTTCGTCAGTTGAAATCATCTCTTCGGCAAAATAGCAGCTTGCCGCACCTTAAAGCTCAATCGATCAGTGTCCAGCAATTTCCCAGGGACCCTCAAGCCGGAATCAACGTAGCGGCTCCTATTAATATGTTTGCATCTTCCTATCTCGTTTCCCTATGGGAGCGGATTTCATCATTATCCACCCTGCCTTCCCACTTTCACAATCAAAACCAGAATTTCTTGGCAAATAACGAGAGAAAAAAACTAAATGTGAGTCGCATGCATATGAAACTAAAATTGGATCTGAAGTCCCATGAATCAAGATATTGTGTACGTGGTGTGTCAATACTTGACTTTGAATGATTTTGAGGTTACATACCTCTTATAGTTTAAATATGACAGTTGATGAGAAATTGGATGTGCACAAAACATAATTTTTTTGTGTGCACACAACATACAACATGAATATGAATCCTTTTTATGTTTACAATATAATTAGATAAAGTGATTGTTGGAAAAATGTGTTAAAAATTGCATTAAATGGTCATTTTGGGGCAATTATTTGAGTGGGGTCCACTTCCGATTTGGGTCGGGTCAAAGTGGTTTCGGATTGTCCTTGTTAAGGGCTACAATTCGATATATGGTACGCTCAAAACGGATAACGGGTGAATGAGAAATTGATTCTCGAAGTTCGCTCGTTGTAATGGAAAAACTGGGAAAATGATGAGTTTCTAGTGTGTTTTATTCCACACCGAAAAACTCAAGGGATTTTCACCCCCTTTTAAAGGGAAGCCTCTTTTAAGGAGTTAAGATTCCTAAAGGGAAAGGCTCTCTCTTACGCGCAGGGGGGGTGCCGATCAAATCCCGAAACGGAGAAGAAAAACCGCGACTCGTGTGCGCGGGCGACCTGCGGACACGAATGCCGTCCAAAAATCTATTTCTCAAGAGATACGGTTAATTTTTGTTTTCTTCCCGAACGGTTTTTTTTTCCCAGAAGGCCTCGAACAGAAACCCTCCAAGAGAGTTCTGTTGGCTCCGGACAGAAGGCCTCGAACAGAAACCCTCCAAGGGAGTTCTGTTGGCTTCGGACAGAACCCCTCCGAGGGGAGTTCTGTTGGCTTCGGACAGAAACCCTCCGAGGGGAGTTCTGTTGGGGTCTTCTGCCGCGCATCTTTTAATGCTGCGTTAAATGGACAGTTTATGGACGATTCAATGCCCAACAGACTGGTCATTGATGTCCAACGTTCAGGTCCATTAACACCCCATTTAACACACAACAAATCCTCCTATAAATAGCTGGCAGGTGCTTTGCAACAAAAACACGGTTTTGACAACGCACATCACTTTCCTCACGTTTTTGAGCTAAAAACTCTTCCAACTACTCCCAAAATCCTTCTGTGTTCATACTCGGTTCTCGTTCGCTGGAACTCTTGTTTGTGTGCTCAAACATTAGTTCGTAGTCATCGTATCCTGGGAAACGATTGTTGCAACGCTCCTAGCACCGTGGGAGGCAACAAATACGTTTTAAGGAAATCGTGCGTAGCACGAGCTTTGGCTAATTCTGCTTCATCTCCTTTCTTATTTTTCCTCTAGTCATTTTATTTAATTAATTTATTTTAATTAATTTTCTTTATTTTCCGAAACACACCCAACAGTGATGATGGTTGAGAATTATTTCGTCAAGTGAATTCAGAATTGAATGAGCAGCTGCAATAGTAGGAGATGTAATAAATTTTAAGTATAGTTGAAAATATAGAAAATAGATTATTGTGCTTAATTACAACCTGGTTGACATGATAAGATAATTTTTTAATACAAAAACTATGCTTGATTACCATTGTGTAAAATATATTATTTAATGTCTTGGTTGAACAAGGTTTTCGCACCATGTGAAAATTTCACTTGTAGTGAGTGCCTCCTGTAGAAGATCTAATGTGAACAATTTTCTTATATGTTTTCACATAATTTCATGGCTGCTACTATATAAAATAGTTTCATGGAGATATATTTATACTACATTTCAATTAGGATAAGGAAAACATTATGCAATGAATATGCAATTAATCATGCAGTTTTTATTGTAGTAAAAACATATACTCCCTTGTCCCACTATTATTGTACCAGTTTTTATTCATTTAGTTAATACAAATAACTCTTAATCTCTTACTGTATATATTAAATTTTTATCAAATTTGATTTTGATTTTGTGACTTTGTAAAGATTTTAATGTAATTCTTGAATATGTAATTCTTTTCCCTAAACATAATTCGAGTGCAGACATGGATCCGTTCGCTTCATCGCCGACCAAGTATCGTAAAGTGCAACGACTCCTTAATAGTGGGACAGAGGGAGTATTGTTCTATGAACGAAATTTATAAATAAAGATGTCAGAAGCTTTTAAGCACCTAGCCAAACTTAGAAAAAACACAATTGAATCTTTCATTTAAATGACATTTGATTATGTGAGTGTTTGGATCTGATTCTTAAATCTGTTTCTGAATTTTCAGGAAGCAGAAGTTGGGGTGTTTGATTGAAAGTGCAGAAGTACTTCTGATGTTCTAATTTACTCATAGAAACAATTCTTTTAGAAGTTGAGGGAGACAAGTTTCTAAAAACTGATTTTGATTCTGCTTGTGCTTTAAAAGAAAAACAGAAGCAGAATCACTTCCAAACACTTGAAGTGTATGAGATTGAACCTACGAGAATGAAGAACATGTCTCAATAATTGAATGTTTGATGTGCATAATAACAATAAATTCGGTGATCTTGAAATACACATTGCAGAATCATGAGTTTAGACAATTGTTTCTGCTTAGAAACTCTTGAAGAGTATGGTGACTAATGTCCATCAGAATCGTATAAATAATGGAGGTTTATATGCTAAAGATCCGAGAACAAGTCTTTGAGTAAACTTGTATGCAGTTAATATACATAAAAATAGAAGAAAAGATGTATATATGGATGGAGTAACATTTTTTCATGTCAATCCCTTTCTATTGAACACAAATGCTGTATACTATTATCAGTCACCTTTAGCTAAATTTAAGATTAGCGCATCAAGAGGATTCCCCTAGCTAAAGCCTAAAAGACGCTCTCATCCAAAACCAGGAAATACTATGTAAAAGAGCCCTTATAAAACCAGTGGAATCAGGAAATAGTTCTTTGCCTCATCCATTTTGTGGCAGACCACTTCTCTCCCGACACAACCTCACACCCTCCATGTAGGCTACTCGGGTCCGTTTCTCCATTGAGCCCCTGAAAGAAATTCCAATGAATGCAACGTGTAAGGCAGTCTGTGTGTGTATCACATAAGATTGTGCTCTAAATATCCCACGTACCAAGGTTAGAAGTGTCGGAGCCCATCATTTAAGGTGCAAAACAATGGTTGAACACATATTAACCTTCAGATCTAGCTTGTGAATTTTTCTTTAGTTTGAAAAATATGACTTTGCAAGTTGTCATAAGTTTTCAACAGAAATAACCTTACACTCTTCTACTCTAGAAGTGAGATCAACAAGTAGCCAACTAACAAATTGGATTTCAACTATTTCATTAACAAGTGTAGCGTTAGTATTTTGGGGAAATAAAAAACCGTTAGACTGGGCAGGGTTGGTTCCTGAACCCACATCCTCACTCATATTTGCTCTATCAACTACCAAGGCAGCTCCGTCAGAATGGCATAGTCAGCTAGGTCACCCCTCCCCCATCCTTACTAAAATTTTAGCTACATTTCAGTTAGTTGCCAATGGTGTTGTGTCACCAGATTTGCATTATGATTTCTACAAAAGCAATGAAGCACACAACCTACAATTTTCTGTTTTCTAGTCTTGTTTCTAGTACTCATCTTCAACTTATTTTCATGTTTAGACCTCTCATGTTATATTGGTTATATTCGCTGATTACTTCACTCAACACGCCTGGTTTTACTCAATTAAGCAGAAATACCATCTCCATGAAACTTTTATTGCATGGCACTTGTGGGTAAAATGTTTTGTAAGATCTATGATAGACAACAGCAATTCCGACACTCCACACAATATAATCAGTAGCAAGTATGGAGAAACAAGATCAGAAGAGAGTTTATTGACGTAGACGAAGAAGTACAGAACGTATACAAGCACTGGACGATTCAAGATGCCCAATCTCCAAAGTCTAAGTCCAACCTAATGACAGCCTCCTATTCTTAGACTCCAGACTTCTATTTATAGTATTTCTATTTATAATACAAGCCCACTTATTATTATCTACAATAATAGGCCCACTTATTATTATTTCTAATAATAGGCCCATTTAATATCTATTCCTAACAATACTCCCCCCGTAAACAACCACCTTGTCCTCAAGGTGGGTGATAGGAAACAGCCATGATCTTCCATTTCCACTTCATTCTTGCACCTCTCCCCTCCCAGTATTTGACTGATTGCTGGACTAGGAACTTCAGTACCAAATCTTTTGATATCACAAACATTTCAGCAGCAGAAGAGATATCTAATGAAGTTCCGTACGCTTCAGCAAGTATTCCAATATTGACAATCTTCAGCAAGTTCTGCCAATGAGCTCCATTCGGGGCATCCTTTGCATAAAGGATAGACAGGTTGACTGCATTCTTTTGCTCGTCTATGAGCTTTTTCTTCAGCCTCTTTTGAGTTATGGAATGGTTGAATAGAAAACTGCCCATCAACACGAACATAGCTTATTCTTTTCTCAGAAACAAACTGCTGCACTCCATGAAGAATCTTAGGATAGACTATGATTTCTACCCCTTCTTCAGAGCTCCCTAGTGCAGTCTCACCATCCTCTAACTGCTTTTCAGATTTCAGGTTACTGAGATATATTTCCCATTCATCATCTCTTGTACTCAGAAGTAATATCATATAATGGCTATTCACCTCCATGAACTCTTGAATCTGTCTCTTCTTTTCATCCCGTTTGACATTGCCATCAACGTCAAGTCCCAATTTCGTACTTCCTCTCCTATCCATGCCAGAACCATTTAGAGTAGGGACTTCATCAATAAGAATTTTGATATTTCCTGAATTCATTATCTCCTTAATGTAGTCATATGAGCCTCCAATGCACCAGAAATATGCAAGAATTTATTCTTAACAGTGAGATGCCCATCTAACTTCCTCTTTGGTGCAACATGATAGCTTGAATTTGATTCAGAGTTCTGATCTAATCCACAATCAGACTCGGAAGTAAAACCTTGCAAGCCATTGTAGAACCGAACAACACAACCATGTTTTTCAATCTTAGGTATCCATCTTTGTTTGATTAGTTCCTCAGTAGCATTAGTGTCTTTAGTGTCTGCGCTGATGATTCCCTGAAGCTTCTTTCCAACATTTCCCTGTTCTATTTCCTCAGTTTCCTCGATGTGGACAGTCCCTGTAGAGCTTTCCCAAGTGTTTGAACCAGCAAATTTATCAACTTCCGATTCATAGTCTACGGAGATAGAGGATTGAGTCACCACCGCCGATTTCTCCTCTTTATTGACTAGAGACAGCTCTCTCTCTCTTCTGGTTCGACTTTGTCCTTGATTCCCGAATACCTCATCTTTGTTAGGTATCATCTGAGAACTGAAAAGTTCGCTTCTCGAAGGCTTCATACTTTGACCCAAACTGAGAGAGTCAGCTCGCGACAAAGCCGGGGAACTGGGGAAAGTTGCTTGTGACTTGGACAAAACTTGTGAATTGAAACCTCCTGTCAATCTTGTTTCACTTGGAGAAGAAGAAGTTTGCGAGTGTGATTGCGAAGACTTCTGCGAACGTATGAGGAATTCCGATGATGGACTGTAAGAACAAACAGTAGTTCTTGGCGAAGATTCATGCGAACTGGAATGATACGTGAGTGTCGAACTGTGCGACCTATGAGAAGTTGTACGTGAAGGGGCCGGTGAACTGCGGACATCTGTTCGCGGCTGAGAATAGCCCTGCGCAAGCGATGAGGTCTGCGAATTAAGCAAAACTGTTCGCGATCTTCTTCTTGCCTGTAAATGTTCTTCCATAGCAGCTAGCTGTCTCGCGATGTTATCCAGCTTTGACTTCACCTCCTGCTGATTCCGCTCCAGCGAATCCATGCGCTGATCCATTTTACCTCTAGCTCTAACCATCCACCTTCTCATTTTCATTTTCATTTCATTTACCCCAGTGCCGCAAAGGCTCCCACCTACGGGTGGGGTAAGGGGGGGTCGGATGTACGCAGTCTTACCCCTGTACTAAAGCACAGAGAGACTGTTTCCGGATAACCCATAGTGAAAATCTCATCCAAAATTGCATGAACTGACTGCTGCTTCATAACAAAAAAGCGCAGACAGTTTAATGAGCCATTTTGCTTTATTCCATCATAATCTCAAGCCAAAAAATAATGAATCTTTGGCTCCATTGCAAATGATGGAAAGTTCCGGATAAAAATAATGAATCTCTAATCATCCACCTTCGAATGAAAAAAAAAATCTGGATTCAGATACTTCTCTGATCAATCCTGAAGTCGCCAGGAGCTTAATGCTCTGATACCAATGATAGACAACAGCAATTCCGACACTCCACACAATATAATCAGTAGCAAGTATAGAGAAACAAGATCAGAAGAGAGTTTATTGACGTAGACGAAGAAGTACAGAACGTATACAAGCACTGGACGATTCGAGATGCCCAATCTCCAAAGTCTAAGTCCAACCTAATGACAGCCTCCTATTCTTAGACTCCAGACTTCTATTTATAGTATTTCTATTTATAATACAAGCCCACTTATTATTATCTACAATAATAGGCCCACTTATTATTATTTCTAATAATAGGCCCATTTAATATCTATTCCTAACAATCTATCATAAACTTATTTTCCCGATATTGGCAGTGAATCCAAAGCCATGGCTCTCATGGCATCTCTCATGAAACCTCACCACATCAAGGTCCTCAAACCCCTGAACACGAAGGCACCTTCCTATCATTGAAACTGGAAAAACTCTTCCTCAGCAAGCCCATTTCCCCACATAATTTTTGTTCTACACTCTCCCCACTGCATATATTAATGAGCCGTATGCCTACACCCACAGTCTGCGCCTTCCATGGTTGGTCACCCAAAGCACATATCTTTGCATTGACCTCTGCTGTCAAAGAATGCTCCAGTCATGACACACGCTCATTGAAACCTTACCTTATTACCGGTTTCTTCACGACCAAAGAAGTCATCAGAAATGAAATGAATACAGGCACAACTATCACACCATGACATTTAATCGTCCATGCATCAAGTTTCACTAGAAACAGTCTAAATAGTAAATATGAACTCCTGATTTCATGTTATATAGTACTCCATATTGCAGTAGAATAAAAAGTCACTGAACAGCCACCTAAGCGACTAATAGACAGTAGACTAAAAGCACAAAGAAAAATTAAAGATTACTCAAGTAGAACCAAATAGACTATGACATGTGATGACACTCAGAAAGAAAAAATAACAACAGAGTGACAGACATAACTGAACATTGAGAGCTAGTTACAAGACTAGGATCCTGGATAGATCAGTTGCAAGAAAATCCAAACTATGTGGGTTTGGGAACAAAAAATTAATGGGGTCAATTAATTGCCTCGAATTAGCTAGTACTATAAGTTCATGCAAAATTGCTCACTAAACTGTCTGCGCTTCTTTGTTATGAAGCAACAATCAGACAATCAGTCTATGCAATTTTCGATGTGATTTTCACTATGGGTCATCCGGAAACAGTCTCACTGTACTTACAGGGTTAAGGCTGCATACATCCGACCCTTACCTCACCGTAGGTAATGAAGAAGAATGAAGAAGAAGAATAAGTTCATGCAAAAAAGCAGTGGGAATGCTTAAGGCTGGATGGCCAAGAAGGAATAATGAGAAGAAATTCAAAAACCTGTCATCGTCACGAGTTTCCCACTTAATTGGAAAAAATCAAGATATAGCATTGATTTGAGAGAGTTGCTACAGTCATGTCACTTTGATATTTAATTTAGTATCTGAGGATGCATATCATGGAAAATGACAGTAAGGTTGAGACAGTTGTGGTTCATCTTGAAGACCTCGAAGCCAATTTTTTATAAACTGACTTATAAAAAAGAGAAACGGTAAGAAGAAAAAGTAAAGACAGGAGTGAAACAATTAAGGAAACTTGGTTCTCGTGACTGGTGAAGCATGCAGGTCAAAGGAAATGGAAAAACGGCATTCTTTTTACCTAGTTATTCTGGTTCATCGTTCACTTGCTCAGGCAGTCAAAGGATATTGTTTTTTTTTCTCAATTGATTACATTATGTATTTTCTTTGCTGTGACGAACATGCTACAAAAACTGAGAAAGGGGAATTTCATTCAGACCATGCAAAGCAGGTAAAAGGAACTAACCATGCTCCAGAACAGCACAGCATTTCCTTTAGTAGGCTTTACACTTAATCCTTTAACCATCTTCCCACCACAGCTACATTCGTTGGTACCAGCCTGCAGATGGAATTAAAGTAAGGACACGAGCATTAGCAATTTATTGACAGAGACATCATCTAAAAAACTGCGAAGGAAAAGTCAAACGAAACTTCTATTTATCGATTATAAACAAAATACATATTACTTCGTATAAAATAAGTTGACAAGTATAGCTTTCATAGTATCATTGAAGGTTTCACATGAAGTCTTAAGTGACTACTCAACATTGTCCTTACAATCTTCATTAATAAAAGTATAATGACATTAAGATTTAATGAGATCAAGATTAACTACTTCTTCATGATTTTACTTAACTGAAGATGTATATGACTATCTAATTTATTGTATATAGTACTCCCTCCGTCCCATTTTACTTGTCCTACTTTCCTTTTTGGTTGTCCCAAAAAAGTGTCACATTTCCTTTTTGGGAAAGAAGTATGTTATCTACATCATTTCACTTTATTATACTCAAATCTCAACCACAACTTTTACTTTTTCAACCACTATTAATAATTGTGCCAAGTCAAAGTAGGACTTATAAAATGGGACAGAGGTAGTAACGTATTGCTGCTTCTATAGCAAATACAGGACTTCTAATATAGTTCTACCAAAATGCAAGGGGCACAACACTACATGAGTACTTGTAGAAGTGTAGAACTATAATTTAAAAAATGACTTATCAAATATAATTAACTACAAGTATCATCCATTTGTTTTATCCTATCTCCTAGCATAAGCAGTCAATTTTCATCAAACAATCTAAGCCAAAATTGTCATTTTGGATCATAGCAATTGAGGGAAATATATATAATCCAAAATTCTAATGATGACTTTGTACATAATCCAGTAAAACATCTAAGCCAGTAAGACCAAGCCCATCCAGAAAGCAATAAACCATTGAGTCTTCTTCAATATAGCTCGTGCACATGTATGTGTTAGACTCATCATTTTGCACCAAATTAACTAATGTGCAATCACAAAATTCTAATACATAGTTGGAAAATCTTTGGCATAATTGATGCTGATGAGATAGCATGCAGTTCATAGGTTTAGACTCGGATTTTGGCCCAGTCAAGGCCTCAAGGACTTCCCTTTTCCTCTGAAGGGTTCTGAAACTAAGCAAAAAGGGATCTATAGAATTTCAAATTTGCCAAATGAATGTGACAAAAACTACTCCTGCAAGTTTGATGGATGTACCATTGGAAAGTATGTTTCTCCACCTTCAACGTCGTCACTTAAATACATGAGCATGGTTGCTACTCTTTGACCTCCCCTCTTTATGTTAAACTGCAATAAGTATTAAACCTCATTTTGCACGATGTAGATATTCAAGGATTGATGAGACGAGATAATGGGGAGTTATAAATGCACAAGGTGATGGGAAATATACTTCATCAGTGAAGTAGTCATGATGTGGTCTGTACAGCTCATTCTTTTCATACCTGTGCTTCTGCATATGTTAGCTTAGATTCTAAGAACATATCAAGCTTCCATATATACAATTCAATGAAACAATAATGACCACGCCTACCTTAAAACTTGAATGAGCTCCCCATTTTCAACTGGTATTTGAGAATAGACAGCTATTCGTTTTTCGATTGCCTGATACCGCAGGAACGATATAGGAAGTCACTTAATGAATCACTAGTAAACTTGTTTCAAATAAATATCACCATAACAAATAGTAGTGTTCTATAACATTTACCCTTTGTTCTCATGGAGAAAAAGGCACAGTATATTAATAAGAGTGGGGTGAAGACAATATAAATCATGGCAAGATCATACACATTGTTGAGTATACAGACCAACCTGTACCATAGGGTATAGCCTCTCATTATGATTCAAAAACATACCAGAACTTGTCCTGACATTGCTCTTGATTCCCTAGACAAGTACAAAATTGTGTATTTAAATATGAATTTAGAGAAAATCATCAAATAGAAACAAGTACGCAAACGATAAATGGCACAATTTAACCAATGACAGTGGAAGTTCAAATTACATATAAAAAAGAAAACGATAAAAAGTTACATTTTGACAAATCTTAATACAAATGGAGCAAATTCCTTATAAAACTAAAGCTTATATTCTTTCCAGTGAAACTACATTCCATTATTAAATCACCATTTTACTTATGAAGAGACCAAACAAAGTGGAGGAAAGCCATATAACCATCTCAACTAAATACTATAAAAAGAGTAACTAAAACTACACAAATAACTCAACTAGTTGAATCCATTGCAAACAACTAAAAGGTTATAAGACATGAAAACGCATCACTTTGCAAAAAGGAAGGTCGGCAAGAAGTTGACAGAAAGAATATGTAAATTACTCCCGCTCTTCTACATGTACCATTTTCTCAGCAAATTTAACATCTAGGCAACCAAATAGTTCAGCTAACTTGTCAACGTCACTTAAAAAAAACATGAACTTCAAATACTAATCTTTACAGTTTAGTATAGAATAGTATGCAGGTCATAATTTGAAGATAATGATAATGTTAATAATAACAATAATAACAATAACAATAATAATAATAGTATGAACAACAACAATGATAAAATGTATATGACATCACATACTCACTTTTCCAGTTTTTATATCCACCACTGTGGATACTTGAAGGCGGGGCTTCGCAATACCTCTAAGATAGTCACATTCCTGAAAAAGAACTGTTAAGATTCACTTGCAACATAAATTATTTGAAGTCGAAGTACAGTTTGAACATTCTCCACTCGAGACTGACAAATGCTTTTCACAACATATTACTTCTATCTCTATGCCCCCTTAGTTCTATTTCTGAAAATGAAACGTTGACTTTTACCTTCGTAATGCATATAAAAGTATCTAGACTCTGCAGGAATTTTACATTTTACTGTCATCGAATACGATCTCCAGTGGAGACTGGCAAATGCATTTTATAGTATGTTACTTCTACCTTTATGCCCCCTTAGTTCAAATACTACCACACTCTGAAGACAAACTATGGAATACAAGACCAGTATTACAGCTACATTTAAGAACTACTAGGTCAGGATATGTACAGCAGAACTTAATGGGCCGATCCTTCACTGGACCCTACTTCCTACATATGCAGAAGCACCTGGCTGCCCTTTTATTACAATCACAATTAAGTAGGTGTGTAGAAGTATGGAATAGAATACAAATGCAACTACATTTATGAAATATAGATGGTCATTTCCTATGATACACTGCTGTTTACGGAAAAGACAAAAATAAATATGCAGAATTGGCTCAATGTATGTATTGAATGGAGCCAATTAAGAAAACTAGCTTCCAAAATTCAGTGAATATGTTTCCTACAGGTTAGCCAAATGAGTAGCATATTATAGTTGATAAAAATGCTGTGCTCCCTACACCCTTTCTGCACTTCAGTTCAATATTTGCAAACACAAATATACGCAGTATATACTACTCCCTCCGTCCCTTAAAATTTTGCCAAGTTTGACCAGCACGGGAATTAATAAAGTAAAAACTGTGTGTTGAGGTTTGTGTAGAGGAGAGAGAATTAACTGGAACCACAAATTCTTTACTAAAATGGGAAAGTGGCAAAGTTAGTGGAACATCCAAAAAAGGAAAGTTGGCAAAGTTTTAAGGGATGGAGGGAGTACTAAAAGCATAAGGTTTGAGTACTCACATGGTCACATGGCCACAAATGTAGTATTAATAATAATAAAAATTGGTCAAGCACTTCAGTGCCTTTTGAGTCTTTCATTTTTCATAAAAACTAAAAAGAGTATATCTATTCAAGTAAGAACAAAAAATTACATATATAATTCCTAGTTGAAGTCAAATAACGTCAGCCCATTGTATCCACCATCTACGACACTAATCCAAGTAATCCGCAATGGGAAAGATGTTATTTTCCATTTTTTGGTTTCCCAGTTTATATCCATCAAATACATAGTTATACAGCAATAATTTTTTCTTCCAATAGGCAGCTTCAGAAGACAGGAACTTATCATCAGAAACTCGGGAAAGAAAGAAAAATCTACTTTTGTGGGAAGGGCTGAAAAGAATATGTTGCTCAAGGAAAACCACTACCTCTACATGTTTCTGCAAGATAGTGGAGCGGCTAAACTATACCAATGAATCAGCCTATCATAAGTTCTTTTGTTCTAATAAAAGGTTTGAGAGGGTGGTTATTGTTAAATATTATACGGAGTATTAGCCGTCAAGGGTCGTTTGGTCATTTTATCTTGTATGTTTAGATTAGATATTGTACATATACTCTTTGTATGTTCCATATTCATCATCCTATTATTATCAATATACGTATGTCTTCTTCCACACAAGTGCTCCTCTCTTCAATGGCTTTATCAGTTATAAATATAGTCGCATTTTCCCACTCTCCTTGTAACCACGTGGCCACATGGGTCAATTACATTTAGGAAAACCACCAGGTTTATGAATCCCAATGTGCTATCTGTACTCGATCCATGTGGCCATGTGAGTACATGAAGAGTGGGAAAGGACCATTTACAAATGTAACTGATTCCTCACAAACCCAAAACCAAAGCATAAGAAACTAACATGCACACCAACAAATATTCACGTGGTTTAGATTACACAGCTATTCACAATCCATTCATTGCTAACACCAATTACTATTACAATGAACACAGAATGGACACTTCTATTAATAATACTAGTAAGATCTGAAAACATGATTTTAACTGGGAGATGCAAAGTTCAGAAGTAGCCATGTTCAAAGAATCTATACCAGTCTTCCACTCCTCCAATAAATTAATTCATCTTCACACAAAAAGGTTTATTAAACTTATGTATATCTAGCAAAGAGTCAGTGTGGATGCAATGACTTTAGTAACAGCGCTTCATAATTCATATGAAATTGGATTACCTCTGTACTTAAAAAGTTATGAAACAGAATTATTCTCGGTGACCAGCTTAGTACTTCAGGTTTCACCTACAGTGAGAAAACATCAAAATTCAAAGATCAGGTCTCTGTATATAAAATGTTAAGTGATTTACAACAATCTTTCTTAGGATCTATTATGTGCTCAATACTACTAGAGTACTTCCTGCCCCCGAAATAAGGTTCCTCCTTCATTTCAAAGAAAGTATAGTGTGGATGTGGTTGATATTACTTATCTCTCCTTTACGTAAATCTCAACCACCTATTTACGGTGTCTACTGAACGGATCAAATGGTGGGACTTATTTTGGGATGAAGGGGGTACTAAATATTTCTTCAATTGGGTATAGACCATCATGATACGAGTATCCGATTTATTAAAGAACAAATAAAAAAATTCCAAAACTTTTAAAAGTTTCAAATATGACCCAAAACGTACTATACAGATATCCTGTAGTATCAAATATGGTAACATTTCCAATACGCAGATACGGTACCTTAACGAAGTATTCATGCTACATAGGGGTCTACTATGTAGTACTTAAAAATCATAAAGGTGTTTAACTGCTACGAAACTGTGACATTAGTACCACACTACAATTAAATAGGCATGGGAGAATGTTTTGGCATACATAACCGAGACGTAGCATTACAGCTTCTTTGTCATAAGCCAACTTTGAAACTCCTGAAAGAAAATGAAAGAAAAGTGAAGATCAAATGGATTAGATCTAAAATCACATTATTAAGCACAACCTAATTCTTAAATTAGCAATTTAGTATTAAAAAAATACTGGATGGGAGGGTCTTTGATCTTAGCAAAACCATGTGCTAAGCAATCAAAGCTATTGGTGTCCATTTCATTAGGTTGCACCATCAACAATAAGGTAAATTGTTTAGTCAGCAATTACAGTTGATCACAGCACAACCCAAACACACCAAGAGTTTCAGAACCTTTAACTCATTTGCAAACAAGTTATACAAACCTATTTCCAAAGGTTTGACACCACGTCGAATCCCACGCAATCCCCTCAATGTGGGTTCTGTCCCTGCATGATCTTCCAACACTTACTAACCGGAACAAAAGAGGGAAAGTTCCCAAAGTAGAAGTAAACAGGTTTTGAAATCTCAAAATAGTGCTGCTATGTTTTTCTTCCTAAAATAGGAGTAACATGGCAGTATTTACTGCCATCTCAGAGTCATTACTACCAATAATTGCAGTACTAGGCATAAACATGGCAGTATTTCTTGTCATTGATGACTATTTTTCATTTTCAATAATGGCAATGACGACTCCTATTTCGGAAAGAAAAACATAGTAGTTCTACTTTGTAGAAACAATGTAAAATTCCAAATTAAGAGTACTATGTATTTTCCTTAAATAAGAGTACGTTATTGTCATCCTGAAAATTTACTGCCCTATTCTGGCATTATCCAGCTTTGAATATGCCAGTATTCTACCATAATTGGCCATATTTTCCAAACATGTCAATGATTATCGCTATTTGGAGAATAAAAATATTGTGCTCCTATTTTGGACTTCCAAAATGTTTTTACTCATATTTAGGGCAACTTCTTTAATAGTTATAATAAAAAATAATTATTATAAAATTATTTTTACTAATGACAGCAAAAGAACGAAGAGAAAAAGAAACAACAACGAAGGTATAGTTGTACCCACAGCTTCTTACAATACCTCTAGTTGCATTAAACCTCTGATTACCTAATAAACTAATGTAGAAACTAAACTAAAGACGCTATCCTTATTCCAAACAGAAAAGAATGAGGTAAAACCATAAAACCAAGGAAAAGCAACAAACAGAAATCTCTAAGCATAGGACTCAGGTGCAGAATAATGAAGATACGGAGTACATGATATAAAAGATTTTGAATGGCTTTTTCAATTTTCTTTTTATGATTAAAAATTGAATATTTTTGGAAGTTGAATCGATATGTAAATGTTGAAACTTAAAATGAAGGAGTGGCCATTGAACTCATACAAGTCAAGGAAAAATTAACAATAAGTGGAACTCTTAATTCCAGCTGACAAAAAGATCACAAAAGCTACCATATGAATCTTCCAATCTCCAAATAAATGCCAATTGCACAAGAGCTCCTGCACGTTACATTAACAAGATTGCCTTTACCCTTCAGACAAATAACTATAAAAGAAAGAATAGTGCACCATCAACTTGTCCCACTGTGGTACGATTAACATTTTTCATTAAATGAATCAACCCTCATCAGATTTTGGGGGAGAAAATGGCCAGATGAATCAATACCCCCTGGCCGTGGAATTAGCCTATTGTGATCAAATATGTCATTTTGTGCACTGTGCACATATAACTATCTAATGAATATTTAGATCACGTTTCTATGTAAGTGTGATCTGCATGTGCGTTTTGCGTAGACGTTTGAAAAGGAAAGAAAAAAGAAAAAAAATACATATAGAAATAGAATCTAGTTACCGATAATCATTCCGATTGCGACAAATGTCAGAAGGCCCAAAACCATTCTCTTCGTCAGCGCCATTTTACCGGCACTCTGAAAAAAGGGCCGATTGGGAAGGTAACGGAAAAAGGAAATGTGTAAGACTGTAACTGATACCGGAGGATTCTGAGTGCTTCCTGCCTCTGCAGACTGAAATGATTCTAATATGAACTAAGTTTGATGAGTATGAGTATAATGTTAAAACAAGAGTATAATGTTATTTATTTCACGAATATGAGTAACTTACTAAGTTTAGAAAAAATATGATGTTTAAAGCCGGTTTGGAACTATTTTAATATCTGAATCTTAAGGACGGGATCCCACCCTATTCTCGAACTTGACAGAAATTTTTCCTATTCAAAGAATAAAAAATATGATAGTTCTATTTTGAACTTTCAAAACTTTTTTACTCCTTTTAATTAATTTTCTGTTTGATCTAAGTTTGACTAATACAGAGTAATATACAGTGAAACGGACCTTCTCCGCTACTTCTACTTTGTGCACCCACAATTTACCTTACATGGACTATTTTATCCTTAGTTTGATTCATTTTAAACCTACGCGGCATGCATACTTGAGCCTGAAATACTAAAATAGTGAAAGAGTGATTCTTACTATTCTTGTCTAATTACTATTTTTACTCAATTATTATTATTATTATCAAGTACTCCCTCCGTCCCGGAATTATCTTCATTCTTTCTTTTTTGGTCCGTCCCAAATTTATCTCTTTTATCCCTTTTTGGTAAAAAATATGTGATTCACAACCATTCTTACACATTTCTCTCTCCTCTGCATAACTCTCCACCACACAAATCTCACTATCTTAAAACTCGTGTCCGGTCAAAATCGGAGTTAAATATGGAACGGAGGGAGTAATTATTATTACTACTCGGTTATTATTATTAAAATTTATTATTATTATTATTCAATTGACTGTTGCACGGATGACAAATGAACTTAACGCCCGGTTCGTAACTTATGTCTTCATCTTATCAATCTTATCATCCATTTTTTTATTATCAAATACTCTGTTATCACATTTTTTATTTCGTGTTTCGAATGATGTAATAAATAATCTCTATAAACAAGGTTGAATTTACTTTTATGATTGATTTGACTGAAATTGCAAAAGATTACTATTGAAGCTATTTCTCATACGACTCTTTCATTATTTTGAATTTTTTTTCATAATTTAAGAGATTCATTAAATTTAGTCACTTCAATCAACATGCTTAATAAACTAGGAGTCTGTTTGGTGATTCTGTTTTTCTACTTATCAGCCTTCTCATACAAGTTTTTCATCAAACACGTAACTTTTTATTTTACGCACTGAATTGTGTAATAATAAAAAAAAGTAAAATTGGAGTTACTTTTCTGACTGTATTGACTGAATTTATTGTAGAGAACTATTTTAGCTATTTTCATGTCATTTTTTCTTTATTTTATTAAAAAAATATTTTAAATACAATTTTTTCATAAATCAGCGGAATCAACCAATTCAGTCACAATTTCATACATTTCAGCAGGATCAGTCAATTCATCATATTTCAGTATTTCCAAACAGGCTTGAGATGGGACTACACCAAAAATTAGAACCTTTTTAGACTTTGTAGGTTTAATTAAAAAAAATTATTCTTGGTGTGATATTTTTTTAAAGACCGAGTCATAAATGTAAAACTTATAACATTTTATAAAAAAATTGTTTACCGCAAGCCACCAAATTGTTTACCGGAACTTATTTGATTTATCACTCACGTTTTTCATCAAACACGTAACTTTTGATTTCACGCATTGAATTGTGTAATAATAATAAAAAGTATAGTTGGAGTTACTTTCCTGATTGTATTGACCTAAGTTACTGTAGAAGGTCATTTTAGCTAGTTTTTATATAATTTTTCTTTATTTATTAATAAAATATATTATAAATTTAATTTTTTCATAAATGAGTAGAATCAGTTAATCCGGTTACTTCAGCCAGAACTTCATATATTTCAACAGAATCAAAAATACAGCTGATTTAAGTATTACCAAACGGGCTCTTGGTCTATGATAAAAAACTGGTGTTTTACCCGGGCCTTGCTCCGAGCAGGTTTTGAGAATATTTGAATATTTTGTAAAATATATATTTATCATCATCATTTACCTCAGTGCCGCAAAGGCTCCCACCTACGTACGATGGGGTAAGAGGGTCGGATGTACGCAGTCTTACCCCTATCCTAAAGCACAGAGAGACTATTTCCAGATGACCCATAGTAAAATCGCGTCCAAAATTGCATGGACTGACTGCTGCTTCATAACAAAGAAGCGCAGACAGTTCAGTGAGCCATTTTGCTTTATTTCATCATATTCTCAAGCCAAAAAATAGTGAATCTTTGGCTTCATTACAAATGATGGAAAAAACGTTTAATTAATTCATCATTACTTTAAATAAACGTTTGTTCGTTGTTGATAGTAAGCTAATTAAAGAGAATATATTAAAATGTGACATTGTAATGTAAAACACGACACACATCAAACATCACATTGTTAGGTTTTGAGAAACCTCTTTATAAGCCACATTCACCGTGATGTAGTATATGGCCCAGGACCCCCCTGCCCACATACTTCCACCACTACAATCAGACCTAACAGGCCCAAGCAGCCCAAACAAAGCAAACTGGACTCCGGACAACCCATACTACAACAAGGTGTAGGGAACGTACGACCTGAAGAGCCCTGGGTACGTATGGCCTCTAACACATGGAGAGCCTTGGGTACGTACGGCCTCTAACACATGAAGAGCCTTTAGTACGTGTGGCTTCTAACACATGAAGAGCTCCAGCTACGTGCGGCCCTTTGGGGACGTACGTCGTTCACCACATGACGGCCCTTTGGCGACGTACGTCCTTTCAGGATCATTCAGACGATTTTATTGGGTGCGTCCCATGCTCCGGGTCCCATGTACGATTTTAACATGCAATGTATATGATATTCGCACCTATTTGACCTTATTTTTGTGATAAGATTAATTTTTGTGTCAGATAAATATATACTGGTAGGATTTAAATATCCTATTAAGGTAAATAAAAATTACCTTATTGAATTTTTAATTTCCACTATAAATTATTAGTCACAAAAATTTTACATTTTATTTTTATCACTTAATAGTCCTGTGAGATATGCGTCTCTTGTTTTTCCTGGGCCAGGGCATCTGCATATGCTAGGATACGTACGTCTTTTGTCACTTTGATCAACTTTGGACACTTTTTACTCGAAGTAAATAAGACACGATGTACAAGAGCAAAGTATAGCGACATCATCAAAATCTATCAAAATTGGGTACTAACAATTTCCCCCTTTTTGATGATGCCAAAACTATACAACGCAGGAACCAAACATTTATATTGATTTTCAATGAGAATGGTACATTGTTCTAAAATCTAAAATACAATATTTTTTAGTCACTTTCGGATTGTTGGTCAAGTCTTCCTTTGTTGATCTCTTTTAGTTTCTTCTTGGCTTCTTCTTTAGCTTTAGCTTCTTCTTCTTTCCTTCTTCTGATTTGTTCTTCTTTTTGATAAAGTTTGTTCTTCCTTCTTGTTGCAGCAGCTTTTTGTGCTGCCAACGATCTTGAAGAGGAGGGTCCTGTTGCTGGTGTTCATTCCCCCTTTTGACATTATCAAGCAATGGGGTCTCACTTTCTCTGAAGAAGGCTTCTATTTCTTCATCAGAGTCAGGTACTTCTTGTCTTCTCCTTGCTGGATCCAGGCCATAGACTTCAATGGACAATGCTTTGATGTAGTTGCGGATGTCCATGAGGTCCGTCTTTACATCGTCCTTGACTTCATTCTCCAGGCCTTGTAGCTTATGTTTTGTAGTTTCTAGATCTTGACCCAGCTTCTGGAAGTCACTTCTTTACTTCCAAAAGGTTTCCTGAGTGGCCTTTTGTAGTACTTGGAAGTTTTCAGCGATGGCCTTGGTGAGTTTGTCATAGGCTTCAACATGAGCCTGCTGCTCCATGAGAAATTTTTGAGAGAGCTTGAGCATGGCAGGGAACTCTTCATTCTTCAGTTTGTTGAGGTACTCTTCATGCTCCTGTACCTTTTGAAGAACTTGTTCAAGGTTAGAGGGCAGAGGACTCTGCTGCCGGTTGGGAGGCTGCTGCTAGTTCTTGTTGCCGTAGGTGTCTTAGAGATGCTAGAATTGGATTCTCCAGCTCTTCATCTTTAGCTCTTAATGCTGCGAGCTCCTTATGTATAGCTTCTATCTGAGCCAGCTGCTGGGATAGTTGAATGTTGAGTCGAGCTTTCTGCTCAGAATTGAAAACTTGTTGGATCATCAAGTTGCTCTTGATGTGGCAGTGTACTTCTACAAAACGCATCTCTAGTAGGTTGTCAAAGTGTTTCTGCATTTTGATCAACCGCTTGTGAAGCTTAACCTCAGCATTACTTATGAATTTGGTGGTGGCCCTTCTTTCTTGGATGAAGACATCTGTCATTGTAGGAGTATCTTCTGCATCTTCTGTGATAATTTTCTCTTTGAGATCCAGAGATGTAGTAGGTTGTTGTTCACACGTGGGAATTGGTTGATCTTCCTTCGGGAAATAAACCTTTGGGATCTAAGTGGATTTTTAAACGGAAAATGAAACCTGACGGTTCCATTACAAGGCCAGACTTGTAATCAAGGGATACAAGCAACATCAGGGTCATGATTATTTTGACATGTATTCTCCTGTGATGAGAATAAATTCCATTAGGATGATACTAGCAATTGCCGCATTGCGGAAATTGGAAGTTCGTCAAATGGATGTAAAAACCGCTTTTCTAAAAGGTGATATAGACGAAGAAATCTATATGGAACAGCCCAAGGACTTTCGTGTTCCTGGCCAAGAAAGGAAAGTGTGTAAATTAATTAAATCACTGTATGGATTGAAACAAGCCGCTAAACAATGGCATGAAAAGTTCGATCATGCAATGTTAATTAATGGGTTTAAAATAAACGAAAGTGATAAATGCGTCTATGTGAAAAGCACATTAGATGGCTATGTCGTTTTATATTTATACGTGGATGATATACTCATCGTGGGCAGCAATAATCTAATGATTAATTCTACCAAAAGCATGTTAAATTCTAAATTTGACATGAAGGATATGAGGCTGGCCGATTTAATCCTTGGGATTAAAATCATTAGGGGACCAGACGGTCTTAGGCTAAGCCAATCTCATTACGTTGATAAAATCCTTACGAAATTTAATAAGGATGATTATCAAGAGGCAATGACTCCATTAGATAAAACGTACACCTTTCCAAAAATCATGAAGAGTGTATTTCTCAAGTAGAATACGCTAGGATTATTGTAAGCTTGATGTATCTAATGAGTTGTACCAGACTGATATTGTCTTTGTGATTAGCAAGCTAAGTAGATATACTAGCAACCCCGGTGATGAACACTGGAAGGCAATAGTCAGGGTTTTGAGGTATTTACGTAAAAGCCAAAACCTTGGACTACACTATGGAAGATATTCAGCTGTACTTGAAGGGTATAGTGACGCTAGTTGGATATCCTACATAAAGGACTCTAAGTCCACAAGTGGATATGTTTTCACTTTGGGAGGTGCAGTCGTGTCATGGAAATCCTTGAAACAAACGATGATAGCTAGATCCACGATGGAGTCTGAGCTAACAGCCTTGGATAAGTGCACTGAAAAGGCTGAATGGCTACGCCATTTTCTCGAGGATATTCCAAGTTGGGAAAAATTTGTCCCTCAAATAAGCATACATTACGATTGTCAAGCGGCAATCGGAAGGGTACAAAGTAACATGTACAACGGTAAGTCTAGACACGTTCGTCGTAGACATGACACTATTAAACAACTCCTCACAACGGGTGTTATCAGTGTTGACTACGTGAAGTCAAAGGATAACATAGCGGATCCGCTAACCAAGGCATTGGATAGAGAATTGTTGGAGAAGTTGTCACGAGGAATGGGACTAAAGCCCGTGAATTGAAAGGTTCTATAGTGGATACCCAACCTAGTGGTTCACTCTGGGGGTCCTGGACTCCTACCCACTCCTTGTTGAAACAGTGACTCCCGCATGAGGTTAGCAAAAAATGTAACACCGTCCCCAATTATATTTACTTTTATGTAAATATGTATTGAACCTTACAAAATGGTTAATGAATTTTCGAAGTTAAAAATTTTTGTTATTACTTGTGCGTGAATAGTAAATTGCATGTGGGGCCCATATCGGGAGAGGAGACCACCCTACATTTCCGAAACCACATATTATATTCATCTTGGTCTAAATAATATGATGGTATATATTTTAGTTGGGCCATAGAAAGGGCATCGGGTTGACCAATTGGTCAGATAAGGCCCAATTATCGGAATGTGTAGTTGATCGGATAATAGTCCGAAATGAACTTCGGAGACTTTTAAATTAAAGTTTTGGAATATATATTATTTTAAGGGGGCATCATGATTGAGAGTAAGTAATATATTTTATTTGACCCGATAAAATAAAGTATATTTAAAACAGTCCGAAAAATACAACTTTCTGGACCGAATGTACACTTCTGGACAAAAAGGGTTGACCTCCCACATGGGTGGGGGCCAACCCAAGAATTTAGTCACCCAAACAAAGGGTTTTGCCGGTTGGAGTAAAGAGGGGAACATGGGAGGGGATGGTGATTTGATCAATATGGCATCAAACAAAAATGAGGTGGCCTCATCCACACTCATTTGTTCAATGAGACAAAGAGGTAATCCTCACCTCTCTCTCCCTCATTTTTTTCGGCCAAGATACACCCACGAAGAACAAAAACCATCCAGCTCCTTTTTCCCCATTGTTGAAGAAGTGCTCAACAAGGAAGAATCTCAAGAAAAAGAATTAAGGTGCTAAAAGTATAAAGAATTTAGGTAATACCCGTATCATAGCTTTCCCCTTACTTTTCTTCTATCATATGAGATATATATCTTATGAAGAACACTTAGAATCATTCTACACATTTAGAAATGTAGAATGAGGGGTTGAAAGGTGGTTTTAAGTCCAAGAACAGACTTAGAAGCCAAAACGACCGGTTCGCCGGAAAATAACCTTTTAGAGGTTATTTGTATTGATGTGAGTTTTGTGATGATGAAACTATGTTAGGAGCATAACTAAAGTGTTTCTAGAGTTCGCCGGAGTTTCGCCGGAGTTCGCCGGAGTTCAACCGAGGAGCGTAGAACGTGCTTAAGCTCATTTAAGGTGAGTGAACGGCTTAATATCTTATAACTTTTGGGTTAATTATGAGATTACCTAAATAAATGTTATATGTATTCATAATGATGTTTAAAAGATATTTAAACATGTGATTAGCCAAAATGATTAGGCATGTATGAAATGAAGTACATGATTATGCATGGAATATGATATAAGAATTTCTATGAAATTGCATGCTATGTTTGAAAGGTAAAGAAAGCATAGAATGAATATTATTAACTCAATACTTTTATATATGATGATTAAGTTGATATATATAAGGCTTGAAAATGACTGTTAACGAAAGCGTTGATCGATGGGTAATGAATTAATTAATACCGGTTGGTATTAGTTAATTATAAATTTATATAAATGCAAGGCTTTGCATGAATTGAGATACATAAGCTTTATGAATTTATTTGGCTATGAATATGATATAGACTCTATCTAGGTTGATAGGAGTATGATCATAGGATTATAAACTTGGTGGAGGACCCTAGGACTAAAAGTCCTTAACACTCATATTATAAATTAGTAGAGGACCCTAGGACTTGAAGTCCTTAACAATCATATTATAAATTGGTGGAGGACCCCAGGACTCGAATTCCTTAACACTCGGATTACAAATTGGTGGAGGGCCCTAGGACTTGAAGTACTTAACACTCATATTATAAATTGGTGGAGGACCCTAGGACTTGAAGTCCTTAACACTCATATTACAGATTGGTGGAGGACCCTAGGACTGGAAGTCCTTAACACTCGGATTATAAATTGGTGGAGGACCCCAGGACTTGAAGTCCTTAACACTCAAATATATATATATATATATATATATATATATATATATATATATATATATATATATATATATATATATATATATATATATATATATATATATATATATATTTGAGTGTTAAGGACTTCAAGTCCTGGGGTCCTCCACCAATATATATTAGTGGAATACCAAGGATTATGTTATCCTCAAAACTCATAGTCTATGATATTGAAATAAGGATAAGGAGGAGTCCTATGCACTCATAAGTATATGAGTGGGTTGGGGTTTTTAGTCAAGAATATTGACTATTACTATTTTCCCCAAATAAAACGGCGATTTACGGATCGGGTATTTTCCAAGTGTGTGTGTGTGTGTATATATATATATATATACTATTAAATATTTCTTAACTTGGGGGGAAAGACTATTTACATAAGTATCACACTATGTTTGGGTCTTATACTTGAAACACTAGTTATTCTATATTTAGCCTGCTACTCGCTCGGTACTTGCACTGACCACTTCGGGGGGGGGGGGGGGGGGGGGGGGGGCACCATTTTCAGGTTGAAGTTAGGGCTTGCTACCTGCACCTTTCTACGAGTGATATCAAATTCAAGGAAGACGTGGTTCGTGTTTCCTCATGTTCTTTCAAATTACTAAACATTGCTCATGGATATTTTTATTTGTTTCAAACTACTCTTGAACTTGCATGCCCGTGTTATTGGCCGATGTGGCCTATGAATTACCGCTGAATATTTCTGTTATTCAATGGTTTAATTTGTGATGTTGTTATGCATGTTTACTACTGAGTATGGATGGATTGTTTTCTCGAACGCCTTGTATGATTAAGTGAGGTTGACCCGCGGGTGACGTCACTCGATTATACGGTGGTTGTACACGCGCTTAGATTGCGATCTGGGGCGTGACAAAAAATGTTTGCTTTAATGATTCTGAAATGTTGATCTACTCAATAACATTAGAAGAGTATGTGGGATACTCGTGAAAGAATCACCTATGTGAGAGAGAAGAGGGCCGCTTCAAAGGAGAACTGTGTAGGCTCAGTTCTTTAGAAACTCTTGAAGAACCATAACGGTGACCCATGGCCAAAACGGGCACACCCATGAGAACGGAACAAAGTTGGAAGGTTCATGTGTAAAGATAAGTCAATGTTTACACGACGGCAGTATAGTTCAAGGACATCGAGTCTGTTAGACAGCCAGTAATTAAACATGTCTTTACAGCGGAAGGTTCAAAGGATAAAACTTACCTCTCAGTATGCAGGGATCATCTGGTGAACACAATATGTCCTCCTATCTTCGTGTCTTTTTAAGTCTCGAAAATAAATTTTCATTCATGTGGGGGATTGTTGGAAAAATGTGTTAAAAATTGCATTAAATGGTCTATTTGGGGCAATATTTTGAGTGAGGTCCACTTCCGATTTGGGTGGGGTCAAAGTGGTTTCGGATTGTCCTTGCTAAAGGCTACAATTAGATATATGGTACACTCAAAATGGATAACGGGTGAATGAGAAATTAATTCTCGAAGTTCACTTGTTGAAATGGAAAAACTGGGAATACGATTGGTTTCTAGTGGGATTTATCCCACACCGGAAAACCCAAGGGATTTTCACCCCCTTATGAAGGGAACCCTCTTTGAAGGAGTTCAAATTCCTACGGGGAAAGGCTCTCTTCGCGTGGGGGGGGGGGGGGGGGGGTGATCAAATCCAGAAAACGGAGAAGAAAAACAACGACTCGTGCACGCGGGCGAGTTGCGGTCACGAATGTCGTCCGACTAACGTTCCTTAATTTTTTCCATACTAGCAGAACTGCTCAGAACCAGAAAGGGGGTTTTCTGTTGGCTTCGGCACAGAAGACGATGAGATCTTCTGGTGGCTTTCGGACAGAAGACCACGCAGCTCTTCTGGTGGCTTCCGGACAGAATACCATGGACCTCTTCTGGTCGCGCAACTGAGCGGTCACGGTAATAATTGCCCAACGTTCTTTTCCTTTAATGCTTCTTTAAATGGACAGTATTTCAACACCTTAATGCCCCCCCGTGCTAGACATTTATGTGCAACGTTCAGGTCCATTAAAGCTCGATTAACACACCACAAATCCTCCTATAAATGGCTGGCAGGTGTTTTGCAACAACACATGTAGTCATACACTATCTGCACGTATTTTGAGCTCTAAAAACACCTCCAGCTACTCCGAAAGTTTCCTAAGTGTTCTAGTTTATACCCGTTCACCGGAACTTTCGTTTGTGTGCTCAAACGTTAGTTCGTTAGCCACCGTATATTGAGAAACGGTCATTGCAACGCTCCTAGAACCGTGGGAGGCGACGAATACGTTATAAGGACATCATGCGTAGCACGAACTCTGGCTAAATTCTGCCTCATCTCATTTCTGTTTTCTTTAGTCATTTTAATTAATTAATTTTTATTAATTATTTTCTTCGTTTTTCCGAGACACACCCAACATTTAATTGTTGTTATTTTTTATACATTTTTCAAATATCATTAAATATTTAATAATGACCACAATATTATAATAATAACCACAACCTCCATGAAATACCTCTTTTATGAGGATACATTGAAATAAAGTACTTAAACTATACAATGAACAACAATATATATACCGCATTGGGGCTGAGGCGTGTGGAAGAGTGAATATCGAGAAAAGGGGTATAATATATAGCTACGTGAATACTGAGGAAATTTTAAGATAATTAAATGATAATTCTTAGAGTGTATATTGAGGACTGTAATCATAATTCTTAGAGTGTTCTGGACTCTGTCATGGTCGCCGCTCCTACACCCAGACCAGAACCAGCTAGAGCAAAGAATGGTTAGCAAAACAATGATCGAAGAACGCTAGCTATCTAGAATCTGCTCTTAAGGAACGACGGAATTCGACCCCGGACTGTGTCAATCGCTACCAGGAATTGAACACCACCGAATGCCATACCCAGTTTCTCCATCCTTGGTGTTCATTCTGTACACTACAAACGAAGGGGCTTCAGGAATGCTTAGCTTCGACGCCCCATTTTATCTCTAAGCTGATAGAGGGAAATAATTTTAATTTCAAGCACGAAAAGAAATTTGGACTTCTCACGGTTTCCTGGGAAAAGCAATTTTTAATTTTGAAATCCTCCCTACAGATAATCATCCTCGGCAACCTCAGACCTCAAACACATCTGACACTGAGGAATCATGACTTCGACACATCTCCTTCAAGAAGATTAACATGGGAACAAGAATTATTGGATCAGCTGGTTGAGATTAAAATTCCAAAGAGGAGAAGTAATCGCATAAAATACAACAAGTCTGGGATCGATCATTTTGCCGTAACTTTGTTGGGTTCTGCTCCACGCCACTACTTTGTTGCATTTCAATTTGTTTTTGTCGCTTTTATTTACTCTTGTTTTTCTTGTTTTAATTTACCTCTCACATTGTACTCCAAAAATTTATTCAATAAAGTTTTCCTTTCTCCAAAAAAGGTGGAAAATAAATGGAGAAAGGAAATGAAAGAGGAAATTGAAGAGATCAGTCGTATAAGAGATCTGGCAGGAGATCTGAACGGTGCAGATTTGTTTAAAATGAACGGTGAAGATTAATTTGTATCGCTATTAAGTATTTTTTGAAAACACCTAATTGATAGCGATACAAATTGATACAAATACTAATCTGCACAGTTCAGATCTCTTTCATATCTACTAAGCTGTCAGATCTCTTATACGACTGATATCTTCCCTTTCCTCTTTCATTTCCTTTCTCCATTTATTTTCCACCTATATCTTTCATTCCAGTATAACAACATAGCTCCAACACCGATCTCTTCTGTAATTTAGAAGAGGTTTACTCACTAAGCTCAGATCTGCGCTCTTGAATTTTGACATTTACGAATTTACCAGTGAGCTCTTTGTTCTCCGAATTCGAGTTTCCTTTTTTTGTAACTTTCCAATCCAAGAGTAATACATTTGTTTATTTCAAAGGTGAATAATTGCTGATTTTGTTCATTCACCTCATGATTGATGCCCAACAAATCAACTTCAATTGTAAATTCTTCCCAAATTATGTTTTAATTTAAACCGTTAATGTTTTAGTAATCTATTCTATTTTCTATTTATATTATACATAAAAAACAAATAGCTCTTTAAAAGACAATTACACCCTTCATTAATTCTATGTATCTATCTCTCCATAATTTGCTCATTTACTATAAAAGTGCCAAGTGTTAACCTATAACTCTTTTCTCTTCAAATTCCAATTGAAACGGCGAAAACATCAAAGCAAAGCAAGGTAATTGGATGAGTGATAGACTGGATTAGGGGTGGGATCGGTCCGGTCCGGGTCGAGTTTTTGCTAAACCCGAAAATTACATGTAAGGCATCGGGTTATGAAAATTAGGGACCGAAAAAAGCCCACTATATTCAGTCCGAGTCGGATTTTTTGTAGGCCGGGTTCGGACCGGGTTCGGGTTGGGTTGGTTAAAGCCCGAATGTGAAATCACTCATTTTTCTTTTATATTTTAAAATCTATTTTCAAATAAAATTAATAAAAAGTACAAATCGCAAATAAAATTAATAAAAATAGATTTTATAATCATAATATTTTGTTTAAGATGCATAAAAATAAGTAATATAGGTGTTCTAAAATGTTACTCCGTATGAAGTAAAATTTATGGATAAAAATGTGACTAAAGTTACTATAAATATGTTTTCATGGTCATTACGGTAAATAAATTGAACATATTTGTAGTCACTAAAAGTTATTAAGTCATTTTTTCATCCATCATGATTATAATCATATATTAGGAATTAATTTATAAATTATATTGGTATATTATATTGATTTTATATTAAGGCTAATTGTTTCAGGTTTTATCGGTTCGGGCCGGGTTATAGATTTTAGGGCTCGTTAAAGAGCCCGAAATTTCGGGTTCGGTCTGGGTTTTTTTTTATTCGGGCCAGGGCCGGTTTCCGGGTTTCGGTTCGGGTTTTCCCATTCCTGGACTTGATGGGTCTCATGATATGAAAAATTTCTTTTTCTTTAAACTGTTATAACTTTTTCATTTTTAATCCAATTTTTACAAAAATCATATCAAATTTCATAATTTTTTACGATCTTTAATATGCCATCTATATTGCATATATAAAATTCAAAAAATATTTGCACATTTAATAAACAACCTTCTAATTTTATAACGTAAATACAAATTATTCTGTATTAAATAAAGAAAAAGTTTATAATTCTTAATCAAGATAGGGATAGTTGATAAACATATGACTTATTAACTTTTAGTAAATATAATTGTTGAGTTTAATTCGCCGCAGCCCGGAAGTTCAACACCTCTTCCGGGAGGGTTTCATGGTTATGGGGTGATAATAAAATATACAATGATTTTTACGTGGAAACCCGGAAAGGGAGAAAACCACGGGACTGTTTAGGCTAATGTCCAAGCCCGTTCCTTTTATTACAACACTCCTCACCAATACATTATACAAGCTCCATTAATGGAGGATTCATGCTAACTATAGTGAAGGAGGAAGAACGGAGGGATCCTTCACAAGGAGGGGAGTCCTCCTATTTATAGAGGAAAGGGAGAGAGGTGCTCCACCCTAACGGGTCGAGTGGGCTGAAACGAGCCTCTTGGGCCTAGGTGGGCCGAATGGGCAGAAATGGACCCAAAGGCCGAAACATGCCTGATAGGCTAAAATTGGCCTTACCGATTGAGCTCCGTACTACGTAAAGTCATGGGCTCCTAAACAGCAATAGGTCGGGATGATATATCCCAACACAAGTTCCCCAGTGTCTTGAGTAGTGAGCGTGCGAATCTGCTGAAGAAAATATACTCTTCCATGCGCTCTTCCTCTGTCTTGCTGGAAACTGTGTCTTCGAATGATCATAATACATGAGTGGGTGTCTTCCCCTCTGAATATACCCTGCTGGTGAGGCGCTCCCCTCCCGACGGGGTCGGGCAAGGGATGATCTTCCCCGGAAACTCTCCCTCTAATGTACCAGATGGGAGTAGGGGACTCTGACTCGAGCTTTCCAATGGAGAAGCTTAGAGGTCCCTGCACAATATAAGTTGACGACACGGAACTGGCTCGATATGATGTACATGTATGTATGGATGTATGAGAGATGATGCATGAATGTATGAATGCATGTGATGTATGAGTGCCATGTATGAGAGAGGGCATGTAAGATGTGATACAAAGCGGTGAATGTCATCGGTAAACCGGGCACGACGATGCTGAGGGGCCGAACGTGCTGCATAAGACGTTCGTTGCCACGGTATGGTCTTATTTTGCCGAGATATGATCTTACTTTGCCATGGTGTGGTCTTACGTCGAACAAGAACCAGACACGATCGCGCTGAGGAGCCGATCATGCTGCATAAGACGGTGGTCACCATCCTGGAAGGAATGGGTGAGCCGACCGTGAACTGGACACGATGGCGCTGAGGAGCCGATCATGCTGCATAAGACGGTGGTCCCCATCCTGGAAGGAATGGGTGAGCCAACCATGAACTGGATACGATGGCGCTGAGTGGCCGATCGTACTGCATAAGAGGGTGGTCGTCATCCTGGAAGGGATGTACGAACCGACCGTGAACTAGACACGACGGCGCTGAGGGGCCGATCGTGCTGCATAAGACGGTGGTCACCATCCTGGAAGGAATGGGTGAGCCGACCGTGAACTGGACACGATGGCGCTGAGGGGCCAATCGTGCTGCATAAGACAGTCGTTGCCACGATGTGGTCTTACGTCGAATGTGAACTAGACACGATGGTGCTGAGGGGCCGATCGTGCTGCGTAAGACGTCCGTTGCCATCCTGGAAGGGATGTACGAGCCGCACATGGACACGATCCGCACTGTAGGGCTGATCGTGCTGCGTAAGATGTCCGTCGCCATCCTGGAAGGGATGTACGAGCCGCACATGGACACGATCGACACTGTAGGGTCGATCGTGTTGCGTAAGACATCTGTCGCCATCCTGGAAGGGATGTACGAGCCACACATGGACACAATCGGCACTGCAGGTCCGATTGTGCTACGTAAGACGTCCGTCGCCATCCTGGAAGGGATGTACGAGCCGCACATGTTTCGAACACGATCAGCACTGCAGGGCCGATCGTGCTGCGTAAGACATCCGTCACCATCCTGGAAGGGATGTACGAGCCGCACATGAACCCGACACGATCGGCACTGCAGGGCCGATCGTGCCGCGTAAGGCGTCCGTCACCATCTTGGAAGGGATGTACGAGCCGCACGTGATCTGGACACGATGGCGGTGAGGGGCCGATCGTGCTGCATAAAACGGTGGTCGTCATCCACTCATCCTGGAAGGAATGGACGAGCTGACCGTGAACTGGATACGATGGTGCTCAGGGGCCGATCATATTGCATAAGACGGTGGTCCCCATCTGCTTGTCGTAACTGCCCATTCTCTCTCTCTTTGGGACTTCAAGGGTGGGGATGCTCATCTCCAGGCCCTCGGCCTCTGGAGTGGAAATGCTCGTCTCCAAGCCCTCGGCCTCTGGAGTGGAAATGCTCGTCTCCAGGCCCTCATGTCCTGTGGAATGGAAATGCTCGTCTCCAGGCCCTCGGGTCCTCTAGAATGGAAATGCTCGTTGCCAGGCCCTTAGGTCCTTTGGATCAACCTTAGGGGTGAAAATGTTCCACAACCCATATCTATTTTTTTGAGGGGTCTTTAAATATGACGATGGCACCGTACTAAGGGGTCAGTGGCCATGAATGATGTCGGCGCTGGGAGCCGATCTGAAAGAATAAATCAACGGTCCTTATCCGTGAGGAGCGAGGATAAGGCCGGTCTTCTAATATAATGATGGCACCGTACCAGGGGGCGGTGGCCATGAATGATGTCGGTGCTGGGAGCCGATCTGAAAGAATAAATCAACAGTCCTCATCCGCGAGGAGCGGGGACAAGGCCGGTCTTCAAATATGATGATGGCACCGTACCAGGGGGTCTGTGGCCATGAATGATGTCGGCGCTGGGAGCCGATTTGTAAGAATAAATCAACGGTCCTCATCCGCGAGGAACGGGGACAAGGTCGGTCTTCAAATATAATGATGGCACCGTACCAGGGGGTCGGTGGCCATGAATGATGTCGGCGCTGGGAGCCGATCTGAAAGAATAAATCAACGGTCCTCATCCGCGAGGAGTGGGGACAAGGCCGGTCTTCAAATATGATAATGGCACCGTACCAGGGGGTCGGTGGCCATGTAGTGAAGTCGGCGCTGGGAGTCGATCCTTAAGAATAAATCAACGGTCCTCATCCGCGAGGAGCGAGGATAAGGTCGGTCTTCTAATATGATAATTGTTGGGTTTCGGGCAGAAAAACGCAGCGGAATAAACAAAAAAAATACTGCCCAAAAGTAAACAACCGGATCTGAGGTTCTTACTATAAACAAAATTACAAGATATAAGAGGGACTTACATAGCAATCTTAATCAAGGATGTCAGACAGTCCGAGAAAACAATCCCGAGCTCTACCGGTATCCACACGCACGTGATTGGATCGGCCGCAGGGAACGTGCTAGCGTTCTCTTCTTTCTTCCTCTCTACTCTAGGTTTTAGAAGTGAATTTTAACTCTTAAAATTCGTGGGTCTATATAACCCTATTTATAAGAGGAGGAAAGAAGGAGTTTTATAGCTAATAAAACCCTCCAAGAGGCCCTAGCCCAATACCATTCGAAACCCTATTTCGAATTGGGCTAATCAAGCTATTTTAATGTTATTAACGAACATTAATGATCCAAATCACTTAGGTGTGTGACCCTGTAGGTTTATATATTCTTGGCAGTGGGCTAAAAAATTAATTCAAGTCTCACAAATCATAAGCGGCCTCTAGCAAGGCATTATGACTATCCAAAATATATAAATGTCAATTAAATCTGACATAACCTTTTAATGATTAATTTGTGCTAATAATTCTCTTTTGTCAAACGATATCTTAATTGAGACAAGGTTAGGTCATGTCATCCTTGTTATTCTCAATTAATATTTCTTGATTACAAAGTAAGATTAATTTTGAACAAATGACACCTCATTTGAGCATGACCATGCTAATTAATCTTACTTGTCAAGGGGCCCAATAGATATCTTTCTCTCGCTATACGAGAGTGACAAAAACTATCTTGATAATTCACTTACCACTACACGGTTCATAATATGTACAATCACCACCTTTATAATTACCCATTTAAAAATAATATTTAATGGTGTTAATACATATTAAGAGTTTTTTCCACTTTTGGTCCCCCGACTATTATGTCAATGACACTTTTAGTACTCGATTTCTAATTTTTCCATTTTTAGTCCTCGACTATTGTGCTAGAGACACTTTTAGTCCCTGACTTCAAGATTTCCCACATTTAGTCCCTGAGTATTGTCAAATCGACACTTTTAGTCCTCTCATTATGATTTTGACACAATAAGTGGAGGACTAAAAATGTCACTATTATAATAGTTGAAGGACCAAAAGTGTCACTTTTATGAAAGTTGAAGGACTAAATATGGAAATTTTCAAATACGGGTACCAAAAGTGTCTCTAGCGCAATAGTCAAAGACTAAAAATGGAAAAAAACAAAGTCAAGTACCAAAAGTGTCAATGACATAATAGTCGGGGACTAAAAGTGGAAAAAACTCTACATATTAATTCGAATGCAAGTAACCATGATTATCTCAAGTATAAGAATATAACACCTCATCATTATTGAGGACAACACTGATGACATATAACCTAGCAGTGTCCTCAAGTTGGGTCTGTCCAATGAACTTGTTCACTAACAAGCATCTATGTTATTAACTTGATATCTCTATACCCATGACTAGTGGAATATAGCCATCAGTTAATCCACATAATGGTCTATTAATTATTAATGTCCCAGATTAATAATATTAGACCATGGACAATTAGAATATTATGCTTATTTTAAAGTGTAGCATTCCAAAATTAAGTCACATACTTAATTAGCTACTAAACATAATATTCAGGGACTAAATATTAATAAAGAAAACTCACAATAATAATTAACATAAAATGAGTTTGTGACTTTATTAATTAATGAGCATTAAATATTCATTGATAAATCATAAAATATGATTGTCCTAGGGCATACTTCCATCCGTTCGCTTACCTGCCCATTTGGTCCGGTCCTTTGGATCCTGAGTTGGGCTCGACCGCGATTGTGACGGGAAACGGGTTTATCTCCTTTGGAGATTCCCCGGTGCCCCAATGTGATAATTTTTTTTCGAGGGGTTTTTGAATATGATAATGTATGCCGAGCCGAGAGGCCGTTCGTGATATACGTACGCCGCCCATGAGGGGCCGATCAAGTGTATCCATGCAACGGCTCTCATCCACGTAGTGCGGGGATGATGCCGGTCTTCAAAGTGTAAACACGCCGTTCCGTGAGGTCGGTCGTGATGTAAGGATGGTCTCATGGCCCTCAGCCGCGATGGTCTCCTCTAGGCCATCGGCTCCTGGGGTGGAGATGTTCGTCTTACGGTCATTGTCCGCGATGGTCTCCTCCTGACCCTCGGCCTCTTGGGGAAGTATGAACGTCTCGCGGCCCCTTTCTTTAGCCGGTTTGGAACGTCTTCTGAACTCATGCCGAACGTCATTTAATTTTCTGCTCGGGCGCATTGAGCAACCTTGACTGCATAACTAACATGGTAATGGGCCGTTTAGCCCGACATAATATACACACATAGCCATCTCGTGGCCTTATTCTTTTTTCAATGCTCTCGATTGCCGGCCTATGGGTTATTGTGACCCTCGGCCCGGCTCATCGTGCGGGGTTACGGCCGTCCGGGGCGGGACCACTTAGTGGCTTGCCGAACGTCGCATAGAAAAATTACTGGTCTGTGAGTTTGAAAACTCAGACACACGTTGCTGCTCTGCCCTCGGAAAAATGAGGTTGAGCATCTTTGGTGCCCTCGGTCCCCATAGGCCGCGTTTGGCAACAGTCACTTCGTGCCCGGTGGCGCAGATGGTACTAGGGTACGATCGTCGCTCAGGCCATTGGTGACGTGCAAACTAATGCGTAATCCCCAAATTAAAACGCGTCATTGGGGCAGAGCCCTCTAGAGATGCTCGGATCGCTAATTAAGTTGATCGAGGGTGGGCCAATGGGCCCACCACAAGTTAAATATTTAATAAAACATTGGCTTGACTAGCCATCACTAGAGCTTTGCTCCGCCTTATTTAATTCGGGATATTTTTTATCCCTAATAAATAATGGTGATGTAAAATAACAGCAACAATATCGTTGCAATCTAATTTAAACACAAGTCTAGGAATAGGTACTTAGCTTGATGTGTCTTTTTTTTTTTGGATAAAATGTAAATATATTATTACCCAAAGTAAAGTTTACAAAATTTTAAAGCTCCCCCCCACCCCCTCCTGTGATAGGAGAGGGTTGGAAGGAGCTTTCACTTCAAAACGGACATCACCAAAGATAGCCATAAGGCTCACCTATGCCGCGGCATAGGAAATCAAAAAGAAACAAAATAGGACTGCGCCTTAGTGCACGCACTTAGCCTATCAAAACCGAGGCTATACAAACGGCTTTTATCATTCTTATCAAAATGTGATCAACTCATGTGGGTATATGTTGTAGAGTACCTTATACACCACATGTTTGACCTTAGCAACAACCTCTTCCTCCTTCTTCATCTTTCCATCAAATCTGCACTCATTCCTAGCATGCCAAATGTAGTACACCGTTGCACAGAAAGCAATGCGGGCTGCTTTGGCCTTCAACGTTGATCCTTTAAGGGTCTTCTTGATCCATTTGATTGAACTCAGCAAGGTAGACATCTCATGTCTTAGTCCCATCCAGCTCCTTACGTGATGCCACACCCTACAAGTAAAGGGGCAAAGAAAGAAAAGGTGTGGTATTGTTTCCAAACCACCCTTACATAGATCACACCGGTTCACGATATAAAGATACCCGAGGCTATCTTGTGTAGGTAGTCGGTTTCTTAGGGCCAGCCATGCATTAAATGAGAGTTTGGGGGGAATGTAGGATTTCCATATGAAACTCATAGGAGTCCTAGCTTCTCCCTTGACCCTTAGGAGATCGTAAACTTTTGCGGAGGCTAATTTACCATTCGAGGCTCTCGAGGCAAGGCCCATGATAGAGTCATTGAGATTATTGAAGCACCCTCGGATCTTATCACGGATGAGACTCAACCGTTTCATGAGCTGTGAGTCCCGGGTGTGTGGGATAAAATCCCACACGGTTCTACCTTGAAGGTATACACCGTTCACCGATTTGACCCAAAGGGTGTCCTTCTTCATATGAACATCCCATAAAGTACGAGAGAGGAGGGCGTGATTCCATACCTTAGCATTATGAATGCAAAGTCCTCCTTCCTCTTTTGGGAGACAAATGTCTTCCCAAGCTACTTTCGAAAACTTACCACCCCATAAGAATATTCGACAGATCGATACTATCCTATCCAAAATAGTTTGGGGAATCGGGAAAACTTGGAGCCAAAACGACTGGACCCCTTGGATCACAGATCGTATTAGCTCTAGTTTACCGGCATAGGAGATCGTCTTTGTGTTCCATGCGTTTAGAAAATCGTTTATCGTATCAAGAAGGGGGGCATATTATGCCACAGAGATTCTTAGCGGTGCTAGTGGGATTCCAAGGTATCTCATCGGGAATACTCCACGACCATAATCAACGAGGTCCAATATGTTTTGTAAGTCCAGCCCATTTACCCCTCCCACGAAAATATTGGATTTATTATGGTTAACCCTAAGGCCTGAGACTTCTCCAAACTCTTTAAGAGCATCGACCAATACTCCAATGGAATATTTGTCTCCTCTCGAGAAGAGCATGAGATCATCCGCATATGCCAAGTGAGTTATTCCCAACGAGCCACATAGCGGGTGGTGATTAAACCTCGAATCCATGCTTTTGATGGTAAGGAGGCGCGAGAAATATTCAAGGCATACAACGAAGAGCAAAGGGGAAATTGGATCCCCTTGCCTAATGCCACGCATACCATTAAAGAAACCATGTAATGTACCATTCAAAGAGATAGAAAAAGAAGCGGTAGAAACACACTCCATAATCCATCCCACAAATCTATCGGGGTAGCCCAAACCCCTAAGAACATTGGCAATAAAGTCCCACGAGAGAGTATCATAGGCCTTTCGCAAATCCACCATTATCATACAACGAGGTGAAATTCGCTTCCTATTGTATCCTCTAACAAGTTCCTGGGCAAGGAAAATGTTATCAAACATTAGGCAGCCATCCACAAATGCACTTGTGCCTTGTTAATCAAACTCGCAAGGGTCGGGATCATTCTTGCCGCAATAATTTTTGTAATAATCTTGTAAAGCACATTAGTACATGAAATAGGCCTATAATCCAAGACCTTAGGGGAGTGACTAGTGATGGATAGTGTACCCGGGGGGTAGCTTATCCGAGGGGTTATTGCGGGGAATAACTAGAGAGAAGTCAGAGCAAATAAGTAAGAGAGAGTGTATATTCGATATGTATTAAGCGTGGTTTACAATGAGGGAAAGGGGTGTTATTTATAGTAGTAATAAATGCTAGATAAGGACACGTGTCAGTTTTCTGGTGGTCGAGGGGTCACCTCGACCGGGGTGGCACTGGCACTTGCATGTGGCCGCATTAAATGCGGTGGTTGGATGTGACGTTTGTACTTGGTACGGTGATCCAGGCGCATGTGAAGAGGATATTCTGTCGAGGTGGATGCCTTCGGCTGAAGGGTGCTGGGCCGAAGGCTCTTCTAACCGAGGGCTCCTACCTGCCGAGGGCTGCAGGTGCCGAAGGCTTGGTTTTCAAGCCTTGTTCTCCTGTGATGTTTCTGAGCTCGATTCCGTCACTGGTAGCCTTCGGCCATGGGGCCGAAGGCACCCCTTTACGTTTTGTGGGCTGCTTAGAGCTCCATTTTTCTGGGCTTGGCCCGTTTGGGTCTGTTGGGCCTGATTGTAGTAGAGGAAGTATGTGGGTCGGGGGTCCCTGGGCCATATACTCCATCAGGAGTCCCCCACTCCTTTTGCCGAAAGGTACTTGAGGGAAAAGGAGTAGCTGTGGTGATTTCCCCGAAGGCTTCCATGTTCTGTTGGGTGCCTCATTTTCTCAATTCCCCCATATGTCGAGGGCTGAGAGCTTCCTGAAGGGAGTGTAAGTGTGTTGCTCGTATGTGTTTCTTTGTTGTAGTTTGTAAAGTAAAGAGAGATCTGCATTTGTGTGCTTTGCCGAGGGCATTTGTTGACTGAAGGCTTTGTGTGGCCGAAGGCATCATGTGGCCGAAGGCATCATGTGGCCGAAGGCATCATGTGGCCGGAGGCATCATGTGGTCGAAGGCATCATGTGGCCGAAGGCATCATGTGGCCGAAGGCATTGTGTGGCCGGAGGCATCATGTGGCCGAAGGCATTGTGTGGCCGGAGGCATTCTGTAAGCCGAAAGCATCATGTCGAGGGGAGTAGATTCCCGTTGTGATCTTGCCTCAGCTTGCTGTAGCTGAGAAATAGAAAATTTTTAACATTTGCGTGTTTTGCCGAGGGGAGTCCCCCAGTCCCCCACTCCTTTTGCCGAGAGTTTCTCGAGGGAAACAGGAGTAGAGTGATGCATGCCTTCAGCAGGAGCCGCCGGGGGGTGACGCCTTTTGTTCCACAATGGGGAGAGGCCTCGTTAAAAAACCTCATTAGGAAAAAACCCTGTGGGAAAAAAATCCTAATGAGGGAAAAAGAGTACACCGGATGCCCCCAGAATGAAGCAAAAGGAATGCACCCTTCGGCCTAGATTTTTGAGCGGTGGTTGTGTCCGTCTGCTGAGGGAATATCGAAGACCAGCCTTAGATCCTGCATGAAAAAGCTGAGGAGCTTGTAAGGACCCCCCGTTATCAAATAAAGGTGACGGAGGGGTGCAAGGCCAAGCGGGCCTGTGTGAGAGCCCCTGGCATCAAATACAGATGCCGGGGGGATGGAGACCGAGGGGCCTGTGTGATTGCCCCCGACATCAAATAAATATGTCGGAGGGGTGAAGGCCGAGGGCCTGTATGATAGCCCCTGGCATCAAATAAAGATGTCGAAGGCATGAAAGCTAGGCTGAGGGGCCTGTATGACAGCCCCTGGCATCAAATAAAGATGCCAGAGGGATGAAGGCCGAGGGACCTGTGTGATTGCCCCCCGACATCAAATAAAGATGTCGGAGGGATGAAGGCCGATGGGCCTGTATGATAGCCTCTGGCATCAAATAAAGATGCCGGAGGGATGATGGCCGAGGTACCTGTGTGATTGCCCCCGACATCAAATAAAGATGTCAGAGGGATGAAGGCCGAGGGCCGTTGTAATGTGGAATCATGCTGAGGCCGAGGGTCGTTGGTGATGTGAGATCACGCTAAGGCCAAAACCATTATGACATAGGGTCATGTTGAGGCCGCGGGCCGTCTGATGTTGAGGCTGAGGGCCATTGTGATGTCCTCACGCTGAGGCCGAGGGCCGTTGTTGATGTTGAGGCCGAGGGCCATTGTGATGTGGAATCACGTTGAGGGTGAGGGCCGTTGGTGATGTTGAGGCCGAGGGCCGTTCTGATGTTGAGGCCGAGGGCCGTTGTGATGTGGAATCACGCTAAGGCCGAGGGCCGTTGGTGAGGTGAGATCACGTTAAGGCCAAAACCGTTATGACATAGAGTCATGTTGAGGCCGAGGGCTGTCTGATGTTGAGGCCGAGGGCCATTGTGATGTCCTCACGCTGAGGCCGAGGGCCGTTGTTGATGTTGAGGCCGAGGGTCGTCCTTATGTTGAGGCCGAGCCGTTGTTGATTTTGAGACTGAGGGCCGTTCTGATGTTGAGGCCGAGGGCTTTTGGTGATGTGAGATCACGCTAAGGCCAAAACCGTTATGCCAAGGCCGAGGGCCATTGGTGATGTTGAGGCCGAGGGCCGTTGTGATGTTAAGGGCAAGGGCCGTTGTGATGTGGAATCACGCTGAAGCCGAGGGCCGTTGGTGATGTGAGATCACGCTAAGGCCAAAACCGTTATGCCAAGGCCGAGGGCCATTGGTGATGTTGAGGCCGAGGGCCGTTCTGATGTTGAGGCCGAGGGCCGTTGTGATGTGGAATCACGCTGAAGCCGAGGGCCGTTGGTGATGTGAGATCACGCCAAGGCCAAAACCGTTATGACATAGTGTCATGTTTAGGCCGAGGGCCATCTGATGTTGAGGCCGAGGGCCATTGTTGATTTTGAGACCGAGGGTTGTTCTGACGTTAAATCATGCCAAGGCCGAGGGCCATTGGTGATGTAGAATCGAATTGAGGCCGAGGGCCTTTCCTTGATAGTTCCGGGAGTCCTTCGGGTGTATGTTCTTTCTTTCAGGCATCGACCGAGGGGGTTGATTCCCCGCCTCGGCCGAAAGGGGGTCCAAGTGATCCGTCCGGGGGTTCGTCTGTTAGTCCCTCGGCGCTGGGCCGTCCCTTGATTGTGCCAGGAGGTCGTATGTTAGTCCTCCTGATGTGTGTTCCTTCTTCCAGGCTTCGGAAGAGGGGGTTGCTTCCTCGCCTCGACCGGAAGGGGGTCAAAGTGATCCGTCCGGGGGTTCGTCTGTTAGTCCCCCGGTGCTGAACTGTCCCTTGACCTTGGGGGTCCCATCGTCTATTTACGGCGCGGGCTAGGCTTGGTCGGTTTCCGACGACTGCCGTTTCACCCCCAAGTTTGGGGATTTCGTCACCTCAACCATTCTTTCAGGCCTGTCGCCGTGCGTTGCGCGCCGACGACGCGGCGAGCGTCCCGCTCCAAAAACGCGGGCCTTTTGCAGGCCCCTCGTCTTTAGACACCATCGGCCATACCTGGGCATTTGGCCTCGAAGGGGCCGATAAGATGTCTGGATTGTGTTGTAGTTTACTTAAATTCATAGAAACAAGCGGAATACAAGGGGTGCGTTGTTTGACAACGACTTTGTTAAGATACACGGCTCGAGGCCGAGGGCTCTAGGCCGAAGGGATGATAATGTGCCTCGAGGTCGAGGGCCCAAGGCTGTGACCGACGGCGAAGGCGAGGAACACGATTATCGGAGGTGGCGCTTCTTCAACTGGGGCTCCTCGAACTCCTCGTCGTCGCTGAACCTCCCGATTTCATGTTTCTTCGTTGCGATGTCCCCTTCTTTTTTATCGGTGTTCTCCCCGGCATTTTTCCCTGGGGAATTTTTGATGAATTGGTGGAGCTCACCCCGTTGAATTAAGAGTTCAATAGCCTTCTTTAACGAGACACAATCGTCTGTATTGTGGGAGGTGCTTTTGTGGTAACGGCAATATGTGCCGCCTTGGTGGGTGGCGTAGATCTCCCTCGCCGACCGAGAGTCCCTGGGGAAAAGGTCGTGCTCTTCCGCATAGTTGAGGATAGTGCTCACCGGGTGCGTGAGGGGAGTCCTCGGCATGTCCAACCGAGGGCGCCATTAGCGTTCGTTACGGCCTTGCTGGGTGTGACTTCCATGGTCTCGGCCTCCGGTCGAGGGCGTATTTGGGGCCGGCGTGTTGTTTGTCTTCTTCGAGGGCTGGCCCTCAATATTCTTGAAGGAGTGGAGGTCGTCGGCGTCGGTGTATAGGCTCCCCCGCTGGAGTGCTCTGAGGTATGATCTTGGGGGGTCGGTGATGAGGCTCCGTGCGTAGGGGCTGCTGCGGAGAACCCCCTGGAAGAGGACGAGGAGGGTACGCTCGTCGGCGCCCTCGACCTCGTCTGTCTCCTTCATCCACCGGTCAATGAAGGACCGAAGTGCTTCGTCAGGCTGTTGCTTGACGGAGAGGAGGTGGGAGAAGTGCTTTCTCACGCGCTTCCTTCCGGCAAAATGGGTGAGGAAGCGTTGGGCAAGATCTTGCCAAGAGTCAATGCTGCCCTCGGGCAATCGGTTGAACCATTCGCATGCTGGTCCCTCCAAGGTGGAAAGGAACCAACGACATAAGTATTCATCTGATGCCCCCATCATCATCATGTTGTTTTGATACCTGTTGTAGTGCTCCTGGGGGTCAGTTTTTCCTTCATAGGGCTTGATGAGTTGCCCTCGGTACTTTTCCGGAATTTGGGCCGCCAAAATCCTTGGGGTAAATGGCGTCCTAGTTCGGAGTTGGATGACGGGTTCCTCGGAGCCTTCGGCAAATTTCCTTTGCATCTCCTCCATTTTGGCCAACATTGCCTCATACTTGAGGTCTGTATGAGGGGCAGAAGTGGTGGCGTGTGCTTTGGTGGCCTCCATCTCATCGAGCCGGCGCTGGAGGGCCGCAATGATTTCGTCCCGGGGGTCCTTCGGGAGGGCCTCCGCCCCCTGCGAACGAACCCGGGCCGAGTGGGCCTGGTTGATTTGGTGGCGAGCATCGTCGGCATGAAGGGGTGCCTTGCCTTTGTCCCGAGGGGGACGCTCCTCGTCTGCCCTCGAGACAGACCCTCCGCTTTCCTGGGGCCTTTGGAGTGCTTTTCCTCCGAGGCGGTCTTGGACCCCTCGGTGGTCTTGCCCCCCTCCGAGCCGGTTGAGGGCGGAAGTGCGGGGCCTCTCTCTGTTGTCATTGTGGCGGTCCCGAGACTGAACTTCCTGGGAGGCCGTATCTTGGGCCACTACCCCTTCGTCATTCCTAACCCGAGGGATGGGATTTCCGAAGGGGTGTGGCAGAGGGGGAAGCATGATGTTCTCCCCAACCTGGGGTGGAGCCGGAGCCAGGGTGCCGAAGGCACCCGGGTTCTGAGTTAGCGTTTGGATGAAGGCGGAGAGCGCCGAATGAACGTCGATGGTGAGGACCGGAGGGCTGACTTGGTCATCGCTCCGGTTTTTCTTCTTGGCCTCGATGCCGAGGCGGGCATCGGGGGCATTTTGATGGATCTGAAGGCGTAGGTCGACAGCCGCCTGTTCCAGTCCAGCGATGACACCGCCCTCGGGAGCCCTGTGAGAGGCTTCGGGGGCGTTGACGTCGCCGAGGGCCAGGTTCTTGTCTTCTACGTTTTTGGAGTTGGCACGTGTTGTTCTCACCATTTTGGTAGAGGGCTAGTGTTTGGCGAAGGGGGAGGGTTTCTTACTTGATCGTTCGACCTCTCAACGAGAGCACCAAATGATGGATAGTGTACCCGGGGGGTAGCTTATCCGAGGGGTTATTGCGAGGAATAACTAGAGAGAAGTCAGAGCAAATTAGTAAGAGAGAGTGTATATTCGATATGTATTAAGCGTGGTTTACAATGAGGGAAAGGGGTGCTATTTATAGTAGTAATAAATGCTAGATAAGGACACGTGTCAGTTTTCTGGTGGGCGAGGGGTCACCTCGACCGGGGTGGCACTGGCACTCGCATGTGGCCGCATTAAATGCGGTGGTTGGATGTGACGTTTGTACTTGGTACGGTGATCCAGGCGCATGTGAAGAGGATATTCTGTCGAGGTGGATGCCTTCGGCTGAAGGGTGCTGGGCCGAAGGCTCTTCTAACCGAGGGCTCCTACCTGCCGAGGGCTGCAGGTGCCGAAGGCTTGGTTTTCAAGCCTTGTTCTCCTTTGATGCCTCTTCTAACCGAGGGCTCCTACCTGCCGAGGGTTGCAGGTGCCGAAGGCTTGGTTTTCAAGCCTTGTTCTCCTGTGATGCCTCTTCTAACCGAGGGCTCCTACCTGCCGAGGGCTGCAGGTGCCGAAGGCTTGGTTTTCAAGCCTTGTTCTCCCGTGATGTTTCTGAGCTCGATTCCGTCACTGGTAGCCTTCGGCCATGGGGCCGAAGGCACCCCTTTGCGTTTTGTGGGCTGCTTAGAGCTCCATTTTTCTGGGCTTGGCCCGTTTGGGCCTGTTGGGCCTGATTGTAGTAGAGGAAGTATGTGGGCCGGGGGTCCCTAGGCCATATACTCCATCAACTAGTTTTAGGAATCAGTGCTATAACAGTATGATTTAACTGTTTAAGCAACCTTCCCGAGTTAAAGAACTCCTTAGTCGACCGGATCACATCCTCCCCCACAATATTCCAATTTTTCTTAAAAAATGCCGAGGAATAACCGTCCGGCCCCGGTGCCTTGTCATCCCCGATATCAAACAAAGCATCTTTAATTTCTTTGCTAGTTATCGGAGATAATAGGCTATCATGAACACTTGGTTCAATCAAGGGGCCGGTTCCTAGTACCGTTTGGTCAATGGAAAAGGTTTCCATCTAGGTGCCAAAAAGATCAACAAAAAATTTTACAAATTCATTTCCAACATGATCAATGGACGTAGTGAGGTTACCATCATCCATCGTAATGGAGGTTATGGTATTCCTAGCCATGTTCCTCTTGACGATTGCGTGGAAGTATTTTGTTCCCTTACCGGCCTCAAGGATATGCTTAGCTTTAGCTCGTTGTTAGAAGAAGCTACACTCGGCCTCACCAAGGAAAGTAGCTCTCTTTCTCGCCACCTTTACTTGCTCTTTAAGCTCGGCATCATCGGGTGAGTCAAGCATCAACTTGTTTAGCCTTTTGAATTGATCTTTTGCACTCTTTGTCTTCATAGAGATGTGGCCAAATTCCAATTTGTTAAGATTCTTAAGCGGCTGTTTTAGCAACTTAAGTTTCTTAGCAATTTGAAATTGAGCCGTTCCATTGATATTCACATTCCAACTCTGCATAAGTATGTTAGTGAAAGCATCGTGTTGAATCCACATGTTAAAAAATTTAAAAGATTTGGGCCTAAGAGAGGTATTATTGAGTATAGATATCACGGTAGCCGTGTGATCAAACTCAACCTCCATTTCATCGAAATGGACCTTACACTTGATCCCTAGGTGATCCCATGTATTATTGAGCAAAACCCGATCAAGCTTAGCCCACAAAGATCCCTTATTCCAAGTATAGAATTCCCCCGTGGAGGGGGCATCTTGGAGGCTAGCACGGATTTTAAACTCAATCAAATCTCTTAAAAAATAGTCCGAGGGTGCATTCGAACCCACCCTCTCACTATGAGAACAAACACAATTAAAATCACCGGCTATAATCCACGGGTCTTTGATTTGATCCCCAAGAAGAGCCAAGTATTCCCACAATGCCTTGCGCCTCAAGACTGTATAAAGTGAGTATACAAAGGTAGCAAAGAAAACAGTTTGCGAAGTGCGGCATAGACATTTAAAATGCATATATTGTTCCCCCATTTCAATCAAATTGCATGATATTAAATTAGGATTCCAACACACTAAAATTCGCCCCCCATCAATAAAATCATGGTTTGTTTCAAAAGACCAACCGGGCCATTTATTAGAGACATAATTAAAAATATTTATTTTTGTCATTTTGGTTTCTAAAAAACAACATAAGCTTGCTTGGTGAAATTTAACTAAATTTAAAATAGTAGAGTGTTTGGAGGGTTTTTTCAAACCTCTCACATTCCATACTATTGCTTTAAAATTCATCCGAGACCGATTCGTTGGAGGATTGACAGCCCTCCTTATTCGCCCCTTCCTTCATTTTTTTTGATTGCTTCAAATCTCCTCATTGTCTCCTTGAAATACTTCTTGTTTTCCCTAGTTGTTACTGTTAGTATATATGTCCTAGCGACAATCACTTTTTAGAGATATATGTACTTGATCACATTCAGTTTTATATATTTGATATATACGGTATTACACATTGACGATTAAGTATTTCAATTGTCAATATCTTATTCATAATTGTGTTCCCTTGGACTTATGTTGTCAATAAGTAAGTGGGAGCTTATATGATATAACATAAGGTCCTAAAATAGCCCCAATCAATGATCATCAAGAATGGGATATTGATGATATGCGATAAGATTGGTATGTGGACTGCATCATACTTTTAGAAAGTATAGTTGATCTCACGACTATGAGTTCCTGTAATTCATGATGGTCACATAGATATTTTAGAGAATATTGGCATACCCACCGAGAAACCTTTTGATAAGTTCTATTCATGTGTCTATGGGATTATCGGCGTATAGAGTAGTGTAATAGTCCTCCGACTTGAGGTCAATACGTACTACATGTGCGGAGTAATGTACTTTGACCATGACCAACGCTTGCACTCCAATCGGGGTAGATACGGCATGTGTTGGGTGCATCACGAAGCACATGGAGTAGTAGTTGAGCCAAGAAAGGATTCATTCCTCATAATAGATTAAGAGAGAACATTCTACTTCTCATATCTAGATGGATGATAAAGTCATTGGCCAATGCAAAGATATATTCGTTTTGGATATCGAATATGATCATTATGGATCATCTAGAAAGATTGAGAGACAGAGACTGAGTTATTGGGATAGACACTATATCATGTTCTAGACTTAGTTGAATGTTCGCTGAATGAAAGGACCGTATCACTATAAGCTCTATATTACAGGGAGTTTGAATAGTCCTCGCAAACGTCCTTATATATTAAGTTTGTCTGGTAAATCGTCTAGGGATTCTACTAAGACCTTAATTTGATTAGTGCTTAATATATAAGGCCCTATGGGTCACACAACAAGTGATTATACCTTCCGATTGAATTGTTAGAAGGAATTAAATATTATTAATTGGATTAAATAATATTTAATTAGTGATACTGAAAATGGATTAAATATTAATTAGATTAAACATATTTATTTCATGAAGTTGAAGGAGAGTTCTATTTGATAGAATTAATTAAGTGGAATAAATTAGATTTATTATACTTAATTAAGATGTATTTATAATTAATTAAAGTTAATATTTTCTTGTGCACAATTTAGAATTAGTGTGTTCAAGAAAATATAAAATGATAATAATAAGTCTTTTAAGAAGATGAGGGTGGCGGCAACCCCCATTCTTCTTTAATACGTATGACTAGTTTTGTTATTATTATTTATATCTTTATTTAATTAATAAATTATATTAGTCATGTTAGGATTAGAACTCATTAATGAAGAACACTTTCATTGTGATTGGGAAACTAGTTTAGAACTAGTATAAATACACTCTCCTCCTTCATAATTAATAGACCAGTTTTAAGATTCAGTATTACCAGTTTATTTCCCTGCGAAGAGATTTCCTAGTCTTTCTCTCAGGGAGATCTAACCGTTCTTTCGGAAAGGAGAAATCACGTGGATACCAAAGGTCAAGGATTATCACCGCTAAGCTGGAAGATCTGTAAGTTCTAACTCAGATCTGTTATTATTATCATGTTCGTTATTTTGTCATAATCAGGAAGATCTGTTTGGGAAAATTTTAAACTTCCGCTGCTGTACTTTCGAGGTACGTTACATCAATTTTCTAACAGTGGTATCAGAGCCAAACTGATTCTAATGACATTATACGAATTTTGATAGATATATTCGTAAGGTCAAATATATATATTTCTTTGAATTGTATTTTTGCCGTAGTTTGATTTCCGAAATCAAACATTTTGAACAAACTAGAGAATTGTTTTGAAACTTGTTAGAAACCTACGTTGTTTTCTCTCCACTAGATTTTAGAATTTTTTATGGAGTATTAGATATTAGAAGTCTAGAATATGGAGAACGGGTTGATCAAATCAATTCTGGAAGATCTATCTCTATACTCGAAAGGGTTCTACGGATACCCAGCTATGGCGGACGAGCGATGCATCTCCCCTGCAACTACGCTGTGAGTGCCGATTGAAAGCAACTTCGGCCGATAGACTCAGCGCAACAACGATAACAAGGTAAAGACATGGACGATCTAGCTTCACCAAAGCAACCTTGACAGCGATGAGCTCCACCGTAGTCGGCGACCTTCGAGGAGCCATTACCGGCAGACGAGCTTGGCGACCAGATTGTTGCTGCTACTTCCGGAAACTACCATTGGGATTGAATCGGTTGAGAGTACTATTCTAATTGAAATCAATTAATTAACCTTTGTTTTAATTAGATTAAACTTCTTTGAGACGTACTGCAGTGGTGTGCTTGACGAAGGAGTAATTTTATACTCCGTATATGGACTTGGTCCGACAGATATAATATAAAATTGGATTTAAACCTTTTAAATTAGATTAAGGGTCTTCCAGAATTACAAAGTTTATTTTTAACCGTATATTACGTCTTAAGCATGCTTAACTAGTTTTTTTTTATAATTGTATTTGTCTATGAATTAGATTTATATTGCATGCTTAAGTTATTTGTTTGAGTTAGATCTCATTAACTTATTATTTGATAATATGTTTAGGCATCTTGATTAAATAATTTAATACTCCGCCAAACGTTCCCCATAAATTAAAATTTAAGTCTTATCTAGGATAACAACATCACCCATCATAATTAAATTAGTAGAAATATTTTTTCGTTGAAGAATATTTCACCCAAGTGTTTATTCCATTCGACAAAATATAGAACTAATTTATAGGTACAATTGTTTGTGATCGTGTGATGGTTTGGCTTACTTAAATTAGCTCGAGTCGCCCAAGCGTCAGTGTTAATTTAAGGATGTCGATCAATTAAAATTGATCAACCAAAAGTTGCTTGGACGCAATTGGTCTGGGGACCTACCCATTATATTATTGCAGTGATCAGCCCAAGCTGGGACTGTAATAGTATGAATGAGGATTTTGACCACTATGATTGTAAAACATTTCATGTTCCTTTTATTGGGGTCAAAGAGCATGTAAAAATAGTGGGAGCTAAATAATTAAAAGTCCATATTATTTAGTTAACTAGATGTGATCATAGGAATTAATATATGATTTTAATTCCGTTCTTTTGAACTTCTTTAGGCTTTTAGGAATGTCGAATTTATCATTGAGAAGTATCCTGGATACATGCAAGCTTACTGGACCAAACTTTCTTGACTGGGAAAGAAATGTGCGTTTAGTTCTTAGACAAGAAAATATTGAGTATGTGTTAGACACACCGGTACCCAAGATTCCTGATGCCAACTCTCCTGAGTTTGCCACGTTTGACCTGACTGCTCGAGAGAAACACGTCACTGATGCTAAAACTGTGCAATGTGTTATGTTGGCTGCAATGTCTATGGAGTTGCAAAGGCAACACGATAGGATGAGCGCCTTCGAGATGCTTGAACACTTGAAAAGTCTGTTTGATTCAGAAAGTCAGACTCTAGAGTATGAACTTCTGATAGACATTTTCAAGTGTAGGCTTCAAGAGGGTGGCAACGTGTCTGAGCACGTCCTCAAAATGATTGGCTTAATTGAAAGAGTTGCTACCACCGGAATTAAGTTTGAGGATCGTGTCTCAGCTGCTATCATCCTATATTCGCTTCCGAGTTCATTTACTAACTTCATTGTGAATTATAATTTGAACAAAACGAAAGCGACCATGCCTGAACTCCATAACATGCTCAAGTCTTATGAAGCCTCAACCTCTAAAGGAAAGACTGTTCTTATGGTAAGCTCTAATGCTAAGTCTCGTTCTAAGAACAAGAATAAGCAAAAGAAGAAAGGTAAGGTTGGACCTACTCCTACAGCTCTGAAGCCTAAAGGTGGAGGTCATATGAAGCCAAAGGTTGCAAAGGATGTTTGCCTCTACTGCAAAGAGAAGGGGCATTGGAAGAGAGATTGTGAGCTGTATAAGGCTAATCTAGCCAAAGCACCAGGTGCTTCAAGCTCAGGTAATTTTATCATTAAATAAATATGTCTATAACTAACTCTCATTGTTAAAGTATTAGATACAACTTATAGCTTACACATTTGTAAAAATGTGCAGAAGCCTGAGAAGCAGTGTAGCAGTTAGACTGGGTAAAATTGACCTACGCGTGAAGGCTGGAGCAAAAGTTGCTGCTGAACGTGATAGGATCTTATAGTTTAGATTTGCCCGGTGGTTTTAGATTAGAATTAAATAATTGTTATTTTATTCCTTCTATTACCAAGAAGATTATTTCCATTCATATGTTAGACATTAAAAGATTTCTATTTCCATTTTGCTAATAATAATTGTTATTTTCATAAAATGGTGTTGTTGTGGAAATGCTTTTCTTATGAATGGTTAATTATCAATCGACATATTAGATATTAAATGAATAAAATAAAAGGATCTCGATTAAGTAATCAGAAAAATTACTACCTATCTATGACATTGCAAACTTGGTCAAATTAATGAAACAAGAATAGCAACGCTAAATAAATTAGATTATTTAACACCTTTTGACTTTGAGTCATATGGAACTTGTGAATCTTGTCTTTCAAGTAAATTGACTAATAAACCTTTTCTAGGAAAAAGGATAGCAAGCCAAAGAGTACTTAAGTAAAGTTTCTGATTTATTTAAAAGATCGAAGAATTCGATCATAATGAACTCCTCCAGAACACCTCAGAAGTGTGACGTTCTGCAAGGAGAAATAGGGCCTTGTTAGACATGGCTAGATCTATGATGAATTCATTTTCTCTTCCAAACATTCTTTTTAGGGTACACACTATAAATCTCAATATGCATTCTGAATAGTTTGATTAGTGCAAAACGTACTATATGAGTTGTGGTATAATAAAAGACATTTTCTTCACATATTAAATATGGGTTGCCCTACATATGTAAAGAAATGTGCACTAATAAAATTGAAAGATGAAGTAACATAGAGAATGAAGATTTGTTAGATGGTCTGACGGAGGATTCAATGGGAGAATTAAGTCGAAGAATGTCTCTAGGAGTATATCCTTCAGCTAGTGGGAGTAATATAGGAAGCGCTTCGCACCAGCAAGTGATTCTTATGAAGAAAGTAATGGCATGATTGTCTTTCCTTCTGCACCTAACTCTCCCTCTCTGAGTATAGCACCAGAAAACTCTCTAAGCATTGGATAGTCCAATGAAAGAGAACCTCTTCACGATCAGAATGAACAGCCTGAACAAAACGCAAAACATTCAACTCTGCGGGTCTACTAGGATTCGTCATGAACTAACTAGGTTAGGCTTCCTCATGGAGGATCATGATGATGTTAAGATTCCTGATACGGATGAACCTGAAACCTACATAGAAGCAATATTAGATGTTGATTCATAGAGGTGGTAAGAAGCCATAAAATCTAAAATGGACTCGATGTGTATCAATCAAGTATGGAACTTGGTTGACTTGCCTGTTGGGTTAGACCCATTGGATGCAAAATGATTTTCAGGGAGAAAATTAATGCTGAAGGCAAGGTGAAAACATACAAAGCTAGGCTAGTGGCTAAAGGTTATAGTCAAAGAAAAGGAATTGACTATAGTGATACCTATTCGCCAGTTGCAAAACTCTAGTCCATTTGGATTTTGCTTGTTATAGCTGCTCAATATGATTATGAGATTTGACAAATGGATGTCAAAACCCCTTTCCTTAATGGAAACCTCAAGGAGGAGGTGTACAAGGTACAACCTGAAGGTTTTATATCCATATCAAATTCTAATTCAATATGTTAATTAGAGAAATCTATTTATGGGCTAGAACAAGCATCTAGGAGTTGAAATATTAATTTTGATGAAAAAGTCAAACCGTTTGACCTCATCAAATGAAATGAGGGTGCTTGCGTGTTTAGAGTGCGCAACAAGGATAGCATGGTCTTTATAATCATATATGTTGATCATAGAGAATGATATCCCCTCATTGAAGTCCGCGAAAGAATGGTTACCCAAAATCTTCATGAATATATCTTTTTGTCTATGGTAGACAAAAAGGAGCTAGTAGAATTTAATTATTCTAGCACTAGTTTCATGTATGATAAGAAAGACTATGAGTCGCAGTCAGTATATGTTTTTAGTCTCAATGTAATAGTAGTGCTGAAAGAGTTACAAGTAAGAAACTACTATAAATTCGACAACTAGAGCCTAGTAAATTGTTGCATTTGATACAACACGGGTAAACGTTTAGATATGTTAGTTCCTTAAAGACACATGGGTAGTTCCTAGCGAAAGTTATCCAATAATTGTTATTGTGATTGTACCTGGTGCATTTGCACAAGCTAAGGAACCAAGATGCGAAGTAAGGAACTAGAAAATACCAGTATGCTATCATGTTTTGATAACAAATAGCAAGATGAGAAGTTGCAATAGAATGCCTTCCCGTAAAGGACAATTTGGCTCACCCATTCACCAAACCTTTGAGATGCGAGAAACATACTAGACTTTTAAGAGACTAGGTGTTAGACGCATCGGTGATTGACACTAGGCCAAGTGGGAGATTGTTAGTATATATGTCCTAGCGACAATCACTTTTTAGAGATATATGTACTTGATCACATTCAGTTTTATATATTTGATATATACGGTATTACACATTGACGATTAAGTATTTCAATTGTCAATATCTTATTCATAATTGTGTTCCCTTGGACTTATGTTGTCAATAAGTAAGTGGGAGCTTATATGATATAACATAAGGTCCTAAAATAGCCCCAATCAATGATCATCAAGAATGGGATATTGATGATATGCGATAAGATTGGTATGTGGACTGCATCATACTTTTAGAAAGTATAGTTGATCTCACGACTATGAGTTCCTGTAATTCATGATGGTCACATAGATATTTTAGAGAATATTGGCATACCCACCGAGAAACCTTTTGATAAGTTCTATTCATGTGTCTATGGGATTATCGGCGTATAGAGTAGTGTAATAGTCCTCCGACTTGAGGTCAATACGTACTACATGTGCGGAGTAATGTACTTTGACCATGACCAACGCTTGCACTCCAATCGGGGTAGATACGGCATGTGTTGGGTGCATCACGAAGCACATGGAGTAGTAGTTGAGCCAAGAAAGGATTCATTCCTCATAATAGATTAAGAGAGAACATTCTACTTCTCATATCTAGATGGATGATAAAGTCATTGGCCAATGCAAAGATATATTCGTTTTGGATATCGAATATGATCATTATGGATCATCTAGAAAGATTGAGAGACAGAGACTGAGTTATTGGGATAGACACTATATCATGTTCTAGACTTAGTTGAATGTTCGCTGAATGAAAGGACCGTATCACTATGAGCTCTATATTACAGGGAGTTTGAATAGTCCTCGCAAACGTCCTTATATATTAAGTTTGTCTGGTAAATCGTCTAGGGATTCTACTAAGACCTTAATTTGATTAGTGCTTAATATATAAAGCCCTATGGGTCACACAACAAGTGATTATACCTTCCGATTGAATTGTTAGAAGGAATTAAATATTATTAATTGGATTAAATAATATTTAATTAGTGATACTGAAAATGGATTAAATATTAATTAGATTAAACATATTTATTTCATGAAGTTGAAGGAGAGTTCTATTTGATAGAATTAATTAAGTGGAATAAATTAGATTTATTATACTTAATTAAGATGTATTTATAATTAATTAAAGTTGATATTTTCTTGTGCACAATTTAGAATTAGTGTGTTCAAGAAAATATAAAATGATAATAATAAGTCTTTTAAGAAGATGAGGGTGGCGGCAACCCCCATTCTTCTTTAATACGTATGACTAGTTTTGTTATTATTATTTATATCTTTATTTAATTAATAAATTATATTAGTCATGTTAGGATTAGAACTCATTAATGAAGAACACTTTCATTGTGATTGGGAAACTAGTTTAGAACTAGTATAAATACACTCTCCTCCTTCATAATTAATAGACCAGTTTTAAGATTCAGTATTACCAGTTTATTTCCCTGCGAAGAGATTTCCTAGTCTTTCTCTTAGGGAGATCTAACCGTCCTTTCGGAAAGGAGAAATCACGTGGATACCAAAGGTCAAGGATTATCACCGCTAAGCTGGAAGATCTGTAAGTTCTAACTCAGATCTGTTATTATTATCATGTTCGTTATTTTGTCATAATCAGGAAGATCTGTTTGGGAAAATTTTAAACTTCCGCTGCCGTACTTTCGAGGTACGTTACATCAATTTTTCTAACAGTTACATCAAAGAAAGAAGCCACATAAGTATAAAAATGCTATGATTAAATTTATACCATTCATAATGCGGTGTCACTCCCGGAAGCTTTCGAAGGCATTCATCCGTGAATGAGATTCCTCCCTCGTCATCCCTCACTTTTTGTAGTTCCGGTCCAAGCCTCTTGATTTGGTGATGCGATGGGATATCCTTCTTTTGCATTACATATATGGTCTTCTTTTTGTTATCATCATAAACGATTCTAGTGACCACATCTCCCTCTTGGATATCATATACATTGCGAATGATCTCACCCCCAATTCATCAAAGCTAATGTTCCCACTCTTCGGAAAATTGATAGCCTTTTCACTTGATTTGCTCCCGGAAGATGCCTTTGAAGTCTCGGCAGTTTATTTAGGAACGGTGAGCCTCGGTGCAACTTTTACTGCCTCGGCAGTTTGTTTTTGGGCACTGGCAGCCTGTTTTGGGGCCTGGGCAGCCTGTTTTGGGGCCTGGGCAGCCTGTTTTGGGGTCTGGGCAGCAGGGGTCGTGGCCTTAGGTGTAGAAGTTGAAGCCGCGGCATTAGTTGTAGGCGCCTTAGGAGTAGGAACCTTTGGCGTGATCAAGTTGCGCACATTTGCTTTGGGTTTAGAGACCCATTTCTTTTTCTTCTTGGCCTCCACCCACTCCCCATTCTCTTGCACATCATTCTTTTTCTTTTCAACCCAAATTTCCTTCCCTTTGCCATCATCCTTTGATTTCTTTCCACTCACGTTGAAGCCTTTTTTTCCCTTCGGAATGTCACCGGGTTGGTTGGAACCCCCTTCTTTTGAGTTGTTAGCCGCAGTATTGGCTACACTTACAATTTTGTTGGTAGCTTTTGCATCCTCATTCTCTACCAACTCCTTGTTTAACACTTTGCATGTAAAGGGGTGATGTCCATAAACCTTGCACTCAAAACAATAGTTAGGAAAAGTTTCATATATGACATATTGATTCCTTTCCTTACCGGACGGTTGTATAATCGGGATGGACATAGTAGGTGGCCTAGAGAGGTCAACCTCCACCAATACCCTAGCGAATTGAGACCTCGATTTTTCTTGAGTCACCTTGTCCGCCACAATAGGGACTCCAACTCTAGAGGCAAGCTCGTTCATCTCTTGCTTGTTCCAAAGTGTAACCGATAGGCCGGGGAATTTAACCCATATTGGGACTTTTAAAAATTCCTCACCATCAAAGTCAAAGTCTTCGGATAATATCCTTAGGAACACGGCCTTACCATAAAGGGCATAGGGCTCTTCGGCCATGACTTTGTTACGGTCATTCTCACTTTGAAATTGGAAAATCACCCACCCTTTGTCATGTTGCTTGAGCTTGCATGGGACTCCCCATTTGATGGATAGATCATGGAATGCTCGCATGCCCGGGAATCTACCTGAAACAAACCCCACCAAGCAATACCCTCAAATATCAATAATAGTAGGGAGTTTTCTATGAGAGAAATCTACCTTTTCACCTTTTGGAGGAATATACTCCAACTTCATGCCATGTTCAATAGACCGGTTGTTTTGGAATAATTGATTCCAAGCATTCTTCTTTGGCTCTTCCTTCTTTTCTTTATTTCCAACTTCAAAAAGGGAATCAACACTCCCCGTTTCCACATCATCCTCATCTTCCACAAGGCCATCAATTCTTGCATTCTCCTCACCTTGCTCCTCTTGAATTTGCTTGAAGGAGAATTCAATGGAGCCTACTTTGATAGACGCGGGCTCCACCGGTTTAGACACCCCCGAGGAAGAATCTTCCACCATAGCTTTGAGGGAGACATCCTCCATAACTTGTGGCTCCTTAGTAGCATTAGCCTCATGTAAATTGATCTCCTTTGTTGTAGGTGTATCTTGCACCGTTAGCTTGGGAGCAATTTTGACTTTCTTGGATGTTACTTCCTTCTCATTATTTTCCACTTCTTTTTTGTTGGCCTCCATCTCGGCTTTTCTTGCATTCAACTTCCTTATTTTGTCATCAAAGGCCGAGTCTTTAGATGGCGGTGTACGAGATTGTTTATTGTGCCTAGTCATTGGACCATACACATTTCTTGTACGAGAGCTTGGCTAATTGACCTGCAAGGGTTAGTACAAACAAAGACAAGTACCAAAGACTTGGGGGTGCAAGAGCTTGGTTCGTACCTTAGGCAAAGTGTGCTAGTAAATTCTCCAAGATGCTTTAGGAAGTATCTCAAAGTATATTAACCCCCTAGGTATGTTCAGTTGCACCAACGGAGAAGCACAAAAAGCAAGGGGACAGTCCTAGGTCGTTTGTGCACTGTAGCAAGCAGTGAGTTCCGAGAATTTTTGAAGTATTCCAAAAATTCCCAAACAATTCTTAGAGGTCTTCCTTAGTATTTTGAACAGCCTGGTAGTGTTAGGACAAACAAAATACAAGCAGCAAGTGCACTTCCTTTGAAAAGGCAGTACAATAAAGTCCAAGGAAACAGCGATTGATATTTCTCAAGTTGTAGCCCAAAGTGAAGTAAACCCCCAGGTATATTCAGTTGTAGCACTGGAGTAGCACAGAAATCAGGAAAAATCCTAACCAGTTCTGGTTACTGTAGCAAGCAGAATGTTCGAAAAATTGGGAGTGATCCAAAAATTCTCAAAAAATTCAGGGAGGTACCCTTCAATATGTTTAACAAGCTGGTAAGAATAGTTCCACCAAAACACACAGCACGTTTCCCAGAAAAAAGTATTAACTAGTGAAACACTTCCAAAAAACCTGGAATTTTGGAATAGGCCCAAAAAATCTCCAAATATTCTGGAAAATACCACAAAGTATGTTGGTCAACCTGCTATGGTTAGTTTTCACAATAGGCACCAGCAATTTATAGTTACAGAATATTTTGAGCAAGGTAAACACCTTCCAGACAAGCTGGAGAAGATGTACAGTACCCACAAAGTTGGAACTCCCCAGAAATTTCTGGAAAAATTCCCAAATACTCCTCTAGTATCAGCGAACTCAACAAAACGCTTACCAAACGGACAAGCACAGACCTCAGAAGAAATTCGAACAGTAACAGGACCTGCGAATAGCTACAGTACCCAAAAAATTGGGGGAATATTGAAAACTTACTCAAATCTGATGAAACCGGTGCCAATAGGTTCGTCAAGTCCAAATGGTTCCAATTCTAGCTTCAGAAACGAGATTGAACAGCAGAAATTGAAGGAATCTGAGGTCAACGGTCTGTCGTGAACAGTGCTGCACCCCAACGGATCTTTCTGGATTCCGGTACGGCGGCGTTCTGGTGGTCGGAAAAGAGGTCCTGGAGGTTCGCTAGAGGCTGGCGACCCCCAAGCTATCTTCTTCTTCCACAAACAATCGTCGAGTTGCTGGATTCAAGCAAAGTTTCTAAATCGGGAAAGTACAGTAAACAGACGACCTGGGGCTTCAAAAACGGCGATTCTCACTCCAGAAAACAATATCTTTCAAAACCAATCGGTAGGGATGAAAGATTTGTAGTTTCCGAGCTATAGAATCGCAGATTTGGGAGGTTTAATTCGTTAAAGTAGTTCGTGGGAGAGCAGGGGAGTAACGAGCTAGCTAAAAAAAATCGCCGAAGTGTAACTTTTTTAGAGAGAAGGACGAGCGTTACTACTTTAGCTTGATGTGTCTTTGATTCACCATATGGGCTTGAGGCCGCTGACCCCTTCTTTAATTTGGCTCACCAACCTCCTCATGAAGCCTATATCCACATAACTTTTGGTCATTCATAGCTGGGTAGCGTTGGAAAGCATGAACGGCAACTTCATGTCGTGCGTCTCACTATTGGATCCGTGCGTGACAAGCCGGAGACCGAGCACCCTTCCGGTTCGAGCAGTCAGGGTGTTTGTTTCCGCTGGAATCGGTCGCCGAACGCCTGAAACATCTTGGGCGTCCTTCAAATCCGAGCCGCCAGGTCTGAAGAGGACCGTCGGGCTGTGTGGTGAGATGGTCGTTGTTTTGAGAACCGGACGTCCAGCTTGTTAAGCGTCTGAGTCGTCTGGGGGCAGAGCTGCATTGTGGGATGGCCGTCGAGTTTCAAGGGGGCTCCGAAGCTATCTGGATTTCAGGGCCGAGCGGGTAGCAGTCCTGGACGCTGGGAGCTGCAAGGGATCCCCGACATACTTCCCAGGCGAGGTGTGGGGGGCTGGTCCTCTAAGCCAACCTCCTTGGTTTATGGACGGCCCATTGATTTTGACTTGGTCAGATTTATTCAAACAAATTGGCTTTTCACTAATTGGCCTCACTCCTGCTGATGTTCGTGGGATTTTATTTCAGACGAGCGGCGAGTGAATTAGTGAATCCTTCCTCTCCCTTCCTCCTAAATTCCACTGACTCATCTTCATCTCCTTCAGTTACGAGAGAAAAACTCCCCTGCCTGAACCTCTTGCAAAATTATCCACGTCAAAGTCCGCCCGGTACCAACCGTAGGCCGAGCGGCAAGCAAATATCTGCCCGTCAATCCGCCAGTGGTGTTCTGGAATCGGAGACGAAACCTTTAGAGGTGGCTCCATGCTCAGCGCAGTGGACATTTGGGAAAAGACGCTCGGCAGGGCAGTGGGGCAAGCCCGGACGGCCCTTTCGCCGTTGCCGGTTGTCACCTGTGTGCTCCGGTCGAGAGGGGATCCTTTGACGTAACCTTCTTGGGTCATTTGTTCTTGAAGATATATGGAGGTTGTGTTGTCCTTTGGAAGCTTCGACCCTACTCCGGATCGGAAAGTAAATGACTATTGCTCTACCTGGATAGCGGGATACTCGGCCTTCGGTACGTGGTGCTGGTGTAGTAATGTCCGTTCGTCCGGGCGGTAGCTTTCCAAAGGCGTCCGTGGCTGATCCCCGGACGTGCGGCCTCTGGCCTCGGGCGGCGTGATCCGATTGGGAGCCGAGCGGGGATATGTCCGGGGCGATTTCCCACTGCTGCTCGTTGTATTTTAACCAAAACTAGTGGTACTACCAGCAAGCCAGGACGGGTTTGCCGCACAGGATAGCCTCAGGTTTTCTAATTTTCTACCTTCAAGTCCGGACGGAGCTATATTGTTTTCTTCCGGTTAATCACCCCCGCTCGACAAACGAGGTTGCCGCTTCAGAATTCGAACATCACGCCCCGTTCCTCAAAAAAGTGCCATGCGCAATACTACGTTGTACTTAAGATGCATTTGGTCAACAGGTGGTCCCATCTATCAATTCAGCCACCAGCCCTGTTAGGCATGGAGCTGGGTTTGTGAGTTCAATCCTGGTTAGGAACTTCGTGGATGCGGCTGGACCTGCCATTGTAGCAGCGGTGAATCTTGTGCGACTGCGTCGACGACCCTGTGCTGGCGTCCACCGCCGGCGAACCTCGATGACCATTCTTCATGAGATTCTGTCGTTTTCCCATCTGGAGCTTCCAAAATCCCTGCATATATCTTCCTCTTTTCCTTGAAAACAGTCCACTTCGCCTCCATTTTTTTTCTCTAGAAAAATAAAGAACACATTAAATCTTTTTGAACAGTTTACCACAGACGTCGACGGTGTTGAGTTTAATTCGCCTCAGCCCGGAAGTTCAACACCTCTTCCGGGAGGGTTTCATGGTTATGAGATGATAATAAAATATAAACAATGATTTTTACGTGGAAATCCGGAAAGAAAAAAAACCACGAGACTATTTAGGCTAATGTACAAGCCCGCTCCTTTTATTAGTGCACTCCTCACCAATACATTATACAACTAATACATGCTCCATTAATGGAGGATTCAAGCTAACTATAGTGAATGAGGAAGAAGAGGGATCCTTCATAAGGAGGGGAGTCCTCCTATTTATAGAGGAAAGAGGGAGAGGTGCTCCACCCTAACAGGGCCAAGTGGCCCGGAACGGGCCGAGTGGGCCTAGGTGGGCCGAATGTGCAGAAATGGGCCCAAAGGCCGAAACAGGCCTGATAGGCTAAAATGGGCCTTACTGATTGGACTTCGTACTACGTAAAGTCTTGGGCTCCTGAACAGTAATAGGCAGGGATGATATATCCCAACAATAATTGTTTTCAAAGTCACTATAAAAGTTCATAGGCAATTTATTTATTTATTTATTTACAAATATCTATATATTGGAGAGGTTCTTCCTTATAGTTACTTTGATACGGAGTATAAAACTAAAATATAATTTTTTTGATCAAACAACAAAACATCTTTTATTCTGGCTACCCAAACATTTCCTATAGACTCCTTATAGCCAATAGGCAACCTCACCCTCTGATTAGACAATGAATAGACTGCCCAATAATGAGCAAGACTAATCGCTGATCATGCGAGAGATTCAAACCTATTATCGGCCAAATTAGTCTGCTTGCTTCCTCCCAAACTAAAAACTAAATCCACAAAACAAAATTTCTCTCTCATATGTAGTGCTTTTTGGTATTAGAAAATAAGTTTGCTAACATTTAGTGACTATGATAACAAAAAAACCAGCCCTTATGTAATACAAAAAAGCTTATATGTTCATTTTTCATTTGAAATTATGTAGTACTCTTAGTTACAAGATAAGCCGACAAACAATTGATCGGAAGAATTTCATCTCTCATAGTGGTTTTAGGTAAAAGAAGATAAGCTTGCCAATTACTCAGCGGAAGAATTTTGTCTCTAATATACAGTGTTTCTAGGTATGAGAAGATAACATTGCTAACAATTGAGCAGAGAAATTGAGTGGGGAAATTTTCTTCCATATGTAGTGTTTTTAGGTATTGAGCGGGAAAACTCTCTCATATGCATTTCTTTTAAGTATAAGATAAATCGACTAACAATTGAGCAGAAGAATTCTGTCTCTCATATGTAGTGGTTTAATGTATAAGAAAATGAGCTTGCTAATAATTGAGTGTGAGAATTTTTTCTCTCACATGCAGTGCTTCAATGTATCAGAAGATAAGTTTGCTACCAATTGAGCGGACAAATTGAGCGGGAAAATTTTCCCTCTCAAATGTAATGCTTTTAGGTATTATTAGAAAATAAATTTGCTAATAATTGAGCGGGAAAACTCTCTCTCTCTCTCGTATGTAGTGGTTTTAAGTATAAGATAAGATAAGCCGACTAACAATTGAGCGTGTGAACTTTATATCTCATATGTAGTGGTTCTGAGTAACAGAAAATAAGCTTCCTAATAATTGAGCTGGATAATGTTTTCTCTCACATGTAGTGCTTCTACATATTACAATATAAGTTTGCTAACAATTGAGCGGAGAAATTGAACAAAATAATTTCCTCTCTCATATGTAGCGATTTTAGATATATGAAGATAAGAAGATAAGCTTGCTAACAGTTGAGCGGACAAACCTTCTTTCTCATATGTAGTTATTTTAAGTATGATAATCCAACTAACAATTGATCAAGAGAATTTTCTCTCTCATATGTACTGCTTTTAGGTATAAGTAGATATGTAAGTTAACAATTGAGCGGGAGAGTTCTCTCTCATATGTGGTTCTCTCACGTACATCAATAAATAAAATGTAATCAAAATAGAGTACATGAATATTGTGTAAATTTAAATGTTGCAACTACTATTATACAAAGGATAGTATAATGGAAGTAATGAGGAATTACTATAATAACGTATTGGGTAAGTTAAATAAGAACTTAGTGTAGTTGTTCGTTTGGATTAGACTATTAGAGTACACGCCGGTAGACAGCCGACCTGGGATCGGTTCCCAGTTCCCGATTTCTTTGAAATTGTGGCCCATTTCCGATTTTTTGGGTTTTTTCGGGTTTTGGCCCTTTTACGGGTTGAGTAGTAACTGACCTGCATTTCTGAATGGGTGGGCGGGTTCCGGGTCGGGTCTTTAAACATAGGTTAGTACTCGTATTTTACAAAAAACATTACTTACGTTAAAGTCCGTTTGGTAATACTTAAACTGGCTGCATTTGCTGCTAATTCTGCAGAAATTTATGAATATCTGACTGAATTGGTTGATTCTAATTATTTATATAAAAAATATATTTGAAATATATTTATTATTTAAATAAAAAAATTATATGAAAACATAGTTAAAAGATCATCCACAGTAACTTCAACCAATATAATCAGAAAAATAACTTCAACCTCTCTTTTTCTTATTATTATACAAATTTATGAATATCTGATTGAATTGGTTGATTCTACTTATTTATAAACAAAATTATATTCAAGATGCGGGAGTCGCGCCTACGGGGTGGTTTGGTCATGTGCGTAGAAGACCGAGTGATGCACCTGTTAGGCGAGTTGAGATGTGTGGAGAAGAGGCAGGGAAGAGAGGGAGAGGAAGACCCAAACAGACGTGGGTTAGGGGAGTTCGAAGTGATATGCTTCTTCTGGGGTTGGATGAGGGCATGACTTTGGAGAGAACTAAGTGGAGGGCGGGTATTCACGTGAAGGAGTGATCTTGATAATCTTTTTCCCTCATCTTTTTTTCCTAGTTTTTTTTTATCCTTATATATATATGCATTATTTGCAGCCTTTTTATTTTATCATTTCTATATATATTCATCTTTTTTATATTATCTTTTCATAATAACTTATCTTTTTATCTTTATTCCTTCTTTTCCTTTTGGTTGTGATATCATGTATCGATTTATGTTAGCCGACCCCAATATCTTTTGGAACTAAGGCTTGGATGTTGTTGTTGTTGTATGAAAAATAGCTAAAATGACCATCTAGAGTAACTTCAACAAATACAATTATAAAAGTAACTTCAACCTTATTTTTTCTTATTAGTACACAATCCAGCGCACGAAATCCAAACTTACGTGTTTGGTAAAAAAGTTGGCTGATAAGTCGATAAATAGGGTCACCAAACGGGCTCTTAGAATTGGGAATGTTTATAGTTAGAGAAAAAAATGACATGTATATTGCTAATAGAGTTTCTTCGGACAAAATTTGACTAGCTATGTTTTTGAACAAAAATATGACTACTCACTGTGTACGAGTAACGAGTCATTATGAAATAGTCACTATATTGAATTTTAGAATGTCAAATCACTATAGATGATGAATCACTATGAACTAGTAACTAAATACGGAGTATATCATTTTTTTGGAAAAATTTAAAAGAAGCCATATTTTTTATTTTAAATTTAATTTTGTACTCCCTCCGTTCCTATTTTATCTTCCAAATTGGTTTGGCACACAATTTAAGATAGTGGGTATTGCGTGGTGGAGAGTTGTGGAGAGGAAAGAGAAATGTGTAAGAAATGTTGTGAACCACTAATTCTTTACTAAAAAGGGAAAGTGTAAGTTTTAATTGGAACGAACGAAAAATGAAAGTTGGAAGTTTTAATAGGAACGGAGGGAGTAATAAATATGGAAAAAGGACACAAATAGAATTTTCCCTTTAGATTTTTACAAACGGGCCGTAAAACCAAGTCAATTAATGGGCTTTCAGAAACCGAATCGTTCTGTTTGGCTACAAAACCCTCAGTTGATTAATGCTTTGCCAGACTGCCTCGCCCATCCATTGCAACTGGCGCAACACCGCCGCGACCAGCTGAAGCAGGTAAGGAACCGTTTCTTTTATCTACGTAATGTGTTTATATAGCCTTCCAACTTCCAAGTTCTTCCAAATAATAGCTAATCAGGGTTGCTCATCATTTATATATACGTAATTCGGATAATGATTTATCGGGGTTGATTGCATTTCAGGTTTTTATACTGCTATGTATTTTTCCCCTAAAAACATGTTACAAAAAGGCTGAGTTTTTGCTCCAAAAAGATGTAGTGTTGGTTAAACAAGGCCAATTTTCACGTAAAATGCCATTAAATTACCAACAAGAAGTGTGATAAACAAGCCACACACCATACTTTTAGTTAAACAAATGAAGAAATTCTTACAAATAATCATGATTTATGGTCAAACAATACTCTCTTGTGGGCAGAGAGGTGGTACTCCATCTAATAAAAATCAGGTATATGCGTATACCGTATATCTTCTAATCTTTCTGTCAAACACTCAAACCGCATCTACTTATATGTCTATTTTAGGAATAGTCTTTTAGTTCCAATTTGGTGGAAAAGGGAAGTGTTTTGTCTGTGTTTGTTGGATATCCCAATTTCTTATGGAATATTAGCAGTACTTTGTGTTCAATCACAAGTTGCCAGATAAGCAGTATGCCAACATGAATTACTTCCACTGTTTCTATTCAGCTGTTATTACTGAAAGTAGGAAATGTGTAAAAAGATTATTTGTCATTGGCCACTTATAATTTCCTTAATTTGATTTTAAATATAACATTAGGAGTAAGTTTTAAGTGCATTCAAGGAGGCAATCACAGTTATATCAATTATTATATGCCATTGCTCCAAATTTGCTGTACAGGAAGTCTTTAGTATACAGCTTTCTTTGTTTCACAAGAACTACTGAACTACTCGTTTGTTTTTGTAAAGTTGAATATCTTTTGCCTGCATTTCAGAAACAATGGCTGTCCCGTTGCTAAACAAGAAGATTGTGAAAAAGCGTGTCAAGAAGTTTAAGAGGCCACAGAGTGACCGTTACATCTCTGTTAAGGTTTACTATTTGATTAATTTCAGAGGGACATTTCAATGGGATATTATGACTTATGAGAGAAATTTCTACATGACAGTGTGATACTTTCCCCTCGAATACCTTGCTATCATGTCCAATTTATGTCCCCTATAATTACTCATACTATTTTCTTCCCATGATTATGCATGACCTCCGGTTTGGAAATTGAAATGCTTTATAAATTTATAAAGTGTTCTGTTGTTACATGCAGATTATTTTCTTATATGATGTATATTATATACATTTTTGTACTCCAATTATGATGCTTTACTTGTAATGTTCCCTTTGCGCTAATATAGGAAACAGATAAAGTACTATTTACACCAAGGTGAGATGGAATTAAGTTGATTTATGTTCACTATCACCATTTCTTGCCATTATAGCTCTGCCCAAGCTGGCCGTATTGGACGATAGTAACTGTCTGAGTCTGTTTTGAGTTTTGACATTTTCTATGTGCTGGATTTTCTTGGTGGTTTAATGTGTTTTTATTGTGGCAGGAAAACTGGCGTAGGCCCAAGGGTATTGACTCCCGTGTGAGGAGAAAGTTCAAAGGATGCACTTTGATGCCTAACATCGGCTATGGCTCAGATAAGAAAACCCGGCATTATCTGCCTAATGGGTTCAAGAAGTTCCTTGTGCATAACGTCCAAGAGTTGGAACTCTTAATGATGCACAACAGGTTTGTTATTATTAGCAGTGCTAAATTTCAACACATTACTTGCGCCCTTTACCCTTGTCAAATTTTTCCTAACTCCTTTCATGATATACATAATTCAGGACTTACTGTGCTGAGATTGCCCACAATGTTTCAACCAAGAAGCGGAAAGAAATCGTTGAGCGTGCGGCCCAGTTAGATGTTGTAGTGACTAACAAATTGGCTAGGTTGCGCAGCCAGGAAGATGAGTGAACACCACTTTATATCTCTTTTGTTGCAAAACTACATGAGAGGAGTCACCTTCTTTGCGTTAATGCGACAACTACAAGCTAAAAAAAACATTGTTACTTTAGTTTTTCATCAATTAACGTTTCTCAGTATCTTGCTTTCTATTTTCTTTTCTTGCCTATTCGTATGCTGTTCAATGTAACTTCTACCCATAAGTTATTAAGTTATTATAAGTAATGTTCTCCTTTTAATTTTCCTTGTATAATTTCAAACCAAAAACACACATTTTGATTTAAAATAAATAAATTTCATTAACGTTTTTTAATGTTTTTTGGTTAACAAAAACGGAGCTTAGTTCAAGTAAAGTTCAATTATGAAATAAATAAATTTCATTAACGTTTTTTTAATGTTTTTTTAATTTCAAGAACTTCAACAGTTAAAATTTCAGTTTGTTTCTTGTTTTATATATTACATATTTACATATTGGTGTCATGAAAGATCATAAAATTTCATGAATTTTGTTATATTTTTTGAAAAATTTGGAGGACAAATATAAAAGTTGTAAAAGTTTAAAACAATTTCACAAACTCTTAAATTCCTTTAAACTCTTATAACTTTTTTTATTTGTTCTCCAAATTTTTCCCACCTCACAAACTCTGGTCGCCGCCATCTTTCCCACCTCCCTACCACCGTCGCCGCCAGCCCCCAAACCCCCTTCCCCGGGCCCAAACCCCCCTCCTCAGCCATCTCGTCTCTTCCCTAGCTTCCCCTACCCTTGCCCCAAATCCCACCCTAAGCCCCATGAGAAACCATCACAATCCCCAATCATCGCAACCCAACAACCCTCCAGCCACCTTCCTAGCCCCCCACCTTACCGACCAGTCCCCTTTCCCGGCCGTCGCCTACCTTAGCTCGAGATTCTGTGTAGAAGAGAAGAAAGGAGAAGGGGAACATACATGGCAACGCCGTCGTCGGACTCGTCCTGACTCGCTGTCGCGGGAAAGGATGCAAGGAGATCCATGGCCATCGTCCATTGATGAGTGGGCATGAAGCTTGAAGTGATGTGGTCGGTTGGTCTCCTGATGCGATAGATATAGATCTTTGCTGTTGTCTAGTTCTGTTACATTAATTAAAAAGACACTTTTTTGGAAAATAGGAATAAGGTGATTTTTTTGGATTTGGAAAGTCCAATTGTAATATAGAAGTCATTATTTCTTTTGTCAATACAAAGAGCAATCTCGTGCTACATTGAAAGAGAATGTGGTCATTTGGATACATCAATAAGGGATTTTTCACAAATAACCAAAAAAGTAAAGTAATATCATTTTTATCACCGCTTGAAATTCTTTTCAAAACTAGACTAACTAAAATGTTTCCAAATGTTTCCATTCATTTATGGAATATATACACAAAACCAACCTACTAAAACATATATTTCAAAGGCGTCGTTGCCAGTAGCCTATCTTTATACGTTTTATACATCCACTTTGTTAAATTTCTATAAATCTTAAGATTACTCAACTCTCGTTTTTATATTGAAAATAAGAAATATTTAATGAAATGTAAAAAAGATAAAGCTATCTAGAAAATAATAAAAGTATTAAAAATAAGATAAAATTAAAAAGTAATAAAAATAAAAATAATCAAATAGTGTATATGAAATTTTATGTGTGACTCAACTATGATGGACTTATTTTAGTATGATATGATTTTCTGGAAATTTTGGAATGTATGTCTAATAAATAGTTGAAGTTGAAAAACTTGTAATTTTAATTAGAAAAAGGAATTTAAATTTTAAAAATAAATTAGAAAATGTTAAGAAACGTGTAGAATATTTGAAAATATAAGTCAAAAGTAAAAATACGAAAGGTTCAAAATAGATTAGGAAGTAGAAACAATTGTATAAAATAAAAATTTTTGTAATTTTAATTTCTAGAAGACTTCATAATTCATATGCCCTTTACTTTTTATAAAAAGTGAGTATAAAAAATCAATAATATGAATAGTTGATTTTTTAAAAACAAAAATGTAAATATATATATATAAAAATTAAAAAGTAAAAACTTTCTAAAATATTGCAAAGTTAATAGTAATCTCTAATAGAATCTTAAAAGATAATAATAAATGTAAGGAAAAATTGAAAATAATAATCCCAATTATTGCTGGTCCGCTAATAATAATCCAACTATTGATTATTTTTGTATAATCTCAACTATATGGACCATCCGTCAATAATGGTCCATTACCGGTTACTACCTGCTATACCAGGTCAATTTTAAATAGAAATTAAGCTTATTCTATAAATAATCTGAACTATGCTCACTCTTCTTTTAATAATCTCAACTATCAACCCAATTTTTTTTACAAAAAGTACAAATAATTATTTAAAATTCAAATTTTAAATTGGAAAAATTGAAAATAATAATCCCAACCATTGCCGGTCCGCTAATAATAATCCCAACTATTGATTATTTTTGTATAATCCCAACTATATGGACCATCCGTCAATAATGGTCCATGATCGGTTACTACATGCTATACCACGTCAATTTTAAATAGAATTCAAGCTTATTTATAAATAATATGAACTATGCTCATTCTTCTTTTAATAATCCCAACTATCAACCCAATCGTTTTACAAAAAGTAGAAATAATTATTTAAATTTCAAATTTTAAATTTTATGAATGAAAGTTTAACGAAATATAAAAACGTGTTGAAATTAGAAAAAATATTACATTTCGTTTTTTATTTTTATTCTCAGATTTTTTTATAAATAACCGATTTTGAATTCTTTTACAATTCAAGGTTTTTATTAATTTTTAACTAGTTTAAAATGATTTAATATTTTAGGGTGACTAGCTTTTAATTTTTTTATATTTTGAAAATATTGTAGTAGTATTTTAATCTGTTTCACTTTCTTAATTTTGAAAATCAAGGTTTTCATTTTTTTTTAATTTGGATATGTACTTAATTTGAAATTTTTTATCCTCTAAAGTTTTTTTATATTGACCATTTTACTATCCTTTTAAATATCTTACATGTTATGAAATTTTAACTTTGTAATTCATATAAGTTTTTACATATTCTATAATTATATATTTTATATTTTTTAATTCTACAAGCTACCTAAAAAATTAATGAAGTAAAATTAAAATTTTATAATCTTATTTACCCTTTCTATTTATTTGTGGATTTTTTTTAGGTCAATCAGAAGTCGACAGATGATAGTTCGGATTATTGTAATATGATATTTCTTTTTTAATTGGTTGAACAGGTAGCCGGTCACGTCAGACCATTATTGGTGGAAGGTCCCTAAAGTTGGGATTATTCTGATGACAGGGGTAGGTAACCCGATACTGTTTTAGCCCGGCCCGGCTCGGTACCTGGGTCCGTGTCCGCTTCGGGCCACCCGGCCCGGTATTGTTTCGGGGCGGGCTCCGGGTCTCAAAAACATGAACCGGCCCAACGGTCGAGCCCGGTTCGAGCCAAATTTATTTTTTTGTTTTTCAAATTCTTTAAATGGTAAATGGGTTGAGCTGAGTGTTTTGGATGGGTTTGAGGTATGGGGGTGGAGGGGTAGGAAGTAATTAGAAAATAAAAAAAGGTAGCCGTTCCGAACCCGAGGCCGGTTCCGGGCCTCAAGAATCCAGATAAAAGCCCGGTCAAGCCCGGCCCGAGTCCATGCCTAGCCACACAAGACGAAGGCCAAACGGCAGAGCCGCAAAGGCTGGAGGCACAACCAGAGCTAGGCTGGCAAGAGTAGAACATTTGCACGCTTCTACTTCAATGATGCCAGGGGTTGTGTTTTGATTTAGGATTAATTGGGACATAAATGGGCACAAGTGGACCGTATACTTCCCCATAGTGGTGGAATCTGCCCGGGTGGTGCGACCCGGAACCGGCCCGAGACCGATACTGTGATAAACCGGCCCGGCCCGGCCCGGCGGCATGGCCAATTACCGGTCCGGGTAGGGGTGGACTCGGGCCGGGCCAACCGGCCCGGAACCGGACTGGCCCGCTACTGTGCGGGCCCGGCCCGGCCCGGTGAACCGGTTCCGGGCCCGGTTCGGGCCAACCGGCCCAGTGGGATGGCGGTTCGGGCTCGGGCCCTTCAAAAGGTGAACCGACCCGGCCAGTTCGGACTCGGACCAGGCCATTTTTTTTTTAAAGTTTTTGGGTTGGGCTGGATATTTTGGGCCATTTGAGGTGGTTAGGATTGGTTTGGGGGTGAGGGGGAGGGTTGGGGGTTAACTAGGAAAAGCAAAAAAAAATAGAACTGAGGCTCGGCCCGGACCCGGGGGTTACCCGGGCCGATTCCGAGCCTCCCCTTCTTGAACCGAGGCTCGGCCGGGCCCAGGCCCGAACCGGAACTGGTCCATGCCTGGGTCCGGGTAGGCCCGGCCCGGGGGGTTCCCGGTGCAGGCTCGGGTCACCCAAAAGCTGAACCGGCCTGGCCAGTTCTATGGATGGACTCGGGTCCAGGCCGGGTCCGGGTTGGGCCTAGGCCCGAGCGGGCCGACGGTTCAGAAATGGTGGACCCGGGACCGGCCCGGGTAACCACCGGGTCCAGGCCGGGCCCATTATCATTTTTTTTTATTTTCCTCTTATTCCTAATTCACCCCCCTCCCACCCCCAACCCCCCAAACCACCCCAAATGGCCCAAAATACCCAGCCCAACCCGAAAATTTAAAAAAAAATTGAAAAAAGAAAAAAAATAGTTTTTGGCCCGAACCGGGCCCGGGCCCGACCGGGTCGGACCTTGTTTTGGGTGACCCGAGCCCGGACCGGAAAACCCACGGGCCGGGCCTACCAGGACCAGTAACTGACCGGGCCACCGGGTCAGGCCGGGCCGGAACAGTACCGGTCCCGGGCCAATTCCGGGTCAGGCGACCCAGCCCGAGTCCATCCCTAGCCAGTTCTAGGCCTTCTGGCCCAATTCCGAGCTTTTTAATTTTTTTTTTCAATTTTTTTAACTTTTCGGGTTGCACTGGGTATTTTGGGCCATTTTGGGTGGTTTGGGGGGTTAATTACGAAAAGGAAAAAAAAATAAAAAGAGGCCCGGCCCGGATCCAGTGGCTACCTGGGCCGGTCCCGGGCCCACCTTTTCTGAACCGGCAGCCCACCCAGGCCTAGGCCCGACCCGGCCCGAATCCAACACTACTTCCCCATGTTATGTAGTGTTCAGGCCCATTAATAATCATATGTTCAGGCTTCTAGCCTTCTAGGTGATGTATAATGTATATTGAGGCATTGCAGAACGAAAGGATGGAGTGGCAAGTAATTGTCAATTTTGATCCTGATCAGTTAAAACGAGGGTTCCGTTACTTCCGCATCACACATTTTACTCTTATCAGCTCAAAACCAGATTCACAAGCTTACAAACGAAAGGAAAAGGAGCCAGATGGAAAAATACCCCATACAGGCCATACCCGTAGGATCATAAGCCTACATAAGATGTGTCTAATAATATCTACACAAACAAATGCCGAGTAAGAGAATTTCCATCGGTAAAAGCTTACAGCATAAAATCAATCACTGCAATCAATGTTGTACAAATATAACTTAAAATTGAGAGCACATACAAAAATTGCAGGGCAAACCCCCCAGATCTGGGAACACCATCCACCAGCCCGGTGCAAAGATATCATGAAAGAAATGTTTGTATGCATTTGATCTAACCGAATGAAATATTGAAATCCATAAGCAATAAACCCTATGACTCTTCAATTTGTAAAATAAAAAGTAAAAACCTAACAAGGCAAAAAAATGGGATGGACAAGTCAGCAAGAGACAGCATCTTCCTATGTAGAAGAGTGGCTCCAGCAAATCCTAGTACTACACATGATGGGGGGCAAAACGGAAAAGCAGAGCCGGACACCTGTTGGGGCGGGGCTCACACACCAGGTAAAGCCATAAATACAATCTCCACCCCCTCATTCATACTCATCAAGGCGTCAAATGAATGAAGCGACTCAAATCTGAATGGACTTCAGGGCACACACTGTTGCCTTCAGCCATTACTGAATAAGGTGCAAATAGGCAATGTGGCCACTGAGAGATGATAGTTTTGAAGAACATAGCCATTATAAGCAGGGAGCAGTAGCGGACGCCTTCTCCAGTTTTTCCTTCTCAATTTCAACTCTCCTCTGCTCAGCATGCTGAGCAACGCCATTTGCAAGTGCCTGATAATGGAAGTCTAGAGTCTGGGTGAGGCTCTGGAACCTCAAGTGATCAGATGCCTGAAGAGCTGTTGTTGCCAATGTATATATATTAAGCATTAGGTCATCTCTCTTTAGTCTTTACCAGGCTAGTTAAAACAAGAAATTTCAGTAGATAATGGAAACAATTAACAAAGATGAACTAAGTGTGAATACCTTTGATAGAATCCACAAAGGAAATAAAAGGATCCACCTCATCAAGAGGCGATTGCAACTCGTCATCATCACTAAAATCATCATCAGTAAAATCATCGTCGTCGTCATTTGGGCGGAAAGACTTTGCCTAAAATGACAAAATTTCAACATCCAGCAAAGGAAAAACACATTTTAGAAATGACATTTCTTTTTTATATATCTCTATTCCAATTTACTCGTCTTACTTCCCTTTTTTGTTTGTTCCATTTTACTAGTCTCACTTTCTATTTTTGATACAAACCCGAATGAATAAACTTCCCCCATTCAAGATTAAATTCAGCCATACAAAAAGCATCTTTTGTCACCTCTAATACTGTCCTAAAGTGTGCAAATACCCAACTGCGACAAATATTGTGGATTGGAGGGGGTATATATATCTGTATTAATGAATAAAATCAAATGGTGGAAGGGGGTATAATGTATCTGTATTATTCTTTTGGGAATGAGGCTTGGATGTTGTTTTTGTATTGAATAAAATCAAATGGTGGAAAGGGGCATTTTTGTTTCCTTTTGGATAAAAAAGGAAACAAAATGACTGAGAAATGGATTTATTAGTCTAAGGTTCGCAGGGAAGTCGAAATACAAGTAAAAAATGTGTATAAGTTAGTTCCTTTACTGTTTACCAAGTTGCCCAAGCTCCTTAGTAATTATATCTGTTTGTTAAGTAATTCTTTTCACCTGTGCTGCCAACTTCTGGAGCTTCAAGCTGTCAGCCTCATCTTCACCCTCAGCATCATCCCCCATTTCTCCGTCAGACACATCATCATCATCATCATTGTCATTAATATCATATCCATTCATGTCATCCTCATCATCAGCTTCCTCTTCCTTGGCAACTTCTGGTAGCATTAACGGAAAAAAGACATGCATGAATAAAGGAGATAAGTCCTGGGAAAGAACAGAATATGGTTAAAAAAAGACTTCAAAAACCTTCAAGTTGTTCCTTGTAAGCAACAAGGAGGTCAAGAATGGCCTTAAATATGCGTTCCAACGCTGCAGATGGTATTTGATCAGCAGGAAGAGTGAGTAATGATGTCAAGCCCAAACAGCAAACCTTTTTGTCATGCACCCTGCAACACCATATACAAGAAATTACTAAGCAATATGAAACTGTTCCTCCCTTTGTTATCTTACAACTCGCAATTTTTATCCCTGCATGTGCTAAAAAAAGCAAATATATGCTCACCTTTTAAAATTAGTACGAATTCCACTTTTTTTAGTTTCTTGTAGCAAATGGAACCAGAGACTGAATATCTCAGTAGCAACACCGAGCTTTTGCAGTATGCTCATCGTTAATGATGGGTTATAGTAAAGAGCATCAGCAATCTGCATGTACAAAGCGGGTTTAAGTCTTTTTCACAGAAAAGGACAAGTCAACATTACTGCAGCACTTTTGAACATGTTGGGTAGGATTTCAAAACCAATGAACTACAAGGATAGCAATTATATTATTTGAATGCATAATAATAGAAAGAAACTTAGTACATCTATAAAAAGATGTAATTCAAAGAGATATACTCACATGAAAGTTTAAAAAAAATTAAAAAAAATAAGACAATGATAACTTACCACTTGGATCAAAAGGCATTTCAAGTAAGCTTTTTTTGTTCGATGCAGGCGCTCTATTGAGATTCTGAGATATGGTTCCACCCAGTGGTCCACATGTCCTTTGCAATTCTGAAATAAAACTTCAATGAGCTTAGGCGCTGGCTCAATGTCACCATCTTCCAAGTTCTTATCAGCCATGACCTGCAATGAAATTTAAAAGGAAAAACTACTATTAGTAATGCACTTCAGTTGATAATTTTTAGGTATTTAAAGAAAAGGCATTTCTTAAATATATTTAGCCATCTAAAGTAAAAGCATATTTCTCATAGTGACATTAGCTTACAGTTGAGATCATATTCCAAAGGCTTTGTTGGTAGTCTGGTTCCTTGCATGTCAGAAAATATTCTGTGCTCCTCGATATGTAGTTGTCCAGTGGAACCAATATATCTGGAAAATAAAGTAAGGCATATCATGTGTGTGTGCAGGTGCCATAGTGATGATGGTATATGTGCATGAGCTAAAGTTTCTTAATAATATTAGTGAAGATCTCAATATCCAACGAGTACAAAGTACAAACAGGGACATAACACAAGAAACTGACCGAAACAGTTGGAGTCGAAGCGCAAGGAACATGCTAAGGAATAACTGTTTCTACTGATTATAAAATCAACCATAGAGTTTTGAGAACTTACTTTGGAAGAAATCAATTGCCCAGTCTGCAAGTGCCTCCATCATCAACGGCCAGAGGCTCCACATGTTGATTGATATTTTTGGTGAGAAAAATGTCATATAGGAAACTATCTCCAAAATCTCTTCATAGACCTCTAAAAATTATGGATCGAAGAAATAAACAAGTATTCAGAGATGTGAAAAATCAAAACAGAGCATGTAAATTCAAATTTCAACTTTATCATTGTTTTAATAAGTGATATCATACAGTTATAGCATAAAAGAGGGTGCCACCACCCAATGAACAGCACTGGCTAAGAAATAATAACAAGAAAAGGCACCAAGCAAGTTTTTGCCTATAGTTCAACTACATAGGAGTACCTTGACCATCGGTTGTAAGCATCCTGCGCATAATAGGGAGCAATATTGGCTCAATATGTTCGAAAAGATGCGGAAGTCTACTAATTGACTCAAGTATTGTACTTATGGCACGCAAACAACCAACAGCAGCCAAAGCACCAGGATCATCGCCTTCATCATCAGCTTCTGACGTGTTTATACATTTCCAGAATGCAGCAGCCTATAACAACACCCATGTTAGGGTACAACACACCATGACCTGGATTTTATAAAAGTACGCTAAGAATATCTCTCACTAGATTTTGGCACAATCCAAGAGCGTAAGGAGACATCTCCTCCCCAAACTTGTCAACAATGGTCTCTAGTGTGAAAACAAGATCTTCATTCTCAACCTCATTCATAAGCTTAAAGAACTCTGAAAGTGAAAATTGATTCAGAAAAATGATCCAATATGTATTTAGCAAAAATAAAAACAAGAAATGTGTTGATTGGGCTCTGCACATACCATCAAGTAACTGAGGAAGTATGGGGCGGATTTCATTCAAATCTGCATTTTAGCAAGACACTATTCAGTAAGAAATAGATGGAAAGGGAACCGCCTCTCAAGGATACCAACAGAATATACCTTTGCAAGCTTCTATGAAGGAACGGAGAGCAAATACAGAGTCAACCCGAACGGGTAGTTCAGGATCACGCATTCCAGCAACAACGCTATGTAGAGCCTTAACATAATTACTTGGATTTGAGAAGTCAATATGTGCATATTGTCCAGCAACCCATGCCGCCTAGTATTAAAGAGGATAAATAGAAAAATATGTTGATAACCAGGTTATTGATGGGCATATTATGCACACATTTTGGATTATGAGGTCAGCTGACACATTACGAATTGGCATATTAACTTCGTAATGTTAATATGCCCAGCAAATTTGGCTTAGTAGCTTCCGCAACACCCTCTCCCCCCACCCCCACATATGTGCTGTACCCTATAAACAGGTGAGGTGGGTGTCTGCCCTTGACCAACTTGCCTATTCAGGGTTTATAAAACGTTGTTCCTTAGAGCAGAACACCCGAGAAACATTAATGTTGTCAAATTTTATATGATTAAAACAGTTCTGAACATGCTCAGTGATACGGAAACATAAATGCAGAGCACCAGATGCTATATAGAGAAGAAGTGAAAAGCATATGCACATCCACACCTTTGCTCGAAGATGGCCAACAGGACTACTGAATTCTGGGAAAACATATTGCACAAGCATTCGCTCAAGTTCAGATTTGTATGGTTCAGTTTGTTTCAGTTTATCACAAAGTATCCCAACTGAAAGGAGAGCACCGTCCTTTTGCCTGAATGGTTTGTGTTCCGGTGCTGATTCATTAAACCTATATTACATATAGATTACAGAAACAGTACAGAACATTTTTGTTAGCATTTAACATTTCTAACTTCTGAAATGCAATTGCACAGATAAGTGATATAACTTGATTTCTAGTGTATACCTCTGAAAAATCTCAACAATGAAGGCGACAAACTTTTGAAGGTTCTCTTTGCCACGCTTTCTTACCAACTCACTAACAAAATCCATCGCTGCAGTTTTAGGGCTATATAGATCCTCAATAATATCTGAAAGTAAAGTCTTAAAGTAAGTTTAATAACAATCAGGAAACACAGATGCGTTCTAGGAACAGGCACATAAAGAATATATCAATTTACTTACCATAACCTTTTCGAACATATTCATAGGGGTCTTCATCCCACAGTTTTTGATCATTGTCATTAAAGCACATGAGAGGGAATACAATTTCAAAGAGAAGGATATCAAGATTTGGCTGCAGCAGATTGTACATGGTACTCTTTGAAATACTGCATGATCAACAACGAATAAGGATTAGACAAGAACGCAGAAACAAGTCATTGATGCAGATAAACTATGATTCATGAAAGAGTATAAATGGGAAACACATTTATGATTGATGTAAATCATACTGCTAAAAACAAAACAAAAATGACTTTTTCATATTTAAGGTTATTCATTTGAGTAATTAGCACTTTAACAAAGTAAGAAAAGTCATTAATAAAAAAACACAAAACGTAAAGCTACATGGACAACAAACTAGCATGCCAGGTACTCTTAGACTGGAAACATATCCACTAACCCACCATATTGCTATCATTGGGATATGAGACATCAGAAAGTTCACTGCAACCTTGGAAGTTAAAGGACAAAATTTGATGCTTCAGAATGTTCAATGTATTCCTCGGAACTTAACATAGACACCCAAGTGCAAGGTTTAAAAAGGCGTACAAGGTGCAAGCCTCGAGGCGCACCCCAGTGTGAAACAGCAGACGAATGTTTTGAAGTTTACGCATCACTTGTTTGTGAAGAAACGCACGTATTGCAAATTTGATGTGTAACCCTTAAACCTCACGAAGCAGCTGAGATTCAGTTTTATTCTTATTTCAGCTACTTTAGAAATAGGCTTTTTTATAAGATCATGACCAAATAAGAATTATTTCTCCTTGAAGCTGCTTTGGTCGAAATAAAACAAGTTAAATATGTGAGATTACAGACATTTAATTTCAATCTCACAGCTTGGCTCAATACAAACATTTGAGCTTCTAATCTTAGAGTAAATTTCTCCATAACACACTAAATCACTAACGCTAATAATAGTCATTGTTTTTTCCGTTCTTAGGCATGAACATATGGGATATAAATTTAAACAACATACCATGCCAATTCTAAAAATGTTCCAAAAAGAAGACCAACATGACATGCCATTAAGTAATTAATAAAAAAAATAACAGACAGACCTGTTATTTAAATATTGCAAAAGAAGGTTAGCCACCCTATCAGGTAGATATCCACCAACTCGGACAACACTCAACAAATTAAAGTGGCATACTAATATTTTCCCCGCATAGTTTTTCTGAAACATCTGAGCAAAAGCTTTGTTGTCCTGATTTTGAAGTTTTGAATCTCCAAATCTGTGGAAGAGAGAATGTTAGGGAAAAAGAATACAGAATAGGATGTTGACTAACCCTTTGTATAGTTCAAACCTGGTATAGAGACGGTTTAGAATGTGCACTGTCCATTTTTTAACCTTCCACCACCCCCATGATTTCCTTAGCTCAGGATCATTCGGCTGGCCTTCCTGAGGAACGGGCCTCTCCAGCATTGTGAGGAAAAGAACCATCCATGCATTAAAAATATTTGGATCAAACAACTGCTTTGGAATCTCCAGCTGGAAAATCATTGAGAGTCAAATAAAATCCAATATAATTTATCATATCAAAAAAATAAAGCACATGCATTACATCATGAAACCAATAACAAAAATCTCAACTCAATCAAGGTCTGATTCCAATTGAAAAACTAATAGTTATTAGACAATCACTACATCTTGCAATTTGTATTCATGTCAGGAAAGGTCATCATTAATTATAGGCCACGAGCTCAGGGCCACTTCATCATAAAACTATTCATGTCAGTGAGGGCAACCGCTCCCAATTTAAGCAGTTAAGGGCCAACAAGGGATATACAGACCCTGAAATTATATTTGGCTAAAAGCTAATAGGCAATCACTTCATTGCACTATTTGTTTCATGGCAGGAAAGGTCATCAGTCATCACTCACAATAGGTATACATGGAAAAATATATACACCAAATACATACATATATAGATGACCAGAATATTTTGCAGATAAGCTTGATAAGATCTGCTACTTCAATTGAAGGATTTGTTATTTGAACAAGTTTGTTAAAAATGTTCAGGAGATATGGAAATGTTTCTTCAATAATCTGGTATACAGGTGTTCTCTCTTCGTCTGATTTGAACCTATAATTACACAAGATAACAAATTATTATCTTTACATTTCTTAGAAGAAAAAGAAAAGGGTCAATGATATGAGAATAATTGAATCCCAATTGACAAACTCACTCGTATTTTCTTGAGAGGATCCTAAGAACAAATAGTGCTCCATAAACTTGCTGATCCTGCAAATTATGCTTTATCCAGGGTAAAAGAGTTGGCCACTGCTCAGGATAATCTGAGTAAATAATGGTTTTCAGGCATTCCCCCAGTTGCACTCTGATTACAGAACAAGTCCGAGAGAAAAATCATGTCACATTTTATGTTTGAAAATTGTAACAGATTAGAGAATCAAAGCATGAGCCAAACATGTAACTACTACAACAAATATGTGTAAGATGCATCATGCATGCTGTCTACTTAGAAATGGAACCTCACATAAAAACAGATCAGTAAACCACTTAACCTATACAGATTGCACTTTTACACAAAACCATGACCTAATATTAAGATAACATGGTTACAAATTTATGATGATGTCATTTCAAATAAAAAGAAAACAAAGTATTAAACATTTTATTTTTTAAAATGATGGGATATTATTTTTTGATGATCTTTTTTAAATGTTAAAAACTCTCTCTGTCCCTTAATACTTTGCCTAATCTGAATGAACCGTGTAATAAGAAAGTAGAAACTGTGTGGTTGAGGTTAGTGTAAAGGAAAAAGAAATAATAATAACAACCAAAAATTAGTTACTTTAAAGGGAAAGTGGCACAAAATTTGGGACAGATTGATGGTTGGCAAAGTTTAGAGGGACAAAGGTAGTATGAAGTATGTTATTTGATGATTTAGTTAATTACCACGTAGTACAAAATAATTATAAAGATGTACATGCATACCTCAACAATGGAGGCACCTGAGCAATAAATAAGAGAATATTTTGTCTAACCAATTCCTTATCACCAGGCATGATTTTGGACTGCTCCCCTACATTGGTAGAGGTAAAGTTAATGGCATTTGCCTAAAAATTTCAAGCATGAACAACAAGTAACAAAGGTACTACCAGGATCATGAAGTGACCAGTTTTTGGCAGTGAAGTTTTTAAAGTAAATACTTGCCACCTGTCGCACTGCCATATCACAGGACCCATCAACTATTATTTGCAACAACCTCACCATATGTTGGGATGTGTATTGGAACTGAAACAAGATACAGAATTTTGTCTAAAGTTGAACCCACAACTTCTTTGACAGTAATATAAATAAAAGCACACACTATTACAATAAAAATGTTCAGAACATAAAAAACAAGAATAATTTGGTAAAATATATTGCCACCTACTTCTCATTTGTAGGAAAAGTTAGGCAACCTATGCAGACAGTGTTTTTCATGAATTGAGTGAGTTACACAACCCGCATAATAAAATACCATCATTGGACTGACTTCCAAAGAAGTTTGTTAATGCCAATTAGTTACACTTTGGAACTGGGAGAATATACTCAATTAGGGCCAATGAGTGTAACATTCCACTTCTCAGAACAACTTCATTTAGAACAGGGCTCCAAATATTTAATTGAGAAGGTAGCTGTGTTGAAATATTCACATGTGAGCAATGCAGACAAAGCAGTTGCATAGTTGAGTGACATGTTTCGGCGTGCGAAAGAAATAAATCATCCACTGGTTAGTTTCAAAATAAGTCTTATTAGATCATGGGATCTTTTAGCTTCACTCATCATATTGTAGTGACATAACATCTGAGTTTCAAACTAAAGAACTTGAGTACTTGAAACACATAATATATTAAGCATGCATCCACCAGTTAAGCATCACTGTATAAAACTACCAATGTAGTACATTTACATAATAACTCAAATCCAATTTCAAACTACTACTCAGAATGTACATAGTAGTAAATTCTAAATATATTCAGAGAAATGCACCAAGCTGCTTACACAGACAAATATATTACTCCGTATGTGGTATATGGACATTAGTGACTAAGGGGCTGTTTACTTTCAACTTAATGGATTTAATGAGAATGACAGCTTAATCATTCTGCCATTAAGTTGTGTTTACTTGCGACTTAATTGAAAGCGTGACTTAATCATTCAGTCCAAAAAACTATCTTAATCATTAAGCTGGAAAATAGTAGTCCTTCCCATTAAGAAGTCTATTAAGATGTCTTTTCTGCCAAGTTTTTTAAATCTATTGTGGAATAGATTTGTTTTGATAAATGAAGTTTCTCATTGACATTATAATTCAAGATTAATATTAAATTGATTAATTTATTCAATTCAGACTGTTTATTCAGCACACAGAATAAACAAAATAAACAGCCTCGTATACAAATATCACTTAATCCAAACAAACATCTTAGCCCAGACATACATCTTAATCCAGATAGGACTTGATAGAAAAAAAGTAAACAGACCCTAAATATTCTACAAATAGTAAAACAAAAATACAGTACAATTGGTATAAGAGTAAATTAAATCTCAAACTAAAACACTGATTTTGCATTCTTTTAACCTCTACAAGTAAATGATATGATATTTATCACTGAGTACCGATCTTGATAGCTTCCCAGCATTCCAACCAATGGTGTATATAATACTTGAAAGAAAGTAAGAAACATGTAACCATAAATGAAAAGGAAACCGACTAAATGGCCAATCATATTGCAACTGCTGAATCATCAAGTGAGCAGTGTGGATAGATCCCCACATGCATAGCAAGAATTTAGGAAATGTCAAGCTCAAAAGTTCCAAAATAAGAGGCTTCAAAAGCAACACCGATTGTAAGAACAACTAAGGATCATACCTGATTGAGACTTTCCTCCGCGGCTTTACGCTCAACGGGATTGTTACTGAGAGCACCTCTGAGGATCATAGCCAGGCTTGGAAGATCCATTTTAAAATCTAGCAATAGAAGAAGATCGATCAGTCGCTCTGTCTCTCCCTGACTCCCTCTCCCTTGTGAATATCACTCCCAGTATTGCCAGCGGGAGAGTGTGCTGGCGAAGGAGTAAACGTTGTGTGAGAGAGAGCTAGGAGGCGGTCCAAGAGTGGTTAACTGGTCATAGAGTGTGGACAGCGAAACGTGCGTGAATATAGATTTATATGATTAGGGTTTTAGTGCGAGGACATGGAAAAGTGTCCTAGAGGATGGACAAAGATTAACTAATTTATTACTGTGGAGAACCAAGGACGTTGGTAAGGGTAGTCAATTTAGGGGCTAAGGATCTTGGGCATATTGTCATTGAGGGCGTGTTTACCTCAACGAAGGGTACTTAATAATCGAAAGAGGTATTAAAGTATTGCTTACTTAACATATCAAGAAGCAATTTGAGCTTTTTCCGTTTTCAAATTTATCCTTACCCCTTCCTTTTGTTTTCCCTACCGACCCCTACTACCCTTACCCACCCTATCCTACCTTACCACAACCCCACCCTACCGTATCCCTAACCTCGTACTCGTACCATTTACCCCTACCCCTACACCCTCAACCCCCTTCCCTAGCCAAACGCGACCCCCCACCCACCTCGCCCCCCTAGCCCTTACCACCCTACACCGACCATGCCTTTATCACCATCCCCACCCCTACCTGTCCCCCTACCTGTACCCCTGCCCCGACCCCTTCCCCTCCCCCGCCTACCACCTGCCCTTTCCTTGATCCTATCCCGACCCCCATACCCCCCACCTTGACCCTCGTACCCCTAACCCTCCCTAACCCTTACGCCCTACCTTCGATTCCAACCCTACACCCTACCCCTACATATTGATATTATATTATATATTTGTGTGTATGAAAATTTGTGTGCCTATATATGTATATGGTTATTTTGGACATTTTAATGTTAAACAGTGTTTTAAATCCTTGGAAGTAAACATGAACTTACAGCACTGCTTATTTTATGTGCCGCTTATTAACGCGAGTCTTAATAAGCACCGTTTAGTAACCTGTGAAGTAAACGTGTCCTGAGTCTCTTTATTTTTAATACTCCCTCCATCCCATTGGACTTTGCCAACTTTCCCTTTCTGTTGCCCCAAAACACTTTGTCACTTTCCTATTAAAGCAACGCATTTGTGATTCTCTGCACATTTATCTCTCTTGTGCACAAATCTCAATCACACAGCTTTTACTTTATTTTCACCTACCTCAAACTTGTCAAAGGCCACTGAGACGGGGTAGTATAAAAGAGCTACCTTCTATATTAATATTGATAAAACATATAATACAATCTGTAGACACTTGTTACAGAACCGATCGTAAGCCCCTGGAGTAGACAAAGATACTCAATCGAAAGCTCTAGCTAGGGTTTCTCTGGAAGGGTTAGTTAGCTTTTAACCGTTACTCATTGCTTCTCTCTTAAAAATTGATTTTTTCAATGATTTTAGATAAAATGTTTAATAGCACAAAATGAGAATGTTTGAGAAAAAAAGCAATTTTAGAAAAGTAAAAGTGAAACTACATCTCTAACCCGAGGTTGTGAAGCATTGCCTTGGATTCGAGGCAGTGCAGCCTTGCTCACGACCTAAGATTGTGTAGCTTCATCTCCGACGTAGGATCATGTGTCCCCACCTCTGACCCGAGCTTGTGCAATTGATTCGCGGGCGGCACATTGCGTCATTAGGATCATTCACGTGAAGTATGAGTAATTTCGCCAATCTCTCCATCGCGGGATTCTTCTCGCCATGTCGGTTGCACCAGGGAGGCTCGCGACTCAATCATGTGGAGAGCGGAGGCTCCATGTACGCGGCTAAGGTTGAATGGGTCGTGCGGTGGGTCCCTTGGAGAAAGATGGAGTTTGGATGCTTCTATAGAGATTTTATGTTCCCAATTGTAAATAATAGGAGAAGAAGACAAACACACTGTGATTTGATGGCATCATTGTGACACTATCAAGGAGAGGTTCGCGGATTTGAAACCCGTCCCTATCAAGGATGTTAACATTTAACAAAACAAATATTATTATATGCGAGAAAACACAACAACAAAAATTGAAGAAGAAGGATTTGGACTAGTTACACTCTAAGGAATCAGAGTATTTGGGTTCAGGATGGAGTGTAGCTGAAAACATGTTTTCGAGTCTCAAGGGTTAGTATATATAATTAAGGCACTTGGCCTAAAAGCAAGACCTCCATCTTTTTTACAGGCATGGAGAAAAAAGCAAGACGCGTTAATAGGGCGATCAACTAGTCTAACAAATGGTCGAGTCCAAAGCAACTTAACTACTACCTTTTAGCCAAATGTACTACTCGAATATGGCAATGTAATGTGGGGCTTGTGTTGGCACAATGGCCGCATCAAGTACCGGTGGTCTGTTCAACATGTTAGTAGGCCAAATTAGCCTAGGGGCATGACCTAGCTAGTGGAGAATTTGTGATAGGTTATTTTATTTCTTACTGGGGTGGTTGTCTCATTGGCTCTACCCCACACTTGGGTTAGCCCCAAATAGTAATTATATGTAGTAGCCATATTTTTGTAAACACTTAAAAATAGATTGTGAACTCACATGTGACGGGACATCATCAGTACATCATTTATACTATACTAAGTTGTTGCCACTTTCTCTCCATATTACTTGACTAATTTCATATCCCAATTCCTACTCAAATGTTGTGACGCATCCTACAAAAAAGACCCACAAAATGCATTTTTTAGACGAACATAGGTTCATTTAAAACGATATCGATATTCAAGTTGATGAGAAAAGTATAATGAATGGTAAAAAAATGCAACCCTTTTGTTTCTTAATATGAGTTCTCTATATTTTTATACTGTTTTTAGGCGTTAAAATTGTGTGAAACACCTATTTAGAAACAAGGAGTGATGGAGTATATGGGTCAAGATCCTATGACCCACATACTCACAACACTAAGAGGAAGCACAGATGTCACCTAGTTGGTCCTCTGTCGGCCAGATGGTCCCCATCGGCCAAACTCACATCATTCCAGAATATGGTCCAGAAGCCCAGGAGTGAGACGTGGTCCCTTCGTCGGTCAGACACTCCGTCGGCCAGACCCCCCGTCGTCCAGACGCACCGTCGGCCAAAGGGGCTTCGCAGAGACAGATTCTATACATAGTCAAATTATTGTATTCAGCCCATTAGAGGCCTCGTATTGTAAATGGGCCTCCCAAGCCCAAGGTTTGGGAGCCCGACCCATATTTTCCCTATGAATACCCCTTTGGGGGTAGTTGCAAGGGGTTGATAGACATTTATTGCACTTCTCCCTCTAGCTCTCACTTCTCTCCAGGGGTTAATACTATATCATTTGGTGCTTTCACTGAGAGCTAGAACAATCAAGTTAGTCTCCTTCGTCGCTACTAGAGACAACTAACTAACATGGGAAGAACAAGGTCAAACTGTAACCTCATCGACAAAGTGATCCCTGAGACTCAAGAGGACCGAGAACGTTCCGGCGATGCTATGACCGACAAGGACATGGATGAAGAGGTCTTTCAGGAGACCATCGACCTCACGACTGACCTTCGCAATCACCTCAACGTCAATGCTCAAGATGCTCGCATCGGCCTTGAGAAGAAGCGCATGGAGAAGGGTGACCATGCATCGGGGCAACAGACTACTCCCGTTGTTGATCCTCAGTTCTAGGCCGCTCTATCGACCATCATAGCCAGCTTGACTCAGAACCCCACCGCCCTCAGTGCACTCATGCCAAGAACGGGGGAGAACACTACTCCACCACCTCCCCCGCCCTAGCCGCTGGTCATGAAGGTAGGCAACGACGAAGGGGTTGAACCACATGACACGTCTTCATCCCACTCCCACTCCGCCTCCCTTCACCGGGGTGGACCGCCCCCAGCGCGTGGAAAAGCCTCGGCCTTCAACAGGCTAGGCAACACGCGTCGTCGGCCAACATCGGAAAGGATAGCAGGACGGCTTGGTGAGCGTGAACCTGGTTCACCTAGAGAAAGCATGGGGTCCGTATCCCGGACAGCGGATCGGCCACGACTTGACAAGGGGAAGGGCAAATTGCACGAGGAAGACGTGCGCCACCAGATCAACACGGCCCATGTCGCCCGCACCCAGAATCAGCAAGGCGCCACCATGGCCGCCAAAGACCCCCGGGACGAGGTCATCGCCCAGCTCGAAAGAAGGCGTGCCCAGATGGAGGCCAAGCAGTTTGCCGCTACTCCTACGGCCAACACCTCCAGGGATCTCGGCTTCAACGCCCTTTTACACAAGGTCAGCGCCTTGGAGAAGGAGCTGGTCGAAGGACGCGGCGACCCCATCATCCAAATCAGAACCAAAACTCCCTTCATCACAAGGGTTCTCTCGGTCCTAATACCCGAGAAGTACCGAGGGAATGCCATCAAGCTCTATGACGGCCGCACCGATCCTCATGAGCATTTCATCCGCTATCAGAATAACATGTTGATGGTGAACGTATCAGACGAATACCTCTGCCGCTGGTTCCTTTCCACTCTTGAGGGACTAGCGTACGGGTGGTTCAACGTTCTGCCTGAAGGAAGCGTGGACATTACCTCTGCACACATGGCCACAACGGGGACTCGTAGGCCCAAAACAATGTATTCATTACATAAATATCAATGAGCATAGTTTTTAGATTTAAAACAATAAAGAAAGCACTAACCACACCTTCCTTTGGATCACTCCACCGAACAAAGGTGCGGATAACAAGCTTTAGCTTCACCCTGAAATGGTGGTCCCCTCGAAAGGGTCAGTACGCGAATACCGAGCGAGCAGTAGGCTAAATGTAGAATAACTAACGTTTCAAGTATAAGACCTAAACGTAGGGTGATACATACACATATATTCCTTTCCCCCAAATTATGAAATACATATCAGTATATATACACTTAGAAATACCCGATCCGTAGGTCATTGTTTATTTGGGAAAATATTAGTAGTCAATATCCTTGACTTAAATCCCAAAGCCACCCATATACCTATGAGTGTATAAGACTCCTCGTGGTCCAAATCAATTATCATAAGGACACCGCTCGGTCCTGAATCAATAAAATGTAGTCTATGAGTTTTGAGACAATTTAGTCCCTCGGTCCTCCACCATTTATACATACGAGTTTTGAGGACGGTTTAGTCCCTGGATCCTCCACCATTTATACATACGAGTTTTGAGGACGGTTTAGTCCCTTGGTCCTCCACCATTTATACATATGAGTTTTGAGAACGATTTAGTCCCTGTGCCTTCCACCATTTATACATACGAGTTTTGAGGACGGTTTAGTCCCTATGTCCTCCACCATTTATACATACGAGTTTTGAGGACGGATTAGTCCCTGGGTCCTCCACCATTTATACATACAAGTTTTGAGGACGGTTTAGCCTTTGGGTCCTCCACCATTTATACATACGAGTTTTGAGGGCGGTTTAGTCCCTAGGTCCTCCACCATTTATATTCATTCATATGATCTACCACATATCATACATAGATAGGGTCTACATTATATTATAATCACTTATCAAGACTAGACCAAGTCTTATAATCTAAACATAACAATCCATGCAAAACCAAGCACATAATTCAACATATACGCAAAACAGCACCAAATTGGTGCCAATTCAGACCTGATCGACGCCTGTTCATAATTAATTTGATTATTTGGGTTGCCCCGTACTCAAACCGGCGCCGGTTGTAGCCCAAACCGGTGACTGTCCACTGTCTCCTTTGCGGCCAACGACCTGTTGACCGCCCGAACTGACTCCGATTGATCCGAAACTTAATCCAAACATGTATTAAGTCTTAAACAATCAATATTTGTCATTTGGACATCCAAAACATAACATATGTTTTTATATCATTTTCACATCATTTTTCATGCATAACATTATGCTTCATTTCATATAAGCATAGTCATCTTGGCCACTCACATGCTTAAACCATTTTAAACATCATTATGAACACATATAGCATCTAATTAGGTAATCTCATACTTAACCCAAGAGTTACAGGACATTAAGTCATCCACTCACCTCGAATGAGCTTTAAGAAGTTCTACCCTTCTTGGGTGAACTCCAGCGAAACTCCGACGAACTTTGTTGAACTCCGACGACAACTCCGACAACTCTTTCAACTCCGTCAAAGTACTAGGAACCCCTTAGACAAGTTCCTAATAAGGTTTTATCATCACAAAACTCATATCAATACAGATAACCTCTAAAAGGTTATTTTCTGGTGAACCAGTCACTTTGGCTCATAAGTCCGTTCTTAGACTTAGAACTACCTTCCAACCCCTAATTCTACTTTTCTAAACATGTAGAACAATCTTAGGGGTCATTCACATTCCATATAAGTCATATGAGGAATCTAATAAGGTAGGACAATTAATAAAGACCTTCTCACCTTAATTCTCAAGGTTTTCTCTATTTTAGCAACTCTTCCTCCTTCCTTGAGCTTCTTGTTTGTTGTGCTTCCTTCAACAATGGTGGTAGTGATGTTTGAAGAGATTTTTCTCTTTCCCTGAGAGGCTTGGACGAGTTGGTGATGGAGAGGAATGGGATTGAGACTCCCTTTGTCTCGATAGAGAGCAATGAGTGAGGGAAGAGGCCCCCAATGACCCACTTAGATGCCAAACATCTCAAATAAACACCCTCCATCCCTTCTAACATCAACCATCCATCCTTCCATGCCCCTTTGAGCTCACAAAAACGTGAGGTGGCCCCCACTCATGTGGGAGGTCATCCCAATATGCCCCGAAGTGTACATTCGACCCCGAAAGTTGTATTTCTCGAATTGTTTTAATTATATTTTATTTTATCGGGTCAAATAAAATATATTGTATGTTCCCAATCACTATGGGCCTTAGAATGAGTATAAATTCCTCAACTTTAATTTAGAAATCTCCAAAATTAAGATATAATTACAGTCAAAGACGTGCGTTAGCAAATGTGAAATGTTGACCGTTTCAACTTAAAAAGAACGGAGTGAGTGCATGATTATTTTTGATATTTTAATGTCAAATGGTATTTTAAATATTTTGGAGTAAATATATGGGCTTAAAATCTTGTGTTCTATGCGGCTGTTAACACTAGTCAAAGGTTAGTTTTGTATGTAAAACTGTAGGTTGGTTATAGGTTAGATCATTACATCCACACTCGGGGGATTACCATTTCCCACCGTTGAGAGTTGAGAGGGCCAAACCGGCCAAAGAGGAACACTTTTAGGGGTGGATGAGATCCTTGAGAAGCAGGTGATTTTTTTCCCCACAGTTGAGAGAGCACGAGGGTCATCCTATGGAGTAATAATCTTTCAAGAATTCTGCTTCTGGCGGAGCTGAAAATCCTAAAATATTGAATGAGATATGGCCACTTCATCCATCACCCTCTCGACTCAATTCCTTCACCTATCCAAGCCAAGAACAAGAGTGTGCCTTTCTTCTTGTTCTTCTCCTCCTCCTCCTCGCAGGACCTATGGACTGAAAAAGTCTTTCCAGATATTAATACCGGTGTCGCAGCCTAAGAATCGGAGGAAAATTCTGCTTTTTCCAGTAGCTGCGCTGGGTAAAACGCCCTCGGAGGCTGAGGGTATGGTGGGGGAGGATTCCGCAGAATTCGACTTCTCCAAACAGAAAACTTCATCTTGGGTTTACTTTACTGTGATTCTCGCCATTGTTCTCTATGCTCTCTACTCCATGTGGATAGATAACTCCACCGGCTTCGGAAAAAGCTTCATCGACGCCGTTTCTAGCCTCTCAGAGAGTCACGAGGTTCAACACTGTTTCATTTAAATGTTATTATTATTATTAACTGGAGAATTTTTGTCCTAAATAATTTCACATAATTATATTAAATATATTATACGGAGTACGTGATAAAAATATTTAAAAAAATTAAATAATCACTCCGTATATGATATGAAGTACATTATGATACACATACTATTATAAAAATATGATTGAAGTAATGGCATCCTAATTTTACCAAAATTAGCTATGGACCTTGGCACTAGAGAAAGCTAGTAAAGGAGGAGTGGTGCCTTAAGGAGACTCAGACACATGCCATAGATAGATTCCGTTTTTAGATGGTATACGAGAAAAGCTGCTCCATACGTTGATCCTTAACTTAAATTGAGGCAGGTGAGTGTTTAACATTGGCATTGTTTTGAATACGAAATTGGGAGAAAGAAATAAAACTTGACACATTGATTCGACACAAAGTAAATGGTCAAGGGTAAATTGATGAGAAGGGGAGGACAGTTTATCAGAACCAATATGTATAGGAAGCATATCTGAACTATTTACTATTGATGACAAATCGACTACTACTTTGTAGCTAGAGTATGGCGCGTGGGAGAAAGATTGTAGAGGTCGATGGTCATATGATGACTCACCCCACTACCCATGATCCACTATTGCTGACCTAGGTTGATAGACGAGTACTTCCCCTGAGGGCCAGTTGCCTAGACTGCCCCTGAGGGGGATAACCAGACTGCTGGGATGTGGATGGCCAATGGCGATGGCGTTTGAGTTCTAGTTGGTATGATTCTACACCGTGTACACTATTTGAAGGTGCGTCCCTGAGTATTGCAGGCTTGGTAGTAACTCAATAACTCATATACAGGCGAGATGAACAACCACCACGTTCTTCCCAGCATTTGTGACGGCCACCATGACCACAGCCCAAGGAGTTGTGCTTAGCAGAAAGGGCCGTGATCAGAAAACATGATCCAGGTTGCATAACTGATGAGTATTTCTAGATCTCAGTTGAGTAGTGCTTCATGAAGAGCAGTGAAACATACTGTAATATTGCAATAGTTGACGTTGCCCATAATTCATTTATAGGGATCGTCAAGGTTGTCACATATGCATCAATGAAGTAATGAACCATGGTCCCAGCTTACTGAGAAGAGTCGTATTAGGAAACAATGAACCATCGTAGCTGTTCACCTATACAAGAAAGCTACATCTACACATGAACTCGTAACAGAGAGGTCACAGGTTCAAGTCTTGGGAGTGGTCTCTTGTAAAAATGACAAGAGAAGACTTGCCCCCTATACGGTGGGCTGTGGGATCTCTCCTTGCAGGGACGCCAATGTGCACTGGTCTGCCCTTTCATATATTCTTGTTGGGTGTCAACTGTGACAATTTTAAATTTGACATTTTATTAAATTGTGAATAAAGTATTGAGGCAGTTCTAAAGGGAGAGTGGATAAAGGTCATTAATCAAACATAGTGACACCAATAGAAGACTATGAGGTTGCAAAGAGCCACAATTAGGTTAGGTCTGCAAGTAGTAGTCCATTTATGCTATTCAATTGAAACTATTGTGTTGATGTGTCATTGTTGATCCTCTTTGTTTTTACTTCTTCAGATCATAATGTTTGCCCTTACTCTGATCTTTGCAATAGTACACAGTGGACTTGCTAGTCTTAGAGACCAGGGGGAGAGACTCGTAGGAGACCGTGCTTTCCGTGTATTATTTGCTGGAATATCTCTGCCATTGGCGGTTAGCACCATTGTGAGTTCTATATGATTGAACCATATAATCTTTTACTAGAACCTTATCCGATAAAAAAAATTCCCATTGCAGCTATGCTCCTTTTATAACGAAGTGCTTCATCAAATGTTTCCATGTTAGGTGTATTTTATCAATCATCGATATGATGGGGTGCAGTTATGGCAATTGCAGAGCTTTCCTGGAGTGCATCAGCTTGTTTGGTCTTCTAACTTCATTTCTTTTTTACTCCTCTCCCCATCAACCTTTAATCTGCTAGAGATTGCAGCTGTAGATCGGCCAAAAATGCATCTTTGGGAAACTGGGATCATCAGAATTACTAGGCACCCTCAGGTATGAAACCAATCAATTATCATCGTCACTTAGATGTGCATTTTACACGTGTTTTTTGTCATACACATTCATATAAAGGAAAAGGCATGAATCCAAATCAACATTCTGGAATGTGTGTGAACAGTTGTACCTTTGCCCGCACCAGGCTGATGTGTATGCCTGCTCCAGAACCCGCCATCTGGTTTCTGACAAAATACACCACCCCTATAGAATTGCAAAGTTGCCCATGAAGGGAGTTGTACTAAAAAAGGGCATTTTGGCATTCTCAGTGAGATATTGGGCATGCTAGGTGCCTGATGGGCGGTATTGGAGCAGGTACAATTATGAGTACCTGAGCTCCTTGAGGTACACACACTGGCTCCCTTGAACACACTGAGGCCCCTGAGGTACAAACACACACTGGGCATGCTAGGCTCCCTGTGGAGGTATTAGCGTACCGGAGTTTCCTGAGGCGCACACACACTGACTCACACACATGTTACAGGTTTTGTTGTTAAAATGTACTCCATAATTATTTTCTTATATCTGACTCAAAGACACAGAAACTGCTCTGTTTTTAGTTGTTTGTTGGAATCAGTAAAGACTTCATTAGATTTTGATTGATAACTTATGGTGTACAAAATGAAAAGGGTTAATGATAGACAGTTTTTCATTTTGCACTACCATCTCGTACTTGAGAGTTCATCTTATCTTCAAATCAAAACTCCATCTCTTTTTCTTGTTAGGTGGAACCTCGAGTCTTAATATCTATTTCCTATTTGTTAGTTTAGACTAGAATTAACTATGAGTTGGTGATTAATTAGATCATAAATGTCTCAACAGTTGCATTCGAACCACTTAAATGTAGACATTGTTTAAAAAACAAATACCACATCTCCCCTGCCAGATTGCCAGAGTACACTCAAATGGAAACTGATGTTGTCTATATCACAGATGGTTGGGCAGGTGATATGGTGCCTTGCACACACGCTATGGATTGGAAACTCCGTCGTTGTGGCAGCATCAGTGGGTGTGATAGGGCACCATCTGTTTGGGGTCTGGAATGGTGACCGTAGGTTGGCAACCCGATACGGGGAGGAGGCATTCAATGCTGTGAAGAACCGGACTAGCATCGTCCCCTTTGCAGCCATTCTGGATGGTCGCCAAAAGTTGCCAAAAGATTATTACAGGGAGTTCATCAGGTTGCCATACCTGGCCGTAACTATATTGACATTAGGTGTTTACTTTGCACACCCACTTATGCAGGCTGCAAGCTTCCAGCTTCACTGGTAGTTATTTTTAGTTCATAATGTGCCACTCTCTTGCCACCGTGTAAACTCGAGTGGGATGTGGGTAGGGTGGATACAAATTGATAATATAAATGTTCATGGATGTAATCCGTCATCTATCGTAATAGATTCATGTTATTTGTCTGTTCCTGCGCCTTGCCAGCGGTTCTAAAATTGAATGCAAATATGACGTCATTGACTGTTAAACAAAAACTGTAGAGATATGAAGAAGAGCAGCCCAGTTAGGAACTGTAGAGATATCAACAACAACAACAACATCCAAGCCTTAGTCCCAAAAGATATTGGGGTCGGCTAACATGAATCGATACATGATATCACAACCAAAAGGAAAGTGTTGAACTTTGGAAGCCTTTTCTAACTCCCTTTTTGGCTTTGCACGCAACACTGGGATCTCAGTTATTGGCCTTACATCTAAAACCCTTCATTAATAATTAAAATGAGTATGAGATATTCATTCATGAATCACAAATGCATTTCAGTACTTAATAAGTACATTGTACCTTATCATCAATGAGCATTTTTCACTTACATAATGAACAAACAAACAATTATAATGTACCTTTATTCCATAACAACCATATTCTAAAACAAAAACTTCATAGTACTTGATTTTCACATAGCACTATATGGACATTTGAAAGTACTAATCAAATAATGAGTATCACATCATTTCTAACTTAACATCATCTGTAAAAATAGTATTCACATAATGTTTTTAAAATGAGCATTTGTTTTCAAGTTTTGCGCATACAAACAATTCTCTACAAACACTATTTTAAACCAGTTTTCAGTAATATAAGAATCTGACAAAGTTTTATAAATTGAACATTATGTATTTACATTATGAGCATACACAGATCTATTTATATATAAGAAAAGAAATAGATCATTAAAAGACACTTTTACCCTTCATTACTAAAAACATGTTTTATAGGACGGAGAGAGTATTACTATTAGTATTGCCGATGAATCAAATCACCTTTAATAGTAAAGAAATTGAGAATCTTAAAACTTATCTTCATTCTTTCCTTTTCGGTCCATCCCAAATTTATCTTCTCTTTCCCTTTTTAGCAAAGAATTTGTGGTTCACAATCATTTTTACACATTCTTACACATTTCTCTTTCCTCTGCACAACTCTCCACCACACATTTCCCACTATCTTAATATGTGTGCCAATTGTACTTGCGAAGATGAATATGGGACGGAGGGAGTAACTTTTTTACTTTTACTCTAATTTTTATAAAAAATACAACAAAATTCATAATTATTGTGATCTTTCATATGAGACCAATATTGAATATATAAAAATTTAAATTCTTGAACAACCTCTATAGATATTTATATATACCCAAGGAGTACACTATTAAAAATACCATCTTACCCCAATTTTTATGCAACGTGTCTACTCACCAATTTTAGTGACCATTGCTCTACTCATGTAGTGCTTTTGAGTATAAGAAAAGATAAGTCGGCTAAAAATTGAGTGTCATAATTATTTCTCTCACGTGTAATGCTTTTAAATATAAAATAAGCCGGCTAGCAATTAAGTGAGATAATTTCTATCTCATATGTAATGTTTTTAGGTATAAGACTTTAGGTATATAAGAAGATTTATGTCGTTATTAAGGAGGCTAACAATTAAGCGAGATAATTTTCTCTGCTATTAGGTATCATATAATCCATCTAACAATTGAGCGGAAGGGTTTTCTCTCTCATATATAGTGCTTTTAGATATTTGAAGATAAGTGTGCTAACAATTGAACGCAAGATTTTTTCTCTTATGTAGTTTTTAAAGTATAACATAAGTCGGATAACAAGTGAGGAGAAGTATTTTCTCTCTCATATGTAGTGCTTTTAGGTATAATAATAATAAGGTAAGCCGACTAAGAATAGACTGAGAGAACTTTCTCTCTCATATGTAGTATTTTTAGGTATAAGAAGATAAATTTGATAATAATTGACCCAGAAATTTCGCTCTCATATATGTATTATGTAGTGCTTCGGCGTATTAGAAGATAGGCTTGCAATAATTGAGCAAGGAATTGGATGGGAGATTTCTCTCTCATATGTAGTAGTGCTATTAGGTATTCTTATACAAGATAAGCTTGCTAACAGTTGAGTGGAACAACTTTCTTTCACATAGGTAGTTCTTATAAATATAAGATAAGCTGACAACAATTGAGCGAGATAATTTTGCTTTTACATAGATATTGCTTTATAGGTATAACAAGATAAATTTGCTAATAATTGAGCGGAAAAATTTCTCTCTCACACATCTAGTGTTTTATGTATTAGAAGATAAACTTGCTAACGTTTGAGCGGAGAAAATCTCATGTAAGTAGTTCTTTTAAGTATAAGATAAGTCGCCTAACAATTAATCCGTAGAGTTTTGTCTCTCATACATAGTGCTTTTAAGTATAAGTTAACCCGGCTAACAACTGAGTGGAAAATTTTATCTTAAATGTAATTACTTTTTGTATAAGACTAGCTAACCATTGAGCGAGAAATGTTTTACTCCCATATGTAGTGATTTTATGTATAATAACATAAGCCGGCTAACAATTGAACGGGAGAAGTTTCTCTCTCATATGTTGCGTTTCTAGCTATAAAAAGATAAGTTTGCTAATAATTAAGCAGGAAAGATTTATCTATCATATGTAGTCTTTTATGTATTAGAAGATAAACTTGCTAACAATTGAGAGGAGAAATTATCATACATGTAGTTTTTTTAAGTATGATAAAACCAGTAAAGTTTTGTCTCTCATACGTAGTGCTTCTAGGTATACGTTAATCCGGCTAACAATAGAGTGAAAAAATTTCTCTCATATGTAGCTTTTTTGTATAAGATACGCCGAGTAAGAATTGAACATCGTAATTTGCTTTCTCATATGCTAACACTAATTTAACTAATAATTGAGAGGAAGAGCTTTCTCTCTCATATATAGTGCTTTTAGATATTTGAACATAAGTGTGATAACAATTGAACAAAAGATTTTGTTCTCTTATGTGTAGTTTTTTAAAGTATAAGATAAGTCGGCTAACAAGTGAGGAGAAGTATTTTCTCCCTCATATGTAGTGCTTTTAGATATAAGGTAAGCCGGCTAACAATTGAGTGAGAGAACTTTCTCTCATATGTAGTGGTTTTAGGTATAAGAAGATAAGCTTGATAATAATTGACCAGGAAAATTTGCTCTCTTATATATGTAGTACTTTTGGGTATTAGAAAATAAGCCTGCAATAATTGAACAAGGGAATTGGGTGGGAGATTTCTCTCTCTCATATGTTGTGCTATCAGGTATTAATGTATTATACAAGATAAACTTGCAAACAATTGAGTGAAATAACTTTCTTTCACATAGCTATGCAGTTCTTATAAGTATAAGATAAACTGACAACAATTGAGCGAGATAATTTTTTCTTTCATTTGTATTGCTTTTAGGTCTAACAAGATAAGTTTGCAAATAATTGAGCGGGAAAATTTCTTTTTCACGTATGTAGTGTTTTATGTATTAGAAGATAAACTTGCTAATATTCGAGCGGGGAAATTCTCATATAAGTAGTTCTTTTAAGTATAAGATAAGCCGGCTAACAAGTAAGCCGTAACATTTTGTCTCTCATACGTAGTGCTTTTAGGTATAAGTTAATCCAGCTAACAATTGAGCGGAAATTTTTATCTTATATGTAATTCTTTTTTGTATAATAATAACATAAACCGGCTAACAATTGAACGAGATAATTTTTTCTCTCATATGTAGTGTTTCTAGGTATAACAAGATAAGTTTGTTAATAATTAAGCGAGAAAGATTTATCTATCATATGTAGTCTCTTATGTATTAGAATTTAAACTTGCTAACAATTGAGATGAGAAGTTATCTTATAAGTAGTTCTTTTAAGTCTAAGATAAGCCGGCTAACAATTAGGCAGTAAAGTTTTGTCTCTCATACGTAATGCTTTTAGGTATAAGTTAATCTGGCTAACAATTGAGTGAAATATTTTCTCTCATATGTAGTTTTTTGTATAAGATTCACCGAGTAAGAATTGAACATAATAATTTCCTTTCTCAAATGCTAACACTAATTTACCTAATGATTAACAAGTTATTATTTAACTAATACGTAATATTCATTAATTTCAATCATTATCGTATTCATTAATTTAAAGTTAATTTAATCATAAAAATTAATAAGTACAATTTCTAATAAGTGGTGTTAATTAGTTTCCTATATACTCTTAATTGAATATTTAGTGTATGGGCTTATTCTTTACAATATTAGCTTATTTTATTCTTATTTTCCGAAAATGTAGAATCCTATAAAGTTATTTTTATTTTAATATTTAATTATATAATAAATAAAAATATATGCAACTACTATTTTTTCCCGTGCGTATGCACGGGTACTATACTAGTTATTTATGAAACCGTATTACAGAACAAGTAAAATGTAAAACAAAAATTGCACAACACTTCATGAACTCATAATTCTATATAGTAATTTTAAACAATAATTAGATAATGAGTATCGATTTATTTTTAATGGCACACCATTGTCACACTATCGCTCATAATCACATTCTTCAATAATTTTAGAAAAATTAAAGCACATATCACTTTATTCACAGATAAGTAGTACATACCACACAATGAGTATTTTATCACATTACATGTAACCTAACTACAATATCATCATGTTCTAAGTAGTTAATAATTTATATCACTTGAATTCGAGTAAAACGAGCATTACATTTCGTATATCGAACAAATCATCCATTGATTTACTTAATCAACACATATAACATATCAAATTCATAATCTACTTCAGATATGTCCAGATCATTTCAATTTTTCTGTAATTTTTGCAACATGCAAGTATATTCGTTAATCATTACTAAAATATAAATTAAAAAGTATTATATGATATACCTCTCAGATGCCTCTGCATTGTCATGCTCTTCTGCGTTTAACATCATTTGATGCTCGCTCACTAAGTCCATCCCTTTTTTCAATGCTCAAAGACGAACAAGTTGATGCTTAAACTCTCCCGGTTCTCGCCAACTACAGCAAAAACTCCGTCAGTAAATGCACAAAAACTTCGACAAAAACTCCACCAAAATTTTTGCCGGTTGTCCTCGTTTTTTGAGCTCAAATACGGCGGCTATGAATGCTAGCGTCTTTTTGCGAACAATT